GTCTGCTTAAGCCATTCGATCAAGCAGCTCGTATCTCTCCTTCCCACCACTTATTCTTCTCCACAACCCCATTCTCTTTCTGCCTGGACTAGACCTCTTCCCCTTCATCACCCACATATTCCAGAGACTCCAGAGACAAGCTCCCACTACACCCGCAATCGCAAACCCGGAGACAGTGAGCAGTAACCAGTGTTTGCCCATCCAGAAGATCGTCTGTGCGTCTTTTCCATGCCAACTGCTCCCCTTCACGATATTGAAGAAACTCCACGCGAAGCCCTTATACTCGTCTGGCATCAGAATCCTAACATGTTCCATAGGTGGCCTATCAACACGCAGGTACTCCTTCCAGATAACGCTCAAGAAGAGAGGCCCGGTGCTGTACATCACGGTGATGTATGGCATGAACCAATTCCTGTTGTAGCCAGCGAGGGAATCGATCACGGTGTTGAAGAAGGGGTGTTGGGGGATAGAGCCCATGGCGTCGTTGCTGATGCCTGTGGGGACGGTACGACGAACCCATGCAGGGTAGGAAAGGAGGGGGTCGAGGCGACGATTGCAGCCATCGTCGAGATCAATGTATATTCCGCCGTAGAAATGGAGGACGAAGTAGCGGATCGCATCGGCGCGTTGGATGGGGAAGGGATAGGAGTCGAAGGTTGTGAGGAACCAAGGGTATTCTGCTTCGATGAACTCGCGAGATTTGTCGTCGGTCCAGAGCTGGTCGTTGATTAGCTTCTATTACTTCCAGCAGATAGAGACATATGTACCTTGTATTCGTAATCATCATGAAGGTCAATGCAAGACTGCTGTCCAGGCTTCCACTGTGCTGGGATAGAGGCATTTATGTAGGTTTGATGAATGATCTTCGGTATCATCTGTGTACGGTTCTCGATAAGATCAGAGCCTGGCGCCGGGATCTCAGCACGAGTAATGGCGTCTGCAGCTCCATCTTCGAAGAGGAGACCGATGAGAGTGCTGAAGGCATTCACTAGCAGCCCTATGATGCAGAAATTGACGACCAGAAAGACAATAGTCCCTTTACGCATCTTGGCGGTTCGAGGACGTGAGACAAGGCGGCGCGTGTGTAGATTTAATAGGTCATAAGATGCCCTACAGGTTGCGAAAGGTCGTAGGAAGCTCTAATTCTGCATCGAGGGGCGTTGAGGATATATACAAAAAAGTTCGTTGTCCAAGTCTGCAGGGGAGATAAAGGAGCCGGGATTTCGCCAAGAACGGTAATTTGTTTGGAACCAGGATGGGTGAATATCCAGAAAGGAGCGAATCACAGTAAAAGTATATCCCAAAAGTATTAATTATAGAAGGAGGAAGTCAGAGTCGGCGAGTAATCGTAGGTACAGAGCCACATTCAAAGTCAGCTCGACGCAAGTCAGGCTAGGTTCAAAGTCTTATTTGATTGCATGCTAACTTCTAAGGGGCTCATCCAGCGCGGCCTCGCCTCTTTGAAAGGTCCGGCTTCTTGGTATGCTGCGCCCGCTGTCTACTTGCACTGTAAAATCTCGCCTTCCATACGCCATTTGGTAAAGTCGAGGCTGTCATACAACATGATACCAACCACTTTAAGGATAGCAGCACGTAGGGTCGCCCGCAGCAGACGGTGCCCGATCGTCCGACTGCATAACCTAAGCACAAGTCATGCACAAACCAGAACATTAGCACAAAGCAGTGTCTCACTCGGCACATTTCATTGGTGACCGGTCAAAGTCTAGATGACAGTAATCGAGGTACGCGTGGCTGCAAGACCCTTGTGCTCAAATCTACCCAACCGTGGGATGCCTGTGTCATTACTGGCGCAGCACACCCGAGGTAATCATCTGATAACGCCCGCTTGTCTTGATAATGAGCGTGAGGCGTTTTGCAAGCCTTAAATCGTCCACCAGATCGTGGGACCGGACTGCTATTGGAGCATATCGGATGAGCATGATTGAGTCGAGTGTGTGTATTCGTCAAGATCGGAACTCTCTTGCGCCGAGGAATTCGTAAGGGCGGACACTCAAGCTTGTCGAAGTCCCGATCCACGTAGGCTTCCTTGTCCTGAGGGTGTCGTCTTCCTGCATGATGATGCCTATGCTTCATACTGCAGTAGCAAGCTCGCATTGGATACGGCGGTGCGAGTCCGAACTGCTACTTTCCCAAACTATCCAAGCGAATTTCGTTGCCGTTGAGTATGTAAGGTGAAGGGGTTTAATGTGAGTGAGTGGAGAGTCGACATGAATTTCTTTCATGCCATATTCATACCCGGCAGACTCCCAGGCATGCTTCCCGGCATAGTATATTCCTCACCCATAGCTCGTCTTCGCCATCGTAGGCCCTCCTGCTCGATCCTGTCGACTTCTGCTCTTGCAGCTCTTGCAGCTCTGCTCTCAGCCTCGACCTCTTTCCTCGCTTCTTCTCTCAAGTCTCTTTCCATCTCCTTTCCCTTCGCTCGACTAATGCTTGCCGGCTCAGATGGTGCATCTTCCCCTCCTCTGGTATTCTTCTTCCTTGGCCACAGAGAAGGCAACTCAATCTGCTGAAACCGTGGCTCGACAGCTCTCTCATCGAACCAGGTATGCAACCTTGCCTCAACTAACTGAGCAATCTTCGGTACATCCTGCAACCTCGACCTACTACCCACCAAACTCCTGACAGAAAGATCCAACCTATAGTCGTCCAAGAAACTAAACGCCAACATGGTAGCATTCAGCGGACTCCCAGGTATGAAGCTGATAGACAACGTTCCACTGAATCTCACAACACTCACCGCCAAAGCAACTGGTAGCACCGCAACCAGCGGCTTGGGATAATTGAGCAGGAGCTTCGTCTCGAGTGCCAACGTGATAAAATCACTAAGATCAACATCCATCCGTGCTTGCAATCTGCCATGTTCTCTAGGCACACCTCCAGGCCCTTCTCCTCTGCCAGCAGCACTCGAGCCATCCTCGTCCACAGGAGTGATCTTGCAATTGCTGAAAATTGGGAAATCCTCTCCTAGACTTAGCTCCGTGACCTTAATCTCGTCCAAAAAGTCCGGCCGTGTGGTCCCATTCAATGCTTTTGTAAGAGATGTCAGGATTGCGTCGTCGTGCTGTGCATCGCTGCGGAATTGTGCGATTGTTTGTGCTATGAGGACATTGAACCAATCCAAGCTCTCTGGTTGATGACTATCCACATTGTAGTATGTCTTGCTGAGGATCGTATTCGTAGTGAGTTGCGGTGGAGCTCGTAGAACACTTGAGCGCTTCTTGGAGAGTGAAGGATGTTTTGGAGTAGATGTGCGGAGGGAGAGGAGAGAGCGTTTGTGAGCGAGGGTTCGGGATCGTCGTTCTGTTGCTCGCAGGGCGGCTGTTACGTCTGGAGAAGGAGGGTCGCCGAATATGAAGAACTTGATGAATGCACCGATAAGGATTACGACGGAGAGTTGGCCGAGGAGAAGCCCTTGGGTGAAGGAGAGACTGGATGATTAGCTGTGCTCAGAAGAGGAGTGAGGAACGTACGACGACTCGGACTTGGGGAGAGGAGCCTCTGCGGACATTTTTGGGTGGGGAAGGAAGGGGGATAGATGCTATCGTGTAGCCATGGAGCGAAATGAGGCTTTGAAAAAAAGTTCCTCGAGTTGTGATTGTCCGGTTCGTAGTTGAGCTTTCAATGTTCTACAGTAGTTGAAACAGACACGAACTTTTTTGAAGACGCGCCAACGAACGTCATTTACAGCCGAGGCTTGTACATTGAAAAATCACAACTACAACTTCAATGTCCGTCCAGCTTTGAAAATGATATCAATTCTATAATGTCTGAATCGAGATGCCAGAGTCATATCTATTTTTCAGGCCCTATCCACCATTCTATCATCCTCCAGCAAGACTGTCTTCCGCAAACCCAGAACCATTACCTTACGCCAGGAAACTCACCCAAAATGTCCTCAATGTTCCCATACACAAAGCTCTTGGCCTCCGTTTGATATCACAGTCAAGTACACCGGAACCCATAGCAATTCTCAATTTCACAACAACGTCTATGCACCTTACGCCCTCCAACACTGTCCATGGCGGCATCTCATCCCTACTCATCGACTCGGCATGCTTCTTAGCTCTCATACCCACATTATCAGACGGCCAGTTGGCTTCAACAATTGCTTCGAGTTTTCAGATCCTAAGTTCTGTACCTGGAGAGGGAAAGCTGTATGAGGTTCAAGGCAAAGTGGTCAAAAAGGGCAAGAGCATTGCATTTTGTGAAGGCGAAGTGAGATGTGAGGGAAAAGTCATTGCAAGGGGGGCTTTGACGAAGATGATAGTAGAACAGAAGAAGGATAGCAAGTTATGAACGGCGTTGTTACAAGGGAATGGAATCTGTATATATCGGTAAAGTATAGAACCTGAGAAGATGCAGATGTCTATATTCCATTATTGGTAGTTCTGTCGCCTCCGCATGCCAATAATCCCTACAATATTTGCGCCATTGCTCGATTCAACTGAATTCAAGAAACGACCATCATCACACTCATCACAAGGTTGCTTTTCGAGCCGCAAGCGGTCCAGACGGATGTACGCCAGACCACGTTTATGATCCCCTCCCGCATTCTAAAGTGTGAAAAACAAAATAAAAGTATAATACACAAGAAAAATCCACGTTGTCCTGCTGGAATTGCTGCTGGAATATGGAGCACTTCTGAGCGCTTGAACTCCTTTCTCGGCGAGGAAGCTGGAAGTAATGCGAATGCCTCCTGTACAGAATCGCCTATGAACTTGATGCATCTCTGTTGCTTTGAGAGCTGGCGCTCATGACAGGTTGCTGGGTTGGGAGGGACATTTTGTTCATCTGACCCTGTCTGACCTTGGCCCAGGTGAAAACAAGACCGCTGATGAAGCCGATGATAATGGCCGAAACACTTCCAAATGTGATAGGTGCAGCAAAGAAAATGAGACCGCTGACTGCAATTGGGAGCTTATTCAAGGCTCCAACCATGGAATAGGTGGTGGACGAGGTGACACGAATACACCAAGCTGAGCAGTACGAAATGAAGATCGTTCCAAGGCCGGAGTAAATGAAGCCAACGATGAGGCTGTTTCTGGACTCCACCGGGAAGTTTCTCTGGATGTTGGGGGAAGACCAATCCTCGAAAACAAGGGAGCACAGGAAGAGGACAGGGATTGTCAAGAGATTGTTATAGAACATGGCTGGGCAGTTGTTAGCAACATCCAGATATGACAACTTCGACAAGACTTACTATCCCAATCCTTGAAGTTCATCTTCTTAATGACCTTGCGCAATGAGAGAACGTACGCTGCTGAGCAGAAAACGTTCATTCCCATCCAAGCATAGCCAGCATTCAGACTAGACAGAGCCGCAGCGGCGTCAGAACCAGCTGCTGCTGCTTCTCCGTATAAAGCATTTTGGATATCGGCCCAAGCAGCAACGACTGAACTAAGAACCATGAGTCCAAAGGACAGCAGAGCAGTTGCACTGACGCTTCCTCCGAACCACAAGACCTCTCCGTATGCGATGACAATGATGGTCAAGTTTTTGAAGATCGTGTAGACGGGAACGGACAAGAACTGAAGAGCCTTGGTGCTGGTATAGATCATTCCAACGAGGAGGAGGGAGATTGGGAACCCTGTCAAGACGATTAGCTCCTGAACATATTGTTTTTCACTTCTAGCATACATTGCTTCGCTTTCTTCGTGTCGAAAGGTGCTAGATTTGTGATCAATCCAAGTTGCTTGCAAATGACAATAGCAATAATGCAAACAAGTGACTGTGTCTGGTTAGCCTGGGCCAGATCTCCAGAGCCTTGGGGCATACTTGGATAGCAAGGTAGAAGAAGTTCAAATTCCAGTTGGCTCCAGATACACAGTATTTGTTGGTAACGGTCATAGATATCGAAGCTAAACAGTATGCCAGAATAGAGATGGGAGGGCTGTTGGTGATGTTGGCAAGTGCTTTGGGCCCTGACTTTGGAGGGCCAGAATTCGTGCGAGCCAAGAACGGATCTCGTTGTGAAGGTGATGACCGTCCATTGAAATTGCGCATCTCAACGTCTGGCATCTTGATGGTATAGTCTTCATTCTTCTTGTCGTCCATGGTTGCTGAGGTCTGGTCTCTCAAAGTTCGTATTAGATTTGACGCGCAAGTGTCACAAAAGGGGGGACAGGGCTATCTGCCAGATTCGAAGTCGCAGACGGTGGCAGAGTGTGGGATCGTTATTATCGTAGCATCGGTCGAGTCGTGGGAACGGCGAAGAAGGCACTGAGTGTTGTTCAGGGTCCAAGGGGAAACGTTGAAGTCTGGATGGGACTTTATTTGGCCTCTCCTCCCAAAATCTTAGCGGGTTTAATTTTAGAAGAGGTGCAGGGATCCAAGGCAAGACTGCGCAACCAACGCTCAGTGATGATGACTTTCTAAGAAATGTTCTGCGAAATAACGATTTAAAGATAGAGTAGAAACAAAGTGTCTATCGTGAATAAAAAGCAAATGCTCCCCTATTCACCAACGTTGAAGGAATTCCTTAGATGTGACCTAATCTGGACTAGGGTTGGCTTGCGCGTGAACCAGCATCGCGAAATTGCCATAGTATTTTACGCGTAGATTGACCAACGATTCAAGCAACAACTTCACGACCCCAGATATTATGGCAAATATCGATTCCCATGTGGCAAGAGTCCTTGACGAAGGCAATTCCGACGATGAAGATGCTCTGATCGCTTCGCTCGAAGATTCTCCTGCTCTCGATGCGTTTAGAGAACAGAGAATACAGCAGCTGCACTCGGAATTCACTAGAGCGAAGTCGCAGAAGAACCAAGGCTTTGGAAATTATACGGAGATCAAAGAGGAGAAGGCATTGATGGATTTGACCACAGAAGTCAAATATGCAGTTGTACATTTTGCAAAGGACGACTTTGCAAGATGTGGAGTGATGGACGGACATTTAGAGGTATGCAAGATACCGTCGAGGGAATACAGGACTAATATCTGTTTTAGAGTCTGGCACAGAAGCACTTCGACACTCGATTTTTAAAGATGAATGTCGAGAATGCGCCGTTCTTGGTTACCAAGTTGAAAGTCCAGGTTCTTCCTTGCGTACTGGCTTTTGTCGATGGAAAGAGCGTCGACAGAATTGTTGGCTTCGAAGGTCTAGGATATACACCAGATACATTCACGACGAAAGACTTAGAAGCCCGATTGCTGAGTTCGGGTGTCATACAAAGAGCTAAAGCTACAGAGGATGCGGGCGGTGTGAAATGGGGAGTGAAGAAGGCTAGGCAGGAGGAAGAGGACGATGATGATTGGGATTGAGGGATTACTTGCACTGAGAGTAGTGATGTATTATCACTACTTATGAGCAAGAAGTGATGTGCCAAAGACGAAGTCTTTCTTGGGAAAACGCATTCTACTCCGAACTCGGACTTGGGCCAGGAAATGCTAGAGTGGGAGGACATCCTCAGCATATTCTATGGTGATTGACTTGCCTATTACTTTGGGTTTAAGCATTGTCTACCTCAGAGTGAAAAGGAACGAGAAACTCCTATCACCAGGGAGTGGTAAGTCAAATCAAGCCTGTCAGAGCCACTTTCAGGGACATGATAGAAGACTATGTCTCTTATAGACATAAGCTGTTAGACGGAGCAAATCTCAAAGAAGAATTCCCTATTCCGTCATCCTCCCCTCACTGTGACAAGTTGTGAATCTGTGGAGGCAACTGCTGCTCATTGCCCTTCTGCCCCACCTTTACAGCCCCCACCTTCAGCTTGTGGGTCGGAATCCATTCAGCCAATAGGCAGAAGACAAAATAGCCACTTTTTAAGCTTCTGCTCTTGTACTCTATTACTTCAAACAAGCACTTTTTTGTCATCCAATGATAAGCTTCCGTGGTCCAATGGTTAGGATTCCACCCTTCCAAGGTGGAGGTTCGTGTTCGATTCACGGCGGTTGCAAAATGCCTCGATGTTTTTTTGTACTTTTTCCCCTCCTTTTTGCAGCCAAAACGATGATAGTTGAAGGATCGTGTTCGAATGGGGTGCAATACCATTTTTTTCGGTGGTGGGACCGTGGGAGAGATTTCGTGTGCTGAGTCTTAAGCGAGGTAGGACATGGAGCCAGTGCCAGTAGAGACATGTCTTTTGTTACAGTTTCTTCTGGAGGAGTTGGGTAAGTAGACTTTGAAGAACCGAATTCCTTTGTGGGCAATCGGTTAACAAATGAGCGGGTAACAGTTTTACTGGATAATATTTTGCTCTTGTCGAGGTATATCATCTCAAAGTAGTCGCTCTTAAAATTTTGCCAGCAAGTGAGGGCCACATGCACAATTGCAATGACACTTGAAAAAAGTAAGTTTGAGATCAGAATTAACCACAACTAGGTGACTATGTGTCTATCTTCTGCTCATCTAATAGTATCAAGCCAAATTCTAACTCCAACTCCTCTCTCAATCTCCTGAGTATAATAATGGCTATCCTAATCCTTCAAACACAACGACTCAATAGAAGAATCCGGCAAAAGGAACATGTTCCTCTTTCTCTTCCCAAAAATACCCACAAATCCATTCCTCATCCTGTCCGCATTATTTTCAACAGCCGAACCAAGACTCGCAGCAGGAGATCTCTCATTGTCGGCGCCGGTCTTATTTCCTGCTCCTCCAATACCGTGATGCCAATACTTCGCCGCAGCTCTTCGTTGAGCTTCTTCCCTTTCGAGTTTTGTAGATAAAGAAACGGTAGGTCGTTCTGATAGGTTTCGAACGTTGCCTGCTCCGCCGATGCTGGTTGAGAATGTGCCGCTTGTTCGTGGGGAAATGTATGGGGTTGATGGCGAGGAGAGAATGCTAGATGTGTTGTGGAAGTTTCCAATGCCGCCGATGCCAGATTTGCTGTATTGGCGTGTGTGGAAGAAGGTGTGGCTCGATGAAGATGATGTTGAAGACATGACGAGGAACTTGAAAAGGTCCAAATGGTCAAAGAATGGATGCAAGTGATGCTGAAGTGATAGCAGGTTTGGTTGCAGAGCCCGGTGACTACTCGAGATCTTATATGTAGTCTGGAGACTGATGGCTTTGTGGCTTTTACTGCAGAATAAAGGAAGTGAAAATTATGTTAGTCAAGTATCTCACTGACTTGTAGAAGTTGAGTGACAAAAACCAGAACACTTCCGAGCACTTTATACACTGAAACTAAGCATGTTCATCTTCAAAGAGCGCTCGGAGCGCACGAGCGGCGACCAACCAATGCTTTCACTGTCGTCGTAAATATAATTCTCACAACACAAAGCCCAGCTCCTCAAAAAGTTGACGCCAAGATGTTGATGCTTTGAGACTGCTTCTGTAGCGTTGCCGCATGTTGCTCCCAAGATCTGAAAGGAGATGCCCGACTTCAAAAAGCATATACAATTGGGCTACGAGGCGCCAAACCATCGATCCAGGTGATGTGTCGTTCTCAGCCATGAGCCGCAGCGGCATTCATGGCATCTAGATCTCTTTTGAGGAGCCGAAGCGTGTCCCGCAGCAGTACCTGGTGGCTGAATCGGGCTTGCGTGGGGCTCAAACATCTCCATACAACGGCAATAGCATGTGCTTCTTTTTAGACTCAACCAATGATATAGAAAATTTCCGGAACAGCCGAAAAGAGGCTGACTGAGATCTCCTCTCCATATCCACTCCATTGAACAACGGCATATTTACAGTAGGGAAAGACCCAGGGAGTAGGTGAAGCTCCCGTCTTTTGTTAAAAGCTGTAGGTACTAAGGTACACCGCGCATAACAAATTGGCAGAGATACACTAGCATCTCTCACAGATCGACCTTGAAGGTTTGTGATATCATAAATTAAAGCAAAACATCTTCACCGCTTGGTGACAATCTTCACTGTAATCAGATACCTGTTTCGGAGATTGTCAGTTTGGGCTTCACGTCTCAAGGGACGATCGTGGCTTCTGAATGGCTCAAGCCCCGACACTTGGAGGTGGGCCCAGAAAGAGAGAAAGAAGGAGTTCTGTAGCTCGTAGAAGTTATGCAAAATTGCACCATTCACGTTGCCCACGTTTTGTTGAGTCAGCGAATCGCGGGGTTCTCATCAGGTGCGATGATGAAATGGAGGGGCAACAAAAATACTTTCGGCCGCTCCAAAATCTGACAACTCCACTAGCAGACCACTTCACTATTCGCATCTCCAAGATCAACAGTATTTGAAGAGCGCATTCTCCTTTCCCTTCCCCAAAGTGAACGTGCAAAGTAATTTGTCAACATGAAAGCATACTGGTTTAACAACGAGGCGGTATGTAAATCCAAAGTCAATAGAAAGCTTCTGAGCTGATTTGCGCCAGGGCGACCAACGCCTACCTCACGATTCTGGACGAGCAGTCACCCCAGATTACCTTGCGAAGCTCGGCGTTCTCTATTACAATTTCAACAAGGAGCAAGATGTTGATAAGTTGGCCACCGAGAGAAGCTACAAGAACAGGGATGTGATTACTGTTTCGCCAGAGAAGTTGGGAGATATCTACGAAGAGAAGGTCAAGTCGTTCTTCCATGAGCACTTGCATGAGGACGAAGAGATCAGATATATCAGAGATGGTTCCGGATTCTTCGATGTGAGAAGTGAGGGTGATGAGTGGGTTAGGATCTTCTTGGAGAAGGACGATTTGATCGTAAGGATACTTTGAAAGTAGGGAATCAAGTGCTGATTGAGGTCCAGATTCTACCAGCTGGCATTTACCATCGGTTCACAACGGATGATAAGAATGTAAGTTTAGGGAATGTGCATTATTTGGCTAGTGTCTGACTTGAAGTAGTACATTGTTGCTATGCGCTTATTCAAGGAAGAGCCAAAGTGGACACCACTTAACCGGGGTCCTGAGGTCGATATCAACCCTTTCCGAAAAGATTACCTGCAGTCACGAACCGCAATGGCAAGCTGAGAGCTGAAGTTTGGCGACAAGGATTCTTGATGACTTGATGGTTGTATGATGAGGTAGCGGGATATCAAAGCGCTGTTCTTCTCATTTGTATCGTGATTCCCACGCTCTTTCAGGTGTCCGCGTCTGGGCTGCCAAACCAAAATATTTGGCCCTCATCACGAGTCCGGGAACCACTCAATGTATGAGCCTTATGGGACGCCTCGACGGACGAATATCAACATGCATATCCTGAAATCGTCGTGTCCGCTCTGTTGTAAATTCGGCGTATCTCAGGAGCAAGGCTTTTGGGAAACACTCCGGATGTTCTTGGAAAGTCTTCGCATCCAAGTAGAAGACCGCTTGATGAACAGTGTAGTCACGAAGTGGGCTGTCGAGTTTGGTATTCTCGAATACAGTGGGAAACCACTGGTAGCTGGGGCGGTATAATGAGACTCTCTTTCGGCGAGATTCGGTCTCATTCCATTGTGAAGCAGCTCTTCTGCTTTTTAGGATCTTTATGACATCGCCCTGCAAGTGCGGTATGAGCAGCCTGTCAGCAAGAATCCAGAGTTGGATTAGGGATATGTCTTGGTCATCCACTGTCTTCTGCAACTTTTCGTTCTCATCGTCCTTGGCACTACCTGACAGACCGGACAATATCTTCATTACTTTTGTAGCTTCTGTGTCTAGGTCTCGACCATAGATCCATTTCACCAGCAGGGTGAACGGATTGGGCTTTACATCCAACAAAGTGCAGGATAGAGTCTGGCCTTCGATGAACGCTCTGTTGAATGCCTTCTCCCATACGGGTGAGACTTGACATGCTAGACCTGGTGGAAAGTGAGTGCTGAGAGTTGAAGGGAGCTGGTAATGCCTTACTCTTATGCACGATAAATTTCTTCTCATCGTCTCCTGATCCCACGTGAAACGTCACTATTTCGTCCATGGGCCTTTAAGCTATTAGGTTAAAGAAAAGGGCCAATTGTATGAAATAAACATACGAGAAGTCCAGCTCTTGTTTCCCAACCCGTCCGAGTGTCTGTGGTACAGCTGGGGTAATTTTGCATGCTTCATCTGAGTTATCTAAATCATACTCTGTCACCCTCGGAACAGATGAGGTACTTGACCATGGGCTCCAAGCCATGGTGAGTTCGGTGTTTGTAAGAGTGGTGATGTAATAGGGGTGGTGAAGATATCTTGGATTGGAATATATCTCTAGGAGTTAGGGACGGATCTGAAAGTATATAGAGATCTGTATCTTCTCTCAGTTTCTCACTTGTAACACACCTCAAAGAATTTAAGATTCTAGGCCCCTCTGCGTCGTTCTAGAAGGGAGTACTTCAGCCTCAAACATACCACTGAAGAAGGACGGTCTTTCAACGGTGTTGATTTCGTCCGCTTGACACTTTCATGTTTCGCTTTCGTCCGAGCTACGAGAGTCTCATAGTCAAGGAATTTTCATTGCTGTCAAGTTTCAACATTCTGAACAATCGGGGAGTTTCAGTAATTCAAGGCTAAATGTGAGCCATACGCGAGATACTTTTGAATTCTTCGCAACAGTACATGTAAGTATCATTGAATCCATCCCCAAAACTCCAATTAATACACCCTCTGCCATCGGCGAAAAGTGAATACTGTACCATAACAACGTCATTAAAATTATTTAAACATCAGCGAAACGCCGATGTGTTCAACCTTGATGAAAAGATTGGCAACTGAAATGTCTATTTCATTGTCCACTGAGTTACCCGAGCCTCTGCATGTTATAGCTGCAGCAGGCCTCAGCAGTGTGTTTGTGGAGGGGTAACCGGGATTTCACAATCGCATGGAAGATGGGCCCTGCTGTGGCCCTTGTGGAACAGTAGAAGGGAACGAGAACGGAAGCTCATTTTTCAGGTGATGGCATGTGATCGTAGAGGAAATCAATTGGTGAAAATTTGAAAAACTTTGCAGAATTGTCATGCTGTATCAGAAACCTGGAAGTTCCAAGCCAGGATCCAATATTCCCCAGCCCAAAATCCAGAAAGTGCCAATGGTGGGTTTGCAAAGCCTCATTGTTCCCAGCTAGGATCCGACATAATCCTGTTGAAAGTCAATAGAGAACTTTCATAATATTGCACGACCTCGAAGTTCTAATCCAGGATCTGACACACCTACGCCCAAAGTCTGGAAAGAAGTATCATATAGATGTAAAACCCCATCACTCTAAGTCAGGATCCAACATAGCCAGGCCCAAAGTTTAGAGAAATCTTGAGAATGATACAAAACCTCCTGGTTCTAACCCAGGATTCGATAAGATATTGCTTAAAGTCTTAAAAGAAGAATTTAAAACAATGAATAGCTTCATTGTTCAAAGTCACGATTCGACATATCCCTGCCCAAAGTCGAGAAAGTGTAAGGGCCTGTCTTGATTTCTAGTGATATTTTTTAATTTCCTATCTACAATAATTGACATGAGATCTCGTTTCCTCGTTTCATCCATCCTTTGTCATCAACGTGGGTATCATGAAGCTATCGATTCTCAAGATGCATATGCGAAATTCGATCCCCTGCACAAAAGCCAGAAGTCGCGAACTACTTGGTTCGTGCCTCTTGCACCACGAAGGCTGAAGAGTTAGCACTTCTCAGACAGGAAGGGAGGGAGCGTAACTTACTACATGATCTTCTGCAGGAAAGTCTCTTTGTCCTTGACCTCGATATTATCGCTGGGGAAATTCTGGTCGAGCAAAGCAGCTTCGAACCAGGCTTTCGAGTTGGCTTGACGTACAACCAGCTTCCTCAATGGATCACAAAGCTTGTCGAGCTCGCTACGAGCAGCATGTCCACCGATATTGTATATGAGCTTCTGTGCGAGGTGTGGTCCTATCGCTTGTATGGCGTTGTCAAGTTGTGATTGAATTTCTCGCGGTTGGTCTGTAATGTTTATTAGGGTGGCCTATACGATGGTCAGTACTTATGTTGTGTATGCTGAGGTCAAGAGATGTCACTTACCCAGAAATCCGCAGCTGCGGCCTTGGGCAAAGGGTCCGTTCCACCTAGAGCTCCAAGGGCAAACATGAAGAGGAATTCTAGTGAGACGACAGGTTGGTGGTTAAGAAGAATCTTAGGGAATTTGCTAGTCAGTCGCTGTAAGAACTCGATACCAGCTTGCGCAATCTCAGGATCATTGCTAGGTTCTTCGTAATGTTAGCTAAAGAGGAGATCAAAATCTGAAGGGAGATCTTACCTCCTAATGCTTGAAGTAATTGTGCTAGCCAGACAAGCAGAGTCTCCAGGACTTGCTCCAAGCCAGGTCCCCACTTCTTCGCGGCGATAAGAGAGCAGCTTGTATCGATCACACGAACGAGACGTGGAGTCTGTAAGGTTGCTCTCATCAGGAATTGTGATGATACTTCGGGAGCCATCACAAAAGGGCCAGGTTCCATCTCTCGAAATCCGTGACGCCAAACTCTGCAAAGCTCATCGATGATATCGCCGCTCATTCCTAAGACATCATATATGCGAGACATCATTGAATATATTCTCTGTTGGACACGGGATCCTTCTCCTGTGGTCCAGAAAGGAGAGACTGGGCTCTTGGATTCGAGATCGACAGGCTTGTCGTCAGGGACCTGAACACCTTTCGAAATACTAACGAGGCACTTCAAAGCCAAGATGCCGAAATCAAGGGCTGTAAGCTCTTTTCGAGAGCCATCAGCTCCAGTAACTACATAAACTGCACCAGCTGACGACGAAGCAATCATGCTCAAACAGCGTTCGATGTCTGTCTCAACGTAGTTGAAAAGAGTATCTAATGGAGCCAATTTGAAATCCTCGCTATCAAGTGCTTGTATGATAGAAGCAATACCTTCCATGACAGCTTCCTTGACGGCAGAGTCAAGTGCGTAATTAGAAGCGATATTGGTATAGTGTTGGAGAAAAGCACCTAGCTCGGGTTTAAGAACCTCTCGGCAATCGGAACAAAGCTTGGTAATAGACTTAGAAGCTGTTTTGGCTAGAGCTGTTGCGCTGGTTGCTTCGAAGACTATGTTCAGAACACTGGGTAGCTGTGAATGCCTACGTCCGAAATAGTCTGCATAAACGCTGACAAGATCCAAGAAGCCTTTCATTGCCCTAGTGGGCACTTCTTTGTTTGGGTCCATGAAAATAGCCACGAGTGCCGGTGTGAATATTTGATCCAAGTATTGGTCCTGCTGCTCGTCATCTGTGATGCAATCTGAAAACCACGACAAGCAGTATGTTGAGGCTTCTATCTGGGCCCAATCTTTAGTGGATGTTGATGCTTGTATCGAGGAGATGAAGAATTGTAGGAGACTGATGCCTGTTGTAAGATAGAATTGCTGAAGAAGGTCCGAGAAGTCCCGACGCGCATCCTTGAATCCTGTTCGGTCAACCGAATCCCACGAATTATATATGTTTCCAGGTGGGAATTGGCTCTTTCGCCAGCAGTTAGAAATAACCTGCATTACGTGGTCTTGGGCTGACTTGAACCACAGAGGGTGCTCGCCATCCACAGAGTAGATCTCGTCCACCATGGTTTCAACGAAAGTGTTCCAGAACTCGAGGGTGGGCATGTAGATTTTGTCTTCGTGAACTGCGTATCCTTCGGCAGAGAGAAGTCCACAAAGAGCTGAGAGGTATTGAGATTGAGCTACCGATCCGCTATTTCGAGTCAAGTCCTGGACGGTAGCATCGCCGAAAGCAAGCATGAACATTCCAAACTGAAGGGAATCGAATTCAAAATCTCCCATGACCAGTTGTTGGTAGCGTTCCTGGGCCCATGAACTATTCAGAATCTGCCTGAGGAGATTGAAGTCTTCGTCATGGAGAAACTTCGAATAGTTCGCAAGAACGTCAGAAAAGATCTCAACTGTGATCTCATATAGCTCGTCATTGCCAAGACACTCCTCCAAAGCAGGCTTTGATAACTTCCGCAGGGGTTCAAGAACAATCTCGTCGTCGACAAAAGCACGATGGGAGTAAGACACACAAGACTGAGAAGTTAGTAGTTTTCCAATGGAATCATCATGAAAGGGGTGTTAAGAGTTACCTGAAAGCATTTCAAAGCCTCTTGTCTGACTTTGATGTCAGCAGTGTTGTCTGATATGTATCGCGAGATCAATGGCGCAATGTCTTCGACGTTGGGTTTTACCAACTGATGAAACCTATGTCTGGAACGAAGAGTCAGTAAGGCGCAAGGCCGGTCTGCTGAAGGGAGTAACCGAACTGTTTCATATTATTGGAATCCATCTTTCCCACCTCATCTACGAGAGTAGTAGCAAACCAAAAGACAGCCACAGCTCTGTCGTTTGGGATGCTTTGGACCAATATTGAAGTTTCTGGGGCGGCTGAGAGCTGATCGTAGGGTAGAGCTTCATTGGCGCACATACAGTACATGATATGCTTAACACAGTCTGACCATGATGTGGAGAATTGGACGAAGTATGCTATTAAAGTAGAACATAACTTCCTGATGACAAGGGCTCTGTCGGAGCTGGTCATACATCTGATAAGCCAGCTGATGAGGGTCTGGAGTAATGCTTGCGCGTTCCCCTCAGTCAACGACTTTCTGTGTGTCGTTTAGTATACATCACTATTGTTTCTCTTTCGATCAACGTACGCGTCCGTGTTAAGTTTGACAATGAAGGTTAGAGCCGCAAAGAATCGGACTTGCTCGTTTTGGTGTTCCATCAAGCCATTTGCAAGCTGCCAACCCTGGGGAGCGCGCTGCAATTTTTGTAGTGTTTCTTGGATTTTGGCTATCTTTGCTGGGGCTCCAGGTTGATAGAGCTGGAGAATGAGCTTTTGTCGAATCAGTATAAGTCAAGACAGTCCGCGGATACGAGTAAGACTTGGAAGAGAACGACTTTTACTTGGCCATCTGAAATATGATCAAATCGGCCGAGTAACACTCGTTCTGAAGTACATAGAGGGATAGATCAAATAACTTACACTCTCAACTTCTTCGAGGGACGTGGGTAGGTCCCCACCAATGTTCTCCATTATTGCTGATCAGGTGAGACAAATGTGTGTCCATGTATCTCAAGTTCAACGTCTCGGAAGTTCATCGTATCAAGCCCTAGGAAGAGATCGTCGGGTAACTCAAGAAGACATTTTCAAAGACGGCAAAGAATTTAGAAATTTTGTTTTGTTTGTGAGAAGTTTGTTGTGGAAGGCATTATTTTATGGCAACGCTTGGCCTCGATTTTCAGGCGGTGGATAAGGCCCGCGTTATCATCAACTCCCTTGCCTCCCACTTCGTCCCTCTACTGCTCCCTGCCAAGGCGTTCATGAGTTGCTCAGTAAGTTTCTGGTCTTACCTTGCATATGAAGCATCTTCATAACTAATTACAACCTGAAGGTCTCCTGCCAATCTTCCGACACAGCTCGGTCATCCTTACTCCGCATCTGAATCCAGTCTCGTGTGCTCGTGGGGGGTTCCTTCCTGAATGAACCAATGCGATCTTTCCGGGCTCTTGGAAAAGCTTTCAGCAAGACCAGACCCTCTGTTCTTACGCAATACAAACCTCAGAACCTCCACATCTACATACGGTACAATTCCTACGCTACGAACGCATTCCGCAAAGGCACGTCAAGAAGCTCGAGACATCTAGCGGGGTACTGATGGAAGGATAGATTCAGACATGGAGAAGATTGATACGACAGACCGCCTTAATCGGTTGAGAGAGCTTATGAAGCAGCACAAGGTCGACGTTTACAGTATGTAAGTGTCCGGCATCCAAGCTTTAACCAGTCCCTAATACACTTGCAGTCGTCCCCTCCGAAGATAGCCATTCCTCCGAATATATCGCACCGTGCGATGCTAGAAGAGAATACATAACCGGTTTCACAGGTTCTGCGGGTTGTGCTGTCATCACTCATGAGAAAGCGGCTTTGGCGACGGACGGACGATACTTCAACCAAGCTACGAAGCAACTCGATGCTAACTGGCTGTTATTGAAGCAAGGTCTCCAAGACGTGCCAACTTGGCAAGAGTGGTCTGCAGATCAATCTGAGGGCGGGAAAGTTGTGGGCGTCGACCCTACAGTCATCTCAGCACCCGAAGCTCGAAAGCTCTCAGAGAAGATCAAGAAGAAAGGAGGACAAGACTTAGTGCCACTCGAGGAAAACCTTGTCGATACGATATGGGGACAGTCCCGCCCTGCCAAGCCTAGTGAAATAGTGAAACTGTTGCCTGTTCAATTTGCTGGGAAGGACGTCAAGACCAAACTCGAGGAGCTTCGAAAAGAGCTGGACAAGAAGAAGAGCTCAGGAATTATCGTTTCTATGCTAGACGAGATTGCTTGGCTCTTCAACCTTCGAGGCAATGATATTCCCTACAATCCTGTCTTCTTCTCGTACGCTAGCGTTACTCCTACGACAGCTACCCTATACATCGATGCTTCTAAGCTAGACAGCGATTGTAATACCTATCTGACCGAGAATGGGGTGTCTATTCGCCCATACGAGAAGATATTCGAAGATTCTCAGGTTCTAGCTGAGTCCTTGGATCCTGCTGAGGGCGAGGAAGCGCCTGAGGCGAAGATCAAGAAATTCCTCGTATCGACTAAGACCTCATGGGCTTTAAAAAGAGCTTTGGGCGGAGATACAAAAGTGGAAGATGTTCGAAGTCCTATTGGAGACGCCAAGGCTGTCAAGAACGATACAGAGATGGAAGGCATGAGAGCATGTCACATCCGGGACGGATCAGCGCTGATCGAATACTTTGCTTGGCTAGAACATCAACTTGTGGTCAAGAAGGCAACAATTGACGAAGTCACTGCTGCTGACAAGCTGGAAGAGCTGCGGTCTAAGCATAAGCACTTTGTCGGATTGTCTTTTGATACGATCTCATCAACAGGAGCTAATGCTGCCGTCATCCACTACATGCCGGAACGAGGCAATTGCGCGACCATTGATCCCAACGCAGTATACCTTTGTGACTCTGGAGCCCAGTACTATGATGGAACGACGGACACAACCAGAACCCTACACTTCGGGCAGCCGACAGAGCTAGAGAAGAAAGCATATACATTGGTGCTGAAGGGTCACATCGCCCTTGATGTTGCCATATTCCCCAAAGGCACGACCGGTTTTGCGCTTGATACATTGGCGAGACAATTCTTATGGGTATGTAAACATCATCAACTTTGTACTCGACTAACAGTTGAACAGGAAGAAGGATTAGACTACAGGCATGGCACTGGTCATGGAGTTGGTTCATATCTTAATGTGCATGAAGGTCCCATCGGCATCGGAACCAGAATACAATACTCGGAAGTACCTTTAGCGCCTGGTAATGTAATCTCTAATGAGCCCGGATATTACGAAGATGGCAACTTTGGCATACGCATTGAGAATATCATCATGGTGAAGGAGGCGGAAACAAAGCACAAGTTTGGCGACAAGCCATATCTTGGCTTTGAGCATGTAACCATGGTTCCTTACTGCCGAAAATTGATTGACGAGAGCTTGTTGACTAGGAGGGAAAAGCATTGGCTAAACGAATACCACGCCGACGTTCACGCTAAGACGAAGGATTTCTTCTATGCAACCTCTGTGGCAATGAAGTGGTTGGAACATGAGACGCAACCTTTCTAAGTACATATGGGTTTGGGGCAGGGATTCTCTGGCATAGCATGGCGAGCATGGAAGGAAGCGTTGTTTGATTATGGTATTCTACACGATACGAGTCTAGTATAATGTTACGATGACAACCAGGACCTAAAACTTCATGAAGGCTGCTAAGGCGAACGTGGTGCCGAAGGAGAGTTTGAAAGCAACATTGTCTTGAACAGCTGAGCGGAGATCGATGCTTGTGACGTATCGTTGAAGTCGATTGTAGGGTATTATATTAATACCTAATTGAGATGAAGCATACTACACTGGTGGTCAGCGCTGAACCTTCGCGCTTTTCTCTTTTTCCGTTTGAAGTGTTAGTTTTTGACTTGAACATACCTGCACACCAACAATCAAGAGTCCAAGCACAATTGCTAATGGTCTCGAGAAAGTACTGACAACCAGCCCGGCACAAAGACCTGAATCAATCAGCATTTCATTTTGTGTTTTTACATCAAATTCATACCAACAATACTTCCGCTACTAATCTGCCTCACAGCCCTCTCATTCAAACCTCCATTTCGAATCACAGGTACCTGGGCATTCTTCCTGTAGCTATCCCCGGACAAAATTGACCCCGACGACGATGGAGATGAATCAAGACGAATAGCTTGCTGTCGATATACCGCGTGATATGTTGTCAAAGAAAGTCCTAAGCCAAGACCAAGAGCTTGGGGTCTAAGGAGGGGGCGAAGGAGGAGAGATGCCATTGTGCTCTTACAAGTCGATTTTGAATGTTCGTCTCAAGACAGTGGATGGAGCACGAGGAAATGCAGGTACGAATTGAGGCTCAATTATAGCTGTGCTGGCTCTTAAACACAAATTGCGAATCGATCATCAATGCACGTGGTGACAATTTGAGCTCCTGCTCGCACAGCTTCATCCCTAGCTCCACCATTCATTGACATCACCATCCCCCATGTAAACGCCGACCGCCGATCCTCACACCTCGAAAAATCACAACGGGTAGACTCTCGGTTTGCAGCGGCCTTGAAGGAATCATCCCGCATGTTTCGATGGAGGGGTAATGCTTCCTTTTTTCTCCGCCGTTATGTGTAAATGTCCGAAAACGGAAGGCTCCTTTGGTTAGGAATAGACCGGTGAACGAGGAGCATGTTTCTCTGACTCCAGATCCCGAGTGCGATGAAAAAGATGGAGGAAGAAGGGCGTGGGACAGGGATTTGATTTAGGGGTGACCCCTCCGATTCGGCCCCGGATTAGAGGGGTTTGGTAGGTAGTTAAAAAAAATTACTTAGAGCATTTTTGGTGACCTGACTTGAGGGAAGAGTCATAACACTTTGTTGCAACGTTCAATTCACTTCTGATTCTCTGGAGACTTAGTTCCTCTTGTCCGATACGTTGATTGTTATTCTTGATTAGGTTCTGCGAGAGATAATAGAAAGAAAAGTAATGATCAACGAGAACTCCAGAATGGCCACCGAGTTACCTACCAACAGTACCAACGGCCAAGGCCAAGGCCAATCCAATGGAAGCAGCAACACTAAAGACTTTACTGTCAAGACTGGTCTTGCTCGCATGCTGAAGGGAGGAGTTATTATGGATGTTGTCAATGCGGAGCAGGTATGCTATCTTCTCTTCCACTTACTTCACTGCTCAATGATTTGAGACTGACTCATGGATTTATAGGCAAGAATAGCAGAAGAAGCTGGAGCTTGCGCCGTTATGGCCTTGGAGAGAGTACCGGCAGATATCCGTGCTCAAGGTGGTGTGGCAAGAATGAGTGACCCGAAGATGATCAAGGAGATCATGGCAACGGTTACAATTCCTGTGATGGCTAAGGCGAGAATTGGACATTTTGTCGAGTGCCAGGTATATTTTACCTTTCCTTACCTCCACTACCTTCTCTATTCCGAACAATGGGAAATCGTAATGGCTATTGCTGACGTCTTTGAATCATAGATCCTCGAAGCCATTGGCGTAGACTACATCGATGAATCCGAAGTCCTCACACCCGCCGACCATGCCCACCACGTCGAGAAACACCCTTTCTCTGTCCCCTTCGTCTGCGGATGCCGAAACCTAGGTGAAGCCCTCCGTCGTATCTCTGAAGGTGCTGCTATGATCCGTACAAAGGGTGAAGCAGGAACTGGAGATGTCATTGAGGCCGTCAGACACATGCGAACCGTCAATGCCGAGATTGCTAGAGCATCCGGCATGAGCGATCCAGAGCTGAGAATACTGGCAAAGGAGATCCAAGCTCCGTTTGAGCTGTTAAAGGAGACTGCCAAGCTTGGTAGATTGCCTGTTGTTAACTTTGCTGCTGGAGGTGTAGCTACGCCTGCTGATGCGGCATTGATGATGCAGCTTGGTTGCGATGGTGTATTCGTTGGCTCAGGTATCTTCAAGTCTGGAGATGCGAGCAAGAGAGCGAAGGCTATCGTCCAGGCCGTGACACATTACAATGACCCGAAGGTTTTGGCTGCTGTGAGTGAGGATCTTGGTGAAGCTATGGTGGGATTGAACGTCAGTGCTATGGATGCGAAGGACAAGATGCAGGGCCGAGGCTGGTAATTGCTTCTTATCAGCATGGATTTTTCAACAAAAGCAAAATAAACAATTTGTAATACGAAGTTGAGGCATCTCCGTGACATAGAAAGGAGGTTGAGGTTATAGTGAAGTCGTCTGATCGTCCCCTGTACTTCGTCTGTAAATCCCAATCGAAGTTCCAGACGCAGGGATCAAGAACAGAATTCCAATCCCACCAAAAAAGAACGATCTCGTTCTCATCAAGATCTAGAAAGCAAGGAAGATAGCCACCTTCGCCACACCTCTTGCCTTGCATCGTAACCAATAACTCTTGCTTTATTGCTGCACGGTTCATGCGGCTTCTCATCATCGCCGCCCCATTGTCCAATCCTGTTTCCTCGCTCACTTTCCGCCAGCTTGACCACTAGAAACTAGATCCCGCACCTCCACTCGATGTCCCACCTTCACCTACTAACTGTCCGATAAATATAATCCTCTGTACATTCCTCCCTTGAACAGGATGCAGCCGCCATGTTGCCTCCAAGTCGCAGATTCGCAGCCGTGGCACTGGTGCTGCTGGTCTCTTTTGTAGAGATCCAGAATGGTGTAGAGGGTAGCAGCATAAGCACAGCTTCGACACCGACGACGACTGCTGTGCAGAGTACAGGGACCTGCGAAGCCAGGACGATCAACTATATCACAGACTCGCTGCCCCAGCAATGTTTGCGGAAAGAGTGGAATGGTTTTAATGGCACTGGAGCTGGAAGCTCCAGTGCTATTGTTGCGACAGAGGGGTTGGAGGGAGCAATGAATACTTCGACGATCACTGTGGCATCTGCGGACTCGATAGCGAGTCCGATTCCTTCTTCTACAGCCCCGGAGACGGCGGAAGCGTCAGCTACAGATCTCGAGAGCGGTGAGCTGGGCGAAGCTTCGTTCTTGTCTTTTGAAGAGTGGAAGAAGCAGACACTTGAGAAAGCCGGACAAGCAAATGCCAATATTGGGACTAAAAAGTCTGGAGATGTGAAGAAGAGGGATAGCGAGAGTTTCCAGAATAACCTCGACTCGTTGGGAGATGAAGGAGAGATTGATCTGGACTTCAGCTCTTTCCGGACGGGAGGGAAAGGAGATGAGAAAAGTCAAACCGAGGATGCCGGAGAAACTGGAGCAGGGCAAGAGTCTCAAAAGGTAGAGGGAAATGGGAGAAAGAAAGATCACCATAGGAGTAATGATGCTGGGAAGACGTGCAAGGAGCGGTTCTCCTATGCTAGTTTCGATGCTGGAGCTACGATTTTGAAGACACATCCTGGAGCCAAGAATTCCAAAGCTGTCTTGATTGAGAACAAGGACTCTTATATGCTATCCGAATGCTCTGCTGAAAACAAGTTTATCATCATCGAGCTTTCAGTATGTTTGCCTCTTCTAGATTATTATGCCTATGTTAATAATCCTACAGGAAGATATTTGGATAGACACCGTTGTCCTTGCCAATTACGAATTCTTCTCCAGCCAAATTCGAACCTTCAGAGTCAGTGTCAGCGACCGATATCCAGTAAAGATAGACAAATGGAAGGACGTCGGGACATACGAAGCTCGAAATTCGAGAGAGATACAAGCATTCTTGATTGCAAATCCTCAAATTTGGGCAAGGTATATCAGGATAGAGTTCTTGAGCCATTATGGTAATGAATACTATTGCCCATTGTCTCTTGTCAGAGTTCATGGAACACGGATGCTGGAGAGCTGGAAAGAGACTGAGTCTATCAACGATGAGGACGAGGGCGATAGTGAGGGAGAAGAAGCGTATGTCCCTGATGCCGTAGCAGAGATCATTCAAGAAGAAGAGAAGCTGAGAGCTGCTGCTGAAGAGATGATCAAAGCTGCTCAAGAAGCAGAGCATGCTGCCCGTGGCACAGAAAAAGGAGACATAGATTCAGCAGAGGCTGATATTGATTCAAAGATTACACCTTGGGTGAAACTCGGCTTTTTCGATGTAGCAAGCCCAAATTGGCTCGAAGATACCTGTCTCCCTGGAGAAGCACCTGTTGTTGAGGCCCCTGTTATTGCAATTCCCACAGCCACAGCGAACCTTACTACTACAACTTCAAGAAGCCATACGTCGAGTTCAACGTCTAGTTCTGCTACAGAGACTACTGTTTCAAATGGCAATACTGCTATGTCGTCTCCCTCTTCGAATGTCGAATCAACAGCCTCAAGCAGTACGACCAAAGAATCCTCAACTCCAGTTTCTGTGCCATCTAACATTATAACTTCATCCGAAGTTGCCTCTTCGAACTCAGCGACCCAAGCCAGCAAGTCGCAAAACGTAACCACTACGCCTAAGAACAAAACGACTAGTACATCATCAGCAACTTCTTCCCTCCCAACGATCCAAGAATCTTTCTTCAAAGCTGTGTCTCGGCGTCTCAATTTCCTGGAAACAAATTCTACTCTATCTTTGAAGTATATCGAAGAGCAGTCCCGGATTCTGCGAGAAGCGTTTACGAAGGTTGAAAAGAAGCAGTTGCAGAAGACGACTACTTTCTTGGACACCCTGAATAGTACGGTCCTTGACGAGCTTCGACACTTCAGACAGCAGTACGATGAGATATGGCAAAGTACTGTCATATCACTAGAATCGCAAAGAGAGGAGTCAAGAAGGGAAATACTGGCTATCAGTTCTCGCCTCAATATCTTGGCAGATGAAGTAGTCTTCCAGAAACGGATGTCGATTGTACAGTCTGTTCTTGTGCTCTTATGCCTTGGCCTTGTGATCTTCACGCACGTCTCTGGTGGCAGTCCTCTCGAATACTCCAACATGAATAACAGAATGAGATTCATGTCTGGTATGGGCATGGAAAGTCCAATCGAGAGTCCACCGCATAGTCCAGAATACGTCAGGAATGATCCTATTAGGACTAGACGAGATTGGCTAGAAGTTGAGCATAGAAGACAGAGAAGTGATGAGAGGATGGGAAGTAGGTCGCGGAGTAGAGGAGACGAAAGTCCCCAAACTCCATTGTCAGCATACTCGCAGACCGAGGAAGTAGCAATGACACCTCCATCTGGGCCTGAAGATGTCTTCGTCAAGAACGAGGCTGAGTTACCAGCTCTTCCTGTGGAAGATGTTGAGCTTCCAGAAAAGTTCGAACCGCTTTCATCCTATCAATCTGCTGAATCTTTTGAAGACCCAACACCTCAAATCCCTGAAGAGATCGTTATCACACCACCAGAGATCCCAGCACAGTCTCCAAAACGTACGCCAAGGAAACGAAAAGCTTCCATAAGACAAGAACCCAGTCCTCCACCCAGTGGAGCAGAAGAAGTTCTCCCTCCTGACCTTCCATCATCTCCCACACCCGATCCACAACCAATCCCACAGCTAGAGTTCCCAGACGAACCAATCCCAGTCAACTCACCGCAATATTCGAGATCGACGTCAGACCTCGACCTCTATCAAACCTTCCCGCCAAGATTGCCATCACCTCCACCTGAGTCCTCTCCCAGCTCGAATATAAATCGAACCGAAGCCTTCAACGGTAACGATATTGGGGTGGCTGTCCCAATGAGTAATGGCAGCAACAGGCACTCCATGCCCTCTCTATCTCGACTTCAATCTTTAGCCAATACCTCCACCTCCCCAATCCAACCTCAATCCTCGCCCACCACGCAAGCACAACCTTCAACACAATCATCACCAACACCGAAAGGACACCACAAGCTGCAAAGCTTCAGTATCGCTCGAAAACCCCTTCCTGCTCTACCTGTCGACTAATAAACAACCTTGCTTCTCTTCTCGTTCTCGATTCTCGGACAACATAACGAGACACATCTTTGGCTTTGATATTGGCAGACACAGCACATCCTGTATTCTTTTAATCAGCATTCAGCACGGCGTTAGAATTCTTCACGAGATTTGGATGAGACCCATGAATGAGACATGATGGGTCGGTACTGAAGACATGCATGCATTGGATATCTTGTAGATAGCAACGGATATAACAGATCCACGGCGTAGATTTTGAAGATATAATATTGAGATTCTTGATGAAGTCTTTTCAGATTGTTTGATGTGATTGTGATGACTCCTGGTTCATGTTCATGATTGATTGATCGATCTATTGCGTACTTAAACTGCTTGACCTTGAGCTGCGAATGTTGTTCCTCTGTCATGAAGTCTCTTCGTTCGAGGCCGTCAACAGGAGGAGGAAGTAGTCAGAGAAGACGAGTTCATTCATAAGATCACAGGAGTCACATCTCGAGGGGAAAAGGTCAAGTGAGTATTGAAAAGCATCGTTTTGCAGATATCATCAGACCTTCCTAGTAGAAAACCATCGATCTATCGAAGAAAAGCAGCGCAGCAGCCATGAAAATTCCTCCCAATCTCCCAATGCAAAGGGCCAGTCATCTTCATATTACCACCCAAGGTCGGGAGCAACAAAAAGCTAAGTTGCAAAATTGTGTCTATGTAAAAAAGGGCAAAGACAGGAACCGGTATTGCCAAGCCATTCGCCAACTTCGTCAAAACACCCGAAAAAGAGAGTCGTAATCTCCAAGTTTCACCAGAAGGCTCCGAACATAGCCACATTGGTGTCGACTTCCCAAAGCGAGAAAGACAAAGGATCTGAAGTGTATGGTGGGCACTCAGTATTCTGTTGAATCGTCAGCAAAGTCTGCACCATGAAGGAAATGATCACTTACGATGAGCATCATTACCGTTCCAGCCAAGATATCCGCCGCGGCCGCCACGACCACCACGAGCAAAGCCACCGCCACGAGAGAAGCCTCCACGATGACCTCCACGATGATAAGAGCCATGATAGCTATTACCGAAGGGTCCGTCGAAGTTCTCTTCGTATTCTTGAGCAGCCATAGTTGTGCCTCGGTCAAATTGCGAGAGACGGTTGCGCTGTTCAAAACGATGGTGTTGACCAGCCGCAGGAGCGAAGAGGCCTGGGTTACGTGAGTTTTGAACATTAGAAATGAAGATGGAGAAGAACTTACCAACGTGTTCAGCATTCTGACAGGATCTCTGCAGCTTGCTTTGATTATCAGAACGAGGAAATGGTTCTTCCTGACCAGCAAGCGGGTGACCTTCCGTGTAAAACAACTACGAAGTCATCAGATACCGCATCAATCAATAACAAGAGGAGATGATTTACCTTTGGTCGACACTCCTCAGGCTCGAGCATAACGCTCGAGTTGCGGAATTTCTGAATAAGACAATCGCGGCCTTGAATTGCTGGACACAAATTAGATGCATGTCTCTTGAAAGATAACACAGACAACTTACTGGCATACGAAACCTCGGCGACCTTATCACTATGGAAATCCTCCCTGTGTATATCAGCAAAGTGATACTGTTTGAGGAGTGTTATAGCTTACCAGCGACGATTGGCACGCGCACGAATGAATTCGATAATATCCATCGGCTGTGAAGTCAGGAAAACTGTCTCAAAGTTGGATGAGTTGAAACTTACATCGAGATAGTTGACGAAGGCATATCCGACACTGAACGAGGTTAGCAAAGGTCAAGCAAGTGGCATTTGAGGGTACATACTTGGCACCGTTGGAGAAGTCAATACGCAAGTACATAAAGTCATACTTGCCACGCGAGGTTTGATCAAGGAATGCCTTCAGCTCCATTTGGTTCATCTTGTTGGGGATGTTTCGAACCATGATCTGTTCTTGCATAAGCAGTGCGAAAAGACATTGGGAATGAAGACTTACTGTGGTTCGAACATCCGAACCATTGTAGATGCGTTCGATCGTGACTATATTCTCAGACTTATGTTCATCACGACGAGAGCCTCCCAATCGACGTGAAGCATAGTTTCCACGGGATCCATAACCGCCGCGAGAACGACCGTAGGGGTAAGATGGAGCATGGTGATGATCATAGTAGTCATCCAATTCGTATGCGAAGCCGCTTGGCTGCATGCCATATGAAGCCATGGGCATGGGGGCGACCATCATAAGCTGCTGGCCGTAAGGTATCATGCCAGAGCCGCTAGATGCCGGCGCAAATCCATAGAATGGGGAAGCGGCATTAGGGCCAGGCTGTGAATAGACGACCATGGCTTGCCGAGTGGCGTAACCGTTCGGGAGGGTATTCGTGTAACCTGCGGTCTCATTACCACCGAAAGACATTGAGCCCATCATGTCAACTAGATCTCCAGATCCAGACGAAGACAGGTGTGCATAAGGGTCGACTCTGACGTCCGGGTGGTGAGCCTCGGCGTGAATAGTCTCGCCCTGACTGATCAGTCAACTGTCACCTGGAGGCTGGGGAAGATAACTTACATCAACATTGTTGCCTGTGAGACGCTGAACTGCACGCGGGACCTTCTCGGCGTTGTTGAACTCAACTACGAGAAGCATCTTTCCGTCTCCAGGAACAGGCATGGTCTCGAATGCACAGACGGTGCCTTGGTCATTGATAAGCTGGCGTACCTTGGCTTCAAATTCATGCTTGGCGATGCCAGTCTTGGCGCTTGAAGGGTATGGGACCGTGACGGTTACTTGGCCTTCATAGTCCGTGACTTTTCCGGAGAAGTGAGGGAAGATCTGTGATTTTATCAGCTACTGCTTCGGCCACCGATATCGGGATATACTAACATCGGACAGAGCCTTTGTGCCAAAGTAAGAGACCTCACAGAGTTCAGGGGCATTCGTGAGGAAATCATGAACAGCGATAGCGTCTGTGAGGTGACTGTGTCGAATGTATACAATCTTATCGGAGATAGGATTGAACGACTGATTTCCTTGAAGACGATGGGTCATGAGCTTTGAAACGCGTCAGCCATGAGAAGCCAGCATGTGCAGGAAGGATGGGGACGAGAGACTTACATTTAGCCAATTCATGATACCTGGGATGCCGGATCCTTCTGCGGTGCAGACCACCTTGACTACTCGCGAGGTAGTTGAATCCTTGGTGAACGTACCAGATCGAGTCAATGAGTTCCTGGGAACGTGTTCACTCGTGGCAATGAGGTTATTGAGGTAGCTGGCCGCGAACTTCTCGCCTTTGTTGACGCTGCTCACACCCTTATCCATGGTTGGTTGAAATGCCGACGCGTTCACGTTTAGGCCAGGGCGAGCAGAAGTTGAGAACGGGTCTGCGAGGCCAGTACCATTCTGTTGAGCAAAGGTATCAATAGCGCCGCGGGAAGCCTGGCGATATTGTTCAGGGGAGAATACCAAGCTCGTATCTTGGGTCATCACGCTCTCCGAGTAGGTGTAAGGGCTAGCCAACGTGTTGTTGGTCGAATAGTGACCACGGTCAGACTGTGAAAGTGAAGTAAGCCTTGTGATCTGGAGACTCGAGAACAGGAGAGCACAACTTACCTCGGATCCAGGAGAGCCTGCCTTACGGCCAGTCCGACCTCCTCGTGTTTGTCTATCACGCTCATAGTGAGGCGTGTTGCTTGGGATGTGAGACATGTTGAGGTTGAAAGTGACTCGAGGACGTGTGTGTGTGTGAAAGAAGAGTGAGGTTGAATAAGAAGTGAAGGGGAGGCTTCAGGATGAGTCAATAGACGCAGCTGGCCTCAGGACGATGTGAAGGAGCTGAAAGGAGATTGATTAGACGACGCTCGTAACGAGGTGATTACTTGAGTGAATCTCTTACCTTCAGGAGGAGTGAATAGACACAGCTGGCCTCAGGACGATGACCTTGTGAAGGAGCTGAAAGGAGGTTGATTAGACGACGCTCGTAACGAGGTGGATACGCGAGTGAACTGCTTACCTGAGGCGAAAGGGAAGGCTGTCAGGCTGAGTGAATAGACACAGCCGGCCTTAGGACGATGACCTCACGAACGAGCTGATAAAGGGGTTTGAATAGACGACGCTCGTAACGAAGTCAATACACGATTGAGTCGCTTACCGGAGGTGAAAGGGGGGAGAAGTAGAAGTGGACGAAAGTGAGGGGGCGGGTGATGTGAGTGGGCGGTGTGTTGATGAGGGGAAGATGAATCCGACACAAATCAAGAGGTGATTCTCAACTGTCTACTAATCTTGCGTGGGATTCGCAGGGATGTAATAGATTGATGAGGAGGTGTACTCAAGTTATGGGAAGGTAGAAAAAAGTTGTAAGATGGATGGAGGAAGAAGAAAGAAAATGGGGGGAGAAATTTCTTTTATGCTGCTTAGCTTCTCCGTGCTGCGGGGGTGTCTTCCGTGCAACCTCCAAACGGGAAGGAACTCACGATGTCATCGTCAAGTAGGTGTAGCGTGTATCACATGCAACATCGTTCCATCGACCGACTTCAGAACTTAATGAGCGTATCAAAGATGATGCAAAATGCACAGCCTTGCACGTAATCTTCGCGCACACTCGATGCATTGTGCATTATAGATGAGATGACCAGTAAACATAAGCATCGCCCATGTGATCTACATGACATTACGAGACAAGCCTCCAACATTTGGGTTTTCAGATACTGATATCTGAGACTAGACATATCAGGACAAGATGTCCTACCGGAAGGAGGGACATTGAAAATGTGCTAGAAGAGAAATCCAAATCCAAATCTTAAATGTTACAATTAGCGTTTGAAACCTGACATATTAAAATAGTATGTGCTATGGTAAGCGGGGACGTTCAAGATTTGCTCAAACAAAAATTCAAATTGAAAATTCAAAATCAAAATTACAATTCCTGAAACCAGACATATAAAGACGAAATGATCTATAGTAAACAGGGACATTCGTAAATTTGCTCAAAGAAAAATGCAAAATGCGAAATTCCAAAATTGATTTTGCCAGAATCTCACCAAGGCAACTTCTAGCAACAGTGAATCTACACAATACAGACATGAGTAGTTATGAATAGAGTCAGTATATAACGAAATGAAATGTACTATCATAGCCAAGGACATTCAAATTTGGTCTACAGAAAAGTTCAAAATGCAAATTCCAATAATAATTCTTTTTCTGGCAAATTTCACCAAGTCATTTTTACTAACAGTGAAGGCGTACAACACAGGCGTGAGTATTTAATTACAAAATCAAGGCATATTAGAATCAAATGTGTTATTATAACCAAGGACATTTGGACTCTGTCCAAGGAAAAATCGAAAGTCAAAATCCTTTGAGTGAATTTTCACCTAGTGAATTTTCAATGATATTGAGACTTACACAATGGGAATCTGAGTATTTAGCTTTAGTTTCCAGACATGTAGGATGGAAATGCGCTGTGATAAGGAGAAAGACTCAAACGTCACTCAGGCAAATGGCACATGTATGATTTTCTCATATATCCTCCAAGTCAGTTTTGAGCGAGGCTTGACCTTATTGAAAATGGGTTCCTGAAAGTCAACTCTTGTGTTTCAAGCATTCGGAAGAGCAAGATTATTTCGTGGTGGAGACATTCAGAGCTGTGAACAGAATCCTGAACTTGCTCAAGAGCTATTTCACAACGTCCACTACACAACTTTATATGATTTACGAAGGTAAACTTGACGATACTGATCTAATTCTGCATGTCTGGGCTCTCAATACATCCATACAATTGGATAAAGTCTTAATATAAGAAGATTCATCGAGAGGTGGCCCAAAACTTAACCAAAATGCAGACCGCCGATGAAGTGACGTTGAGACCCACGTGATACTCCTATTTAGCCGAATTTCGGCTAGCAAGCATCGACGAGCAATAAAACTTCAATAAGTGACTTGCTGGTGTTGTGCATCGAGCATCTGAGGCCGGGTGGGCGAAAGAGACAACGGAATTGCTGAAAATAGGTCTCAACGCAACAGCAACAACCATAATTCCATATCCCACGTGACACCCCTTGAATAGCCGAATTTTCGCTACGGGCAACTGTTCTCGAGCGTTTGCCATTGTTATGTGGATAATGAAGAAGGTGGAGGTGTTTCATAGGGGGAGGGTTCGGTATTGGTGACAAAACACCACATTCCATCGCTCTCCCAACCAAATTCAACATGCAACTGAATTTGCCTTTACAAACACGGTACGACTTATTCTCGTGTGCCCTGAACAGCAGGCCGACAGGAATTGAGGTTGGGGTGAAGGTAGAGACATCCGAACCAGTTCGGGAAATGAAGACACTTGCTCTCCAATCGATCGAATGCAGTCTCTTGTTTTAAGTGAGCAAGCTCTAGTCCTCGAACGGCATGTAAGCGTGGTCTCCAGACTTGCAAAATCTGACGAGATGAAATGATGTTGTGAGTCGGGACGTTTGCGGGTAGCACAAGTAGCTTTTGGTGCATGAAGTGAAGAGTGGAAATTGGACTCCTCCCCTGCATCAAATTGAAATCGGCTCGGACTTCGCCCCGGTTGCTTGTCCTTTGTTCTGTAGGAACCCTAAAGACGTAGTTGTTGCACATGCTGAGATATTCGACAAAACTGCACGACACCGAAAGAAACCACGTCGGCAACACTCTATACAACTCACTGCGCACTTTAAGGAGCTGCGTAGGATAAGATGTAACAGCATTGTCCTTGCTATCACTGAATAAATTACCAGGCACATGAAAGAGATAGAGACGATCAAGTTCCCCCTTCCCCAGCTAGTAGTCGAATAGCAACTCAACAAGCTCGCAGGACCTTCCGCACATCACCAAATCTCTCAGCGGAGACTTAATGGATATGGATGTCGGGTCATGGGCATGAGTGACTTCAAAGCCACAGCTGCAGACAGGGAAGATCAGGCCTAGACTGCGCAGCTCCAGTGACTTCCTGCAGAGGTTGAAAGAACGAGTTCCATATTTAATCTGATCTGAGTGCTTGAAGAGACTTGCACAGGGGGTCTGATCATTTGACAGAAAACAAATGCATACTTCTCCAACCGTCATCCGGCAGATGTGATAGTTGGCAGTTTTGTCAGACCGCTCAATCAAAATGGAGAGTTCCTCAAGCTCTCACGTTGAACATGGTTCTGCTCTTTACTATGGGTTGTTTTATTTTTCCTTTTGGCCATGAAAGGTTCGATCTGTCAAAGGAAAGCGTTCTTGGTTGATCCCGGGCTTGGGAAGAAAGAGAACTTTGAACTCCACTTCCTTACTGATAGATGCATTCTGCAAGCAACGTTTGCTGCAGTGTGAAATTTGGGTTTGCATCTTGAATCTTCAACTTTCTTTGTGCTCTGCGTCTCGTGAAATTCTTGAGCAACGAGACAAAAGAGGACCGAACACTCAGTGGCAAACCGAAAAGACCATACAAATCCGCCACTGACTAGGTTTCACCAAGAGAGTGTGGCATTAACGTTGGGACTTTGGAATTTCAACGATAACTGTGCTAGGAGAAGTCTAGTAACTCTGACTTTTTCTTTGCAGCCACTTGAGACACAACAAACCTTACCCGTAACGAGAATTGCTGTTCACCAAAAGAAGTACAGACCAAAATTTGTTATGCTTACTAAACAACAATCTCAGAACATGCAGGTTTTGGCAAGTGAGTTGCTTTTGAGTACGGTAAAATGCTCATTTGCTCAGAGTTGATTAAAACGAGCATGGACATGCAACAAAGTTGAGTCTCAATTGCCAGTGAAAGGATTTAATAATATCGCCATCTCACCCTGCCAACTTGCAAGTAGATTTTTCCTGGAGGGCAACTACCACTCCTTCCAAAGGGAGATTCCTGCGGAAGAGAAGGGTGAGGCCACCATTCTTAAGAAAGCAAATACAATTAACACACAAAACAGTACTGTATTTTGCCCGCGGGTATTAATCGAGGACTACTCGAGGATATGGCTTGCACGAGGAAGATTCGCTCGACCGTTCAGATGTCCAAGCATATAAGATGGATTTAGCATCAACCCCTCAACACTAAATTTATGGCACTTGCCAAAGACCAGCCTTGTGGTTTAGAGAGGACTGAATGAGATATTTCATACTTTGATGTAACAATACCAGATTTACTGTTCCTCAAGCGGACGGATTTTGCGATTACCACGACATGATGGATAGGAGCATGCACCATAACTAGATCTCGTCTTTTTCAACCTCTTGACTTGAAAATCACTTCCAAAACCGATGAGTATCTACATCCTAAAGACACACTTGACTCTTATTCATCCACTTTAGTTTCAATCAGGGAAGCTCTAGGTTAAAGCTTGCGCAACTGATTATATAGTCTTGCAGTACCTAACCTGGCTTCAGTCTTCCAATTAAGGCAAAGCTAAATGAACTTGCAGGAGTGACGGAGGAACAAGTCATCATCGTTGAAAACAGACAAACGAAACCTAAGGAGAAACAAGATATGCACTCCTAGGGGGGACAGCGAGTGACATAGCTTGATTTTGCTGAGAAGCTAGAAGAACACGGACTCAATATTTGTTGCAATAACTCGCAGCCCTATGTTCTTGTTCATAATTACGGCACGATGTTTTCATCCAGACCAAAATCATCCGTTCTCTTCAATTGAAATCATGCAGTCAAGACCTCTGGATCTAGTGTACGGGAAGGAACGTTCGTCTGATCGCTTTGGACCATCGTTACATATAACAGACTTGACGGTTCCTTCCCACGTACACTTCCCAATCCATGATTATAGACATATCTTTGACCACTTCAGACGACAACGGAAACTTCATGCCACAATTCGAGGGCCACTTCTTGCTGAGAGGCTGCTTCATCTGGTGCTTGGGCTTTGGGGCAGCAGTACCATAACATACTTTCCATGAAGCAGGCAGCAAGTCTGAAGCCTCTGCAAGACTCAGCATTGCCAAAAAGTCTTGTTTGTTTGTATGTCTTTCACTGCACCAATTAACTCTCCCTACAGAGATTTGGGAGCGGCCAAAATTGCTGCTCACAGCACCTTCTTCTTGTAGAGCCACTAGCTTAACGAGAGTCCGAGCCCCGAGAGATCGCATCGTCTACTACTAACATATGAAACTCCCTTCTCATATCTAAATTCTTCAACTTTGAAGATTGGATCAGGCCAGTCTAGCATCTTCAGCCCTCCACATAGATGATAGACCACTTCTCCTCTCCACCACTGACTCATCACAAGCTACCATAGGCAGCACCATCAAGAATGTCTCCGAGTAAATATATGCATATTCTATCTCTGTGCCCAAAACATACGAGCTTGCGGACCTGTCAAACGTCAGCCGATTTTCAGACGCGGGGTAGACTCCAAGGCGACGATTTTCTTTCATTGCCGCAGCAAGAATCAGCGTGAGCCAGAATTTCTGCAACAATTTGAGACCGGCCAGCGCAACAGCAACACCATACTCCAGCAACGAACTTTGTTCTTGGAAGATTGCACAGTTGAAGACGACGCGACGAAGAACGAGAGCCGACGAGGTCCGACCGCGATTTTTCTTAGCCCTGGCCTCATCAGCATAGCGTGACACTACGGCGATAAGTATCGCCGTCCTCCGGCGTCTCGGCCTGCAAGGCTCCATACAGATTCAGGCACGGCATACAGAAGACAATACTGTGATAGCTTCGAGCTCTTGAGGTTGATATGCTTTGCAACTTCGACAACATAAGGTACCACCATCATGTCTCGCAAGGTACCCCAATACGATGACTATCGAGTCGCAGTACAACAAGTATTATATCTTCACTGCTCATGCCACTATGTTTCTGACAGTAATATAGATTATCCTGTCCTCCTCTGACTCGGACTATCTCGACCAACTGATACCAGCTCTCAAAGATGCTACGAATTCCAATCGAACACCAGGCCTCATGCAGAGCTTGTCCCAGTATGCCAACGAACGCGAGGCTGATATCGAACGAATTGGTTTGACCAAACATGACGAATTCCTCCAGTCTGTCAACCAGCTACAGAAAGTCCGGGAGGGGACTGTAGCTCTTACATCTGAGATTCTACAGCTCAACCAGTCGATACAAGCAAGCACCGAGAAGTTAGCGGCACAGAAGGAAGCGCTGGTGGATACGAAAGCGATTCGACAGAACATTGCTGAAGCTGCGGAAGCTCTGAAGGAATCATTGAAGATCTTACATGCAGTGAATCAAGCTCATGATCTGATCAAGAAGAAGAAATACTACGCAGCTCTGAAAGCGCTGGACGATCTTCAGAACGAACATTTGATCCCTACAATACAGAACAAATATGCTACGCAGCACAGGTTGGCGGATATCATCCAGAAATCCATACCTTCTTCCCAAAAGGCTATCTCGGAAGCTGTCATGTCGGACTTGAATACCTGGCTATATCGAATCAGAGAGACCTCGCAGTTCCTTGGAGAGGTTGCTTTCTACCATACAGAACTGCGACGGACTAGGCAGAAGGAACGCATGGAGTCAGATGAATATCTACGGAACTTCAAGCTCAATTCTGCCATTGAATTAGTGTTTGACGAGAGTGAGGAGTTTGATGTGCTGGACAATGAGGAGCTTCAGGTTGACTTTACACCTCTGTTCGAGTGCTTGCATATCCATGAAGCTTTAGGACAGAGCGATAAATTCAGATCAGACTACGCGGCAACCCGAAGAAAGCAGAAAGAGCTGTTGCTTCCTACTGCTATTAGTTTAGTCGACGACGACGAAAATAGTTTGAGCAGTTTACTAGAAGGTATTGCTGGCTTTGCCATCATCGAAAAGGCAACTATGCGACGAGCTCACAATCTACGTTCTCCAGTGGATGTTGACGAACTATGGGATTCCATGTGTCAGACTGCCATTTCGCTGATCACCAAGGCATTGGACACCATTGACAATGCCGAGGTGCTCCTTAAAATCAAGGGCGTCATTGCTCTGTTCATTCAAACCATGGACGTAAGTTGAGATTTTGAGCTACTCGTGGTCGGTGCTAATGTTCTATGCAGGGCTGGGGTTATTCTGTGACAACGTTGGACAACTTCTTGCTGACTCTGTTCGACAAATATGCTGAACTGCTCAAGAAGAGGTTCAGTGAAGATTTCCAAGAGGTAATTACTTCGCACTCCGATACTTGAACTCTGACTGACATCTCCAGATTGTCTCGACTGATGACTACATGCCCATGCCGATTAGCAATTTGGAAGAATATGATAAAGTCATTAATGTCAGTTGGTTCACGCCAGACAAACCAAGAGAAGAACTCACGTCAGTACACCTCTGCAACAAAAAATGGGCAGCATTGACTAGAGTACAGATTTCCATGCGTCCTACCATTCTCTCAGATGTATCCTCTCTGTTGTATAGACATCAGAAATTTCCTCAACCAATTTTACTTCTTTTCGGATGATCATTTCCAACATCCGAATGTTATTGATGAGACACTGAAGAAGGTATGAGCACATTCGAACACTACTCAGTCCCTTGCTAATCTGCGACATCAGTCTCTTGATCAGCTTCTCTCGGAGAAAGTCTGCAGCTCGTTAGTTGAAAGATTGAGTTCTCAGTACTTGGGCCAGATTGTCCAGATCTTGATCAATCTAGAGCATTTCGAAACCGCGTGCCGAGAACTAGAGCAGCTCCTTATTGCAGCTCGATCGTCAAGCTCAGCAGGAGGACCAATTGTATTAGATGCTACGGAGGATTTCCGAAGCAACAAGAAGACTGCTGAAAAGCGAATCTTCGAGCTTGTCAACTCAAAGATCGACGATCTAGTAGAGACAGCAGAATATGATTGGTATGTGGAAATCCCATGTGTTTCAATCCTGCGACTGATACATCTCCTATAGGATGGCGCCAACACTCGAAACTGAGCCAAGCAACTACATGCAGACCCTGACTCGCTATCTCTCCAATATCATGAACTCCACCCTCCTTGGACTTCCACGAGAAATCAAAGAGCTGATCTACTTTGACGCTCTTTCCCACGCAGCAAATATGATCCTAGCATTGCCTCTCTCTCCAGAAGTCAAGAAGATCAATCCTAATGGTGTTGCTGCATTGGCAAAGGACGTCACTTACCTCTCTGACTTCGTTGACACCCTTGAGAATGCCCCTATTCTCAAGGAGAATTTGGACGAGTTGCAGCAGACAGTGCTGCTGATGCAGACCGAGAACCCAGACGACTTCTACGACATCTCGATCAGGAACAAGAAATTCGGACGAGTGGATGCCATGAATGGACCTAAGATCCTCGAGAAGTAAGTTCTAAATGTCTCAGGCAGATTAGAAAACGCTAACATGGTTTAGAATCACTCATTCTGTGATGCAAAGTCCGTCAAGAACCGATCGTCTGGGAAATTTCTCATCCAGATTTGGCATGAGATAACCAAATACTTGATCGTTCACATCACAATTGGTCATGATTGCCAGGTAAATGTGGTCAGAAAATACAATGCAATCTGGGGTTTTTGTTCATTACATCCAAGCCAAGAAAATGGCCATTCGAGGGGGTACTAATTGCCTCCGAACTCCATTCCCAAATCCTACGAAACCCAGTCTCTACCTCGCCACTACTCTTAGCCAACCTCATAATCTCTCTCGCCCTCAGCATCAGCGTCACCTTCTCCGCCATCATGGCGTGGATAGCTGTGTCCAGCATCTTGGCCGACAGAAGGATCTTGTGGTCGTTGTTGTGCGACATGGTACATTTGCTGGAACACGTTAATTTTGAGCAGAGACAGACGGAGGTTCCGGACATACCTGCTGCGCCTGCATAGGAGGATAACCACCATAGATACCTTCCATTTGGCCATACATGTCCTGGGGAGGAGCACCATATCCAGCTGCTGGACCAGCTTGAACTTGGGTAGTGTACATAGGACCTTGGCGGTAATCGGTCTCTTGCGCCATATGCTGACCGAGGTAGGATGGATCTGGTGGTGGCATATTATGCCCGCCAGGATGGCCAGCTTGGGGAATACTTTGAGGTGGAAGTTGGGCACCGCCAGGTGGGACACCTGCAGATGCTTGTGCGCCGCCGGTAGCTCTCTTGGCATGGGAGGCGGCTTCTTCGCGGGGTACAATGTCGATGAGGAAATCGAACATATCCGACTTAGCCAAAGCAGAAGCGATATCTGAGCGTTGGAGTGTACGGCGTTTGTTCTCTTCAGCATGGATCCAAGCGCGCATGGTAAGCTCTGTAATGAAGATATCACAGCCCTTGGCAAATAAGATCGGTGCTTCGGCCGAAATCATCTTGACCTCAGGATCCGCCTTCATGACTTTCTTGATACGTGCAAGAGGTAGTTGATGTAGCTTATAATCGTGGGTTTCGGACTCGAGATGGCTGATGACATGCTGCCAGTAGGTTGTGAGGATGTCTTTGTAGGTGCCATGAAGACCTTGATTGACCTGTACTCCTATCAGCTTCCTCTTCGTTTGATAGGTACCAGAATGCATACATTTGCCCAAGCACCAGTGTAGAACTCTGCGACAGGCGCAAACCCTTGAGCTGCAAGCTATTCGGTCGTCAGTAAATAATGCGCCAGGCGTTCATCGAGGTACATACTGCAGCACTGGCACCTAATCGCGTTCATTAGCCAATGATTTCCACGACATGGAGATCAAGCGACAGAAGTTGTTTGCTATAATCTGCAATCTGATGAAAGTGCAAACGTACCATAGTGTCCGCCATGAGAGGTATCATACGCCGGCTGGGTGCGTCCCTGCCCGTGGGAGGAGGGTGGGTTCTGCTCCATCCTGAGCGATCTTCTTCGCGCACTGACTATCGATCACCTTGTTCCCTTCTTCGTCGCAGTTCGCCGCGTTGCAAGATATCAATGGCAGTCAACGAGCTGTAGAATGTAAGTTGCGCTCGCGCGGATGGAGAGCTTCGACGATGGGCTTGCCTCGAGTCTCTGCGGCTCAAGAGGTTCAGCTTCCCACTTCAATGACGGAAGCTGACGGTCCGGAGAAGAGCCGAGCGCGACGTTTTCGGGCTCGCAAACCGAGGATAGAAAAGCGCTCTGCGATTGAGGAATGATTGAGAGAACAGCAGAGTTTGTCGCAAAGAGAGAGCTTGTTGACAGCTCCCCGAGTTCGAGGGTCGTGATTGGTTGGGGACGACACCTCGAGCTTGAGCTTTCGTTCGTGTTTTTTGTCGGGAACCAAGAGCGTTTGAGGTTCGCTGGTTGGATGCGCTCCGAGGTGATGGATCTGGGATCGCAGTTTCGCGGCACCCACCAGACAACCCAGACGACGAATCAAGGCGACAGAGTCAAATGTGCTCTGCTATGCGCCCGTGAAAGCAACGATGCGAATGGTCGCCCTATGGCAGATACTGGAGGTCTGGAGATTAAGGTACACGCCTCTTACTCGTTGCTGCTGCTACTGCTGCTGTACGGCTCTCGTTTCGTGCACTTTGTGGGGGAAACGGTAAGTTGACGGATGAAAGTATGGGGTTTGCTGGTTTGTGGACGGTGAGCGGTGGATGGATTTGTGCCAGCTTGAAGTGATCGATCAATGTAATGTGCTGTGATGTATGTATGACTTGCGTGAGTGGCTCTGGGTCTTTTGGGGGGAGGGCAAGCCACGGTTTATATGGTTCACTGGCAGTTTACATTGGGCAGCTTTCTCATGCAGGAATTGCTCTTCGACTGTTAAGGGAATGGGTTGTTCGATGTGGGATGGCATGGCATGGCATGGGATGAGATGGTATGGGGGGTGTATGCGTTGTCCATCTACAACCCAGCCCATCATCCCACTGCACCGACAAGGCTGAATAGCTTCCTCGATGCCCACGCCCGTATCTGTAGGATGCGAGATGCGTTCACCAACGCACCAGGAGGCCGTTTTCTGGGACCATTCTTCGTCTCTCGTCTCTGCCCAAGAGCTCGTCGACGAATAGGGAGGCTGCTTTGGAAGGATTGTGAGGCCAAGCTTCATGCACACGATCATCATCATCTAAAAAATCTCTTCTCCATCTTTTCATTCCAACTTCCCGTCTCTGTAACCCGACCCCGACCAGCTTCACTCTGACCGACCTTTGTGATGCGGTGAGGGCAGTTCTATTTGGCACTAGGCCGTAAATGTCATAGCGCTAGATTTGATTTATCTAGCGAGTATCGAGAAATTCATTCTTGAAAGCTTCCAACGGCACAAAGCTCTAGGACATCTGCAGCGAGAGCCAGCATTTAGCGATCCACCATGGCAGACGATAATCTGTCAGATGAGCAACTTCAGCAATTGCTCAAGGATGCCGAACAGCGGCTGAGATCCAAAAGCAAGAAGCAGAATAAACCATCTGAAATTTCCGCCCTGTCCCACAGGTACTGCGCCCCTCCAAACACTTCACCCGAAGCCTCCGAAGCCTGGCTGACATTGCTCGCAGTATCCCTCGAATTGCGTCTGATACGAAAATCGACTCCTACATCAAGAGCACTCAGCATGGCCCCCAAATTGATGTGTCTCACCTCGTCAGCGAACATGAGCGCAAGCTGGCCAACTCGTTTCGTGTGGTGGAAGATCCTATAACAGTGAAGAAAAGGGGAGACGAGGTATGTCGAATGTCTCATTTCATCTTCGAGATTCCTTCTATGAGGAAAATTTAACCCAAAGAACATGACGCAGAATGTGGTCCCGTCTTGGGTACCGCCCTGCACAAAATGATGCTTTTATATCATAGTTACACTGAGAAGAGAAACACCTTTTTGTGAATTGGAAGCTTTGTCTCGCCTCTGCTGACAGTATAATTACAGGAAAAGAAAGCCACTGCTGGTGCAGACTGGTACAATCTGCCTCGAACGAATCTGACTCCAGAACTCAAGCGCGACTTACAACTTCTGCGTATGCGCGACGTCCTGGACCCAAAGAGACACTACAAGAAAGAGAGCGGGAAGCCACAGGTACCGGAGTTTTCACAAGTCGGCACAATCATTGAAGGACCTACCGAGTACTTCAGCGCAAGACTCACGAACAAGGACCGAAAGAGAACTCTGGTCGAGGAAGTCTTGGCTGGCGAGGTCACGACTGGACGCTTCAAGGCGAAATATAATGAAATTCAGGCTGCTAAAACCAGCGGCAAGAAGGCTCACTATAAGAAGCTGATGGCCATGCGCAAAGGAGGTCGGGTATCGAAAACTTGATCAGCCAATATACGCCCCCAGACCCAACGCCAACGCTATGTGCCCATATCCCGCAATATATGCAACGCCGAACCATATACTTGCAAACGCGCTACCTTGTCATCTCAATCTCGATGATCTTGACGATCAAATTCTGTTCAAGTCGATAATCAGCATTGTTATATTATGAGTCAAATCGACTTACCTTGATCTTGTCGACATATCCATGGGCAGCTTCGAGTACTTCATCATGGTTGGCTTTGTCTTTGTTCATGAATCGTCCGAGCTCCTCGTTGCTGCGTGCCACAAAATCCGGGTCATCACCACGAGGTCCTGGTTCCATCACAGAAACGTTGCTGATGAGACTCATTGCGAGAACACGAATTCCGCAATGTGCTGCAATGATGACCTATAAAAGATGAGCTGTCATCATTCAACTCAGACTACGAGCATGAGGATTTACTTCAGGTACTGTGCTCATTCCAACCATAGTTACCCCGTTACTAGCAAGCATTCTACACTCTGCCCTGGTCTCATAACTAACAAGGTTAGCAGCATTTCATTCCGAAGAGGAACAAGGACAATACCTGGGTCCTGCAACGAATCCATAGACACCTTCATGCAACAACTTAAGCTTCCAGTCATCCCGCTTAAGGTCTTTCCAAGCTCGGTGTGCCACACGCCCAAGAGCGAAGTCATAGGGATCGGCGAGCGGCAGGAATCGTGGACCCAAAGCACCAATATTCGGGCCTCGCAATGGGTTGGAACCAGCAAGTCCGGGGAAGTTGATATGCTTCTCGAATTAGCTCTCTTCAACAACAGTTTTATAAATTACCTACGTCGTTGACGAGCACGATATCACCGACCTTGAGTTCAGAGCTCAATCCACCAGCTGCATTGGTTACTAGTCAATTGTTAGTAAAGCTCTTTTTCGAGCTTTGCTTGCCTACTGATGAGGGTCTCCACTCCGAGAAGCCCCAGGATGCGGATAGGCAGTGTGGCAATCTGAAGCTCGTGGCTCTCATAATAGCTGGCCGTTGTCAGCTTGGGTCTCTTCCTAAACATGCGTCACTCACTGGGTGCGTCCACACATCAAGACAGCGGGAGTTTTTGTCACGCCAATATGACCAAAGAGGAATTTACCAGGATGTCCCAGTACTAAATGAGGGTCAGCTATTTGCAATACAACATGTCTTCCCACCATCTTTTGACGCGTTCCAACGCGTGAATTTTTGTCCCAAAGCAGATTCGATTTCACGGTTTCCTGTTTATCTCTCTTTGTTCAAAATCCGATCTTCGGGAGAACTCTCTCATCAATGAACGTACCGGTTGTGACAGGGAAGTCTCCAATTGCCTCTCTCATTGTCTCATATGAGATCTCTCGAGTTCCACCGTGAAATGCACCCTGCAATCCACACATGCCTGAACCACCAATAATGCCCACCTTAGGCGCAAATCCATTAGGAAGAATAGACTCAATATAAGCCACCCCTTGCTCAATCAAATCGAGAGTTATTGTTGTGGTGACCATTTTGTATTTTCCTCGTTGTGATGTGACCGGGATGTTGTAGAATCAGCCTTGCGATATGGGGCGACGCCGCTAAGAAATATTTTGGCCGCATCTCAAGATTCACCACAACCTCTTTACACCCATCAAACATGGCGTCATCGGCCTCTGTGCGATTACCCTGGCGGGCAATCGTACGTTCTACAACAGTGAATATGGTCTTTATCCTCCGAATGCGCTCTGCGAAACTAATGAATATGTAGAAGAGCCAATCGTCCCATCTCATCAGAGCTTCACATCCAGCAACCCTCCCCATACGACACAACACTCAACAATACTCCTCATACTCTGCTTCTGGAGAAACATCCAATCCCACCGAACAATCAAATACCATCCCACCACGGCCTCTCCCTAATCCCGCATACCCTTCGCAAACAGCACCACAATCCCAGGCCCTCCGCCCAGAACGAAGCTTGAACCCAACCTCTCCCCCAGAGATAACACACGAATCAGACGTCTCCGACCTCGCAGAAAACGACATCCGCCTCCCGCGCTCCGTCCAAGCAGTCTACCTGCGGCCCCTCAAACGCAGACCCAAATACGGAGTCCCGACCTGCGATCTCCAGCTGCGGTCCTATAGCATCCGCAATCTCGAATTCTTCTGCGATTTCGCCATCCGAGCAGCCTATTATTTGGGTCTGCCGGCTTCGGGACCGGTTACCTTGCCAAGGATTACGGAGAGATGGACGGTTCCCAGGGGCAGTTTTATTCATAAAAAGAGTCAGGAGAATTTTGAGAGGAGGACTGTGAGGAGGTTGATCCAGATTAAGGATGGGGAGGCGGAGACGCAGGAGTTGTGGTTGGCGTTTTTGAGGAAGTATTCATACTATGGCATTGGAATGAAGGCCAATGTTTGGGAGTTTAGTAAATTGAGTATGTTCCTCCCTTCTTCACAATAGTGGATACTTGGCTAATTGAAACGCAGATGTTGGCAAGGAGATGGATGCTCAGATGGAGAAGATGAAGGATGTGTTGGAGCCTACGTTGAATAACTTGGCGTTCAATAAGAAGAGCAAGTTGGCAAAGAAGCCTGTTTCTACGATAAACAAGGCGGTCTTTAGACAGGCTTCTGGTGCTAGTGGCCCTATGCAAGATAAGAGACCGAAGGGTACATGGCCGGTTGGGAGGGAAAGTTTCATTCCGTCGCAGAGAGAATTGGATGAATAGAGGTGGAATAAGCGGCTCTTCTTGCCAGAGAGGTTCTGGTTGTACATGATGGGATATTGTAACAGTAAGAGCTGCATTGTAGAAATTACATGAACAAATACAGAGACTTAAACAGACATCACTTGTACATCATATCCGCTTTCTACTTGCTCTCCTCTTCCAATTCTGATCTTTGATATCACGTGGCGTCTTGTTCATCTCAAAAAATTATAATGACCCATTTCATCTCTCTTTTCTCCCACAACCAAACAAGATGCTGCCTTCCTGCAGGTCCACCCTTCGACACCGCCTCCTCTCCCACCCTCTCCGCTCCCTAACCTACCATGCAACTCTCCCCCTTCAATTTTCCCCTCAAACTCGCCACAACTCTTCCTCATCCCCTTCACATCCCCACGTGATCTTCTCCGGCATCCAACCAACCGGCATCCCACACCTAGGAAACTACCTAGGCGCCCTACAAAACTGGGTCTCACTCCAGAACTCGGCAGCCCCAGACACGAAACTGCTGTACTCGATCGTGGACCTGCATGCTATCACCGTACCGCAGGACCCGGGGGCGTTGAGGAGGTGGAAGAGGGAGGCGTTGGCGACATTGTTGGCGGTGGGGTTAAGGGAGGAGAGGTGTATTTTGTTTTTTCAGAGTGAGGTTAGTCTTTTCCTTAAGAGAAGAGATTGGGAAGTGGCTAATGGTTATGGGGAATAGGTACAGGCTCATGCCGAGTTGATGTGGATTTTGAGTTGTACGGCTAGTATGGGATATTTGTCTAGGATGACGCAGTGGAAGGTATGTTTCACTCTTCTGTTTTGTATACATGTCTAATATCTTCATAGAGTAAATTGTCGTTGTCAGATCATACTTCTCCGCTAGATGAGAGTAGTAAATCAAAGCTCAAATTAGGCCTCTTCTCTTATCCTGTGCTGCAAGCTGCAGATATCTTAGTCCACAGGTAAGAAATTCAACTCTAGGAGAAGAGAATGGCTCTGATGATACATAGAGCAACTCACGTCCCCGTCGGCGAAGACCAAAGCCAACACCTCGAATTTGCCCGCGAATGCGTAACGAACTTCAACCACACCTACAACGGCAACTTCCTCGTAGCCCCTCAAACCCTGCTCTGTACTTCCCCTTCGCCCTCCCCCTTCCTCTTCTGCCCCGTCAACAAAACTAACCTCCCATCAGCACCAACGAAACGCATAATGTCCCTCACCGACCCGCTCTCAAAAATGTCAAAATCAGCACCCAACCCCCTCTCCCGCATCCTAATAACAGACTCCCCCTCAACCATCAAAAAGAAACTCACATCTGCCCTAACAGACAATTCCAATTCCGTCTCCTACTCCCCTTCTCTCCGGCCCGGCGTAACGAACCTCCTGCACCTCCTCTCAGCGTTCGACCCCAGCGGGAAGAGCGCGGAGGAAATAGGAGGGGAATTAGAGAGGAGCGGCATGGGATTAGGCGCTTTTAAGGCGCTGGTGACGGATGCGGTGGTGGAGGGGCTGAAGGGGGTGAGGGGGGAGTTTGAGCGGGTCGTTAGGGAGGAGGGGTTTTTGGAGGGGGTTGCGAGGAGGGGGGCGGAGAGGGCGAGGGAGAGTGCTGAGGGGACGATGGGGGTTGTTAGGGGGGCTGTGGGGTTGTAGTGTTGGATTGGATAGGTGGGGATTGTATAGATAGATATTTGTATGATGGGAATGTAAATACCCCTCTAATGCTTAAACTTCCTTTACGGATGCTCTCGAACGAAGAGTTTGTTGACATCTATCTCAAGCTTCCAATCTGCAACATGTGTGCTCGTCTTTGAAAACATGAACACGATTGCTAAAACTATTCTTGAAACCAACCCACAATCACCGAGAGTCAGTGCCCTAATCGTGCCTATAGCGGCATTTTCTCAGGCCTCTTTGCTCTTTTAATTTATTCTGGACTTTACTCACTCTATCACGTCACTTGCTTGATTTTGTAAATCCTGGCTGTCAAACTTTCCCTCACTTATTCCATCCTGGCCACCGCTACCCTCTTAATCTAGCAAGTTCTTATCTCTCTAAACAATACCTTCTCATTCCAATCTATCCATCCTTCACTCCCAACATCCTGCCTCCCGGACCACTTACCAACTCCTCAATTTCCCAAACACCACCCAGTAACACGATCCCAAAATCGGTGCAGACGGGAGAGTTTCACAGTAAGATACCCGGGTGTAGAGCTGCGTTTTACGGGACCTCTTTGGCTGATTCTAAACGTAGCTTTCGGACCCGCAATAGTAGATAAAGATAAAGATCAAGTTCGAAAGTCCCAGTCTATTGTGTTATGCTAATCTTGCCTGATCGGGGACGTTGGGGGAAGCAAGTTACTCGAGACCTGGGTTCAAGGTTTAACATTTATAGAATCGGGTTGCCAAACAGGAGAGGATAATTTATTGATATCTCCGATCGAAAGCAGAAGCTTCTCTCATCTTGTTACTCTCTCCTTTCTCCCAGATGCTCGTCTTGTTCCCAACCATCCTTCTTTCGGATCTACTCTACAGATCTGATCTATACCATGCTATCTCTTCTCTACGTCTTACTCGTCCGACTCACACTCCTCCTCATCATCCCCGGCTTCATCATCTCGTAACTCTCACCCCCACCACTTCCCTCCCCAGCCCACCTCCCGCTCCGCCCCTCCAACCTCCAACTATCCCTCCTCTTCATCCCCTCCCCCCTCTCCGCCCTCGCCTCCTCACTCTCCTCCCCGTCCCGATCCCCACTCCCACCAACAAGAACCCCCTCACTCCCACTCTGCACCGCCGTCTCCTCGCCACTATTCGGCACCATCCCATCCCCTCCATCCCTCACATCCACATCCACATCCTCCCCATAATTGCCCCCCACACTCACCATCGTAAACGGACTCGCAGTCGGCTGATCCAGCACCCTCAACTCCCCCTCCGCAAACCACCTCGGCAGCAAAACCGTCCTTACCGGCACCAGCCCCAGAATAATAATCGGGAACCCGACCGCGGCGATCGTCTGCGTGATGGCGAACGTGGCTCCAAACCCGAGGAGTTGAATACCGACGAAGATCCAGATGGCTTTGCGGCGCGTGATGCGTTTCAAAGGTTCGGATGCTGGGGTTAGAGAGGAGTCTTTGAGTAGGAAGAGCAGTTTCAGGGTGATGCCGTTGGATTCGAGGGCTTGGACGCCCATGACGAAGAAGAGGCCGGCGAGGACGCCTTGCGGGATGAGGTGTAGGACGATGAGGAGGGGGCCGGTCATGGTGCCGAGGGTGAGGAGGCCTTGGGCGAGGTTGGAGAGGCGCTGTTCGACGACGTGGGAGGTGATTGTTTTGGTGTGGCCTTTGGTGGGGGATTCTTCCTGTGATAGTGTTAGTTTAGGTGAGGGGATACGCGGGGGAAAGGGAGGGAAGGAGGGGCTTACGTCGGGGTCGGAGACGACTTTGGTGACGCAGAGGGAGTCGGTGTGGAATGGTGCTTGGGGGATGAGACCGTTGGGGAAGGGGATGCCGAGGAGTCCTGCTACGCCGGTGGTGAGGCCGAGGAGGAAGATGTCCCAGTGGAAACCGGCTGGTTTGCGGAGGGGGAATTCGGTGCCTTGTGCTATGAGGGAGGAGACTATTCTATTATTAGCTTGGTCTGTTCTTCTTGAACCAAGTTGGGAGAGAAGGAAAGAGAAAGAACATACCATTATGATCAAAATAAAACAGAATCGTCAAAAGCACAGCAAACGGGATAGCAATAAACACATCCCCTACACTGATATCCCAAAAATGCACAAACCACCCCCTATCACTAGTCGGGAAGAACGCCTTACTCGTCGGCAACGTACTCAGATCCACCTCTCTCATCTTGCCGATATGCACGAATCCCGTGAAGAAAATGACCGTCAACGGCGTCCCGTAATCTTTGATGAACACTCTAACGTAATGTTGGAATAATGGACTAGTGCCTATAATCCCACAAAGATAGCCGACGGCGAGGACCAGGAGAGCAACGGTGATGGAGAGGTAGAATGCTTCGTCGGAACCTTGACGAGTGAGGACTTGGATCCCTTTTTGCAGGTAGATGAACGCAACGTAGAAGCCGAAGATGTCGCAGGAGAAGCGGGTTACGTATTTGAGAGCGTTGCAGGCGTTGGTTATGGCTAGGAACCAGTGCATTGCTAGGGACCATCTGTTTACATTAGCTTGTCTTTTGGAGTTGGGATATGGAAGCTGAACGTACATGCCAACTAGAGCCATAAAGGCAAAGTAGTTTGTACCGGTTGGGACCATGATATCGTAGACGGTGTAGTTGAACACAGTGATGGGTCCAGTGACACCTACGATGACGAGGGGTTGGGCTGCAAAGAGGGAGAAGACTACTGCTCCAAGAACAGAGGATAGAAGGACTTCATTGACTCCGAAACTCATGTGAGTTTTCGTGAACCTGTGCACTGTCAGTTTCCTCCCTTCCCCTCTATTGGAAACAGAACTTACATATCCAACGAGAAAGCCAACGCCGGTAAAATACTATGTTCGCCGTCAGTATGTATCCACTTTTACATCTCCATCTCCAAGAATAATTGAGTACGAAATTTGGGATTGCAGGTTGTATAATGAAAATATAAATTGAACAACCAACGCACTTAGCAAAATACATATAAACCGTAGCCGGCACAACCCTATAATCCCACGCATCCGTCCAATCACTCCTATAATACGGCGCCCTCCTCTTCACATCATTGATCATGCCCCTAAAGAACCGTATCTTCCACCACTTCCTCTTCCGCTCGCTACTATTCGTCGTTTGTCTCCTCATATCTTCGTTGGCTCTAGAATTCGAGGACGGCAGGAACGAGAGTCTCTGTTTCCATTTTCGAGAGGGATTCGAGGGCGTGTCGTGGGGCAGGGAGGTAGGCAGGGTGTAGGTATTTGGACCTGTGGCTTGGTTCGCCATCTTGTGTCCATTCAGCGGTCAATGGGGGGAAGGGGGGAATCGAGGGTTGTTGATGCATTAGGATGCCAATTGAAGGCGGAGGGAGAACTTTCTGCGGTGGAAGATATGGGCAATTGGGAGCTTAAGTTTGGGTATTGAGCGCGGCCAAAGGGCCGCTTGTGTACGTACCATCAGCGGCATTTTAGCTGTGGGGTAGACGAGGTAGAGTAGCACTGTATAATTAATTGTGCATTGGTGGGGATGCGTTTGTATGACGTTCGTGCAGATTTTATGGAGATTGTGGGGGTGTGTGACCAATGAGAGCAGCAGGTGGGGCGAGAACGCCCGATATTTAGCTTGGCGAGATTTGAAAACGGCTGCAGATCTTGGAAATGTTGAAAAGGCTCAATAGAATAGACATTAATGTGGCAAAGGTAAACTTCGTAAATGTATCTTGATATATGCTCATTGTCAAATTCTTGATGCTTCTTCGGGTATCATTCATGTATGCCAGGCGTAATCTCGTAATTCATCAAACCCTCTCCGAGTCGATAGCCGCTCTCCTGACAGCGTCCTCTTCAACCCATTTCCGGACCCTCTCTCCTACATCTCCGACCAAACTCTCGTACTGGGGGCCTGGAAAGAAAAGACCACAGTGGGCTCCCACTTCATCAACACCCTCCATGTATACTCTGACCCAGCACTTATCCCTCTGGCCACCATATGTAGGTGGTAGCATACAAAACTTCTTGTCTCGCTTTGGTTTGTCATCTTTCGTTGATGAAGCAACAGATGCTTGTCTTTCTCGAGGAGATTCGGGGTTGATGGTAGCTTTGCGCTTTTCTTCCTCTCTCTCCTCTCTCAATCTCTGCTTCTCTTCCTCTCTCAACTCTTTCATTCTCTGTTTTTCAACCTCTTTCTGCTCCTTGGATTTCTGCTTCTCTTTCTCTTTGATCCGCTTCTCTTGTTCTTGCCTTACCTTTTTCTCACGCTTCTCGACAAGCTTCTTGCGGTCTTTGATAGCGCTCTCTCGATCCTTGATAGCTTGCTGATACGTTCTCATGACACGCTTGTTTTCTTTCTCTGCGATTTTACGCTCGTCCTTGTCAGTATATAGACTCAGGTCAACTTGCTCTGGCTCGATAGGCATGTCTGGTATCGGTGGCAAGGTAGATTCAGATGATAGTACTTCGATTCTTGGCTCATCTTCAGCGCCTTCGGTTTCTGTCATGCTCAAAGGATGGTAAGGATCATCGTCTGGAATTGGTATTGAGTCAATGTGTCTCATTGGAGATGGTTCATCGAAGTCATCCTGTACGCCAGAACTCTCGCCAAGATTTTTCATCTGCGCATCAATTGGAGATGCATCAGGCCCATCTTCAAGTGGCTGGGGTGTAATATGACCCTCACTATGTTCATCGACGGTAATGCTGGGTGTAGGCGTGGGAGAATGGCTCCCACTAGAACGCACACTCATATCTTGCATTTCAGTCTCGATAGGTTGGAGATGGCCATCCTTGTCAATCATATGTCCAGGAGGAACTTTTGGTGGTTTAGGTCTTCCCGTACTTGCTGTATAGTAGTTGGCAAACCTAATTCGCCGCACTGGTGGCCGGTAGCCTGGATTATTGTTTTGCGCAACATCATCCACATCCTCCAGAGCTCGAAGCCTCTTGTATCGATCTTGTAAACCTGGGTAGTCTGCTAAACAGCCTCCAAATTCCAGATGTGACATGAAGTATTGCTTCGTAGCCGTTGTGAGGCCATCGGAATGCTTGCTCACAAAGTGTAAGAGACTGTTCCAGCCTTTACGTTCTGGTAACCGGACATCATTTGGGAATGGAGGGTTGAAGAAGGGGTCATTGGAAGGAGGACTTGCTAGAGGCGAAGTGATGCTTTGTACCAAGCTAAGGTTTGATTCCGTATCTGCCAACGAGGGAGCATAGCTGGGAGACGAAGCTGATGCTTGACTGCTGATTGGTGACATACTCCCGCTATGTGCTGGTTGTGGCTTTGGAGGATCTGCTGGTCTGAAGAGACTACCAATACCACTCGCAATAACACCTGGATGCATGCCCAAGAATGGGGTATCGAAACTGATGGTACCCAAGATTCGATGGCGGAAAGGTTTCCCTGTAGCTGGGGTTAAAGGTCTCTGCAGAGCAACTTCGGCTGCCAGTAACCCTCCCATGCTGTGTCCGAGCAGAACAACATCGGTGTAATGATTCTCATGAGGTTCGAGCCTAGTAGTTCCATAAGCTAGATATATCCGCAGAAATAAAGACGGCTTACCAGGTACTGAAATCATCTCTGGCAAATTCGATAGCTCTTCTAGATTTATATCTTGGATAGATCTTGGTATGTACGACATGGGTCTCTGAGACGGCAATTGTGAGGAGGTTGTGAACATGTGCTGGGAAACTCTGGAAACTAGTTTCGTTGCCCATAAATCCATGGACGTATACGAGAAGTAGTGTTCGTCTGCCATCTCTCCCTGTTTCTGAAGGCACCAAGGAATGTGTGGAAGAGGATCTGGGGTCGTGGGATCTCCATTGCTCCGAGATCAGCTCACTTCTCCGTGCATCGTCTGAGGTATATGGTGGCGGACCCGCAACAGAGTTTGTTCGGGGAGGTAACGGAGGAGGTCGTCCTCGCGCTTTCTCTGATAGTTGCGCAGGAGTTGCAAATGACGCAAACGGGTCGGGCCCTCCTTTGTCTCGTCGGACTTTCTCTGCCAGTTGAGCTTCTGTAGCCATTCGTCCTATCCCGCCCTGAGTTGAGGATTCTGGCTCGTCTCGCCGACGCTTCTCGTCAAGTTGTGCGGGCGTAGCCATCTTGCGTTATTGAGTATGGAGTCTGCTACGACATGTTATTTCCTGGTGGAAGGGTGGTAACATTCGAGTAGAAGATTCCTATCCTTCAGTTGGGCGATGTCTATCAGACGGCGATACAGTATTCCAGCGATCAAGGAGTGGAAGCGATGGGAGGTAAGGGTCGGAGGGAGGAGGGAGATGGTCGAAAAGGTCGAGAGGATCGAAATGTTTGATGGTCGTTTCGTTTCGTTTCGTTTCGTTTCGTGAATTTCAGAGGCTTGGCTATTGTTGAGTTGGGTTATCTCGTTACAGCCCCCGCGATCTGGAAGCTTGGTTTTCTAGCGATGACAACCACGGGAGAGGCATTGTCCAGGGACCGACGCACATGGCATCATGCCGCAGAATGCAGATCACATGCAATGAACCTCCACGACTCACGTTGTGCATTTCATTAAATTGTGAAGTTATGAAGGTATGAACCATTTGGGAAAATGAAAGGCGCCTCATTGGATTGGTCTCACATGTTAAGATGCACCCGAGTCGAATTGTGACTCAAAGAGTAATAGCGCAGCATCTTTTTTGACTTGAGGCGTATTGAACCGGCCCTTTTCAGATTAGTACTGTACTGGGGCCACCACCTCAGACATGAATGATGGGATGAAGCGACCTCGAACCGTTGGCAGCGCAATCTACAGTAGAAGTTCTCGTCCGTGCTGTGCTGCACAGTACTGTACTGAACCTCATCTGTGCTGACAAGTCCAATCTGCGCACCAGAGCCTCACCAGCCAGTAGGTACATTCTTCTAGATGAGCTGAACGAAGGGAGAGACAGTAGAGCAAGCCAAAGTACGCTTCGACTCCGCTGATTCAGGCACGAAATATATTTTTGCATTCCACATATTCCACATCAGCCTATCCCTTCAAATCCCTTGAGTGCGATGAAAGAGCCTCGTGAAGAGACCCCCCAGTCAAACGCCATATTTTTAACCAGCCCGTGCAGGTGATTCGTGCACTCGAATTGAGACCCATCTGCACCCCAGTCGAGATGATCTAGAGTGACCCACATTATTTTCAATTGACCACGCTCATTGGCGGCCGCGAATGCACTGACCAGGAACGGAAATGAAGCCAATTCTACGCCAATGATCTGAGGGCAACAGATCGTCTTCGTCCTCTCCTCTGCGTACTATACCGTATCCTATCCGGCAAAATCTCCCTCGCCCGACTTGCAACCTCATCCACCCACCCAACCCCAACCGCATCGCATCGCATCTCTTCCCTCTCCTCATGCTGCCTCGATGACGGCAATGAGTTGACGTCGTCGGACTTCACCCACGCGTTGCATCGCGGTCAATTTGAACGACTCAGCGCTGTAGAGACAGCTGCAACGGCGCCGCCATGAGCGACGACGACCACGCTTGGCCATCACTCCTTCTGGCCAAGCACGAGAGAGCTCATCGCGAGCACGTACACCAACATCAACACCATCTTTTCCACCGAGCCCAGACGGGCGATACAGCGACCGCTACCGCAGTCCAGTCAGTCGTTACAGAGGTCACCGCAACCGTATCCGTGGTACAACAGATCGATGTCGATTCCAATGGCAGCACCTTTGCTATACAAACCGTCTTGGCCGATTCGACACAGGGAGCCACAGGTGCTGCAGCCACCTCAAATACAAATTACCTTACTACTACTACATCCGCCAGTCCAGGACCTGTCTCTTCCTCTTCCTCATCAGCCTCGTCTACGAATGCTGGGGGGTCACCGCAGATTAGCTCTGCCTCACAATCTTTGAATTCCAGTACATCGACGTCCTCGGCATCCGCTCTTTCCACATCCTCAAGTTTCTCTTCGTTAATAGCTAGTACTAATTCCACAACTTGTGAGTCTGGCTATCAAGAATACAAATGAATAGTTCACTAACCAAATGACAGTAATTTCAAGTTCCTCGAGTAGCTTGACCGCAATCCCAAACTTCTCAAACTCTTCGATATCGTCTTCATCGACTTTATCAAGCTCGTCCTTCACCTACCTTACATCCTCGAGCTCTTCTTCTTCGGAAGAATTAACGAGCTCCACAAGTTCGACTTCATCTCTTTACTCGCCAAGTTCTTCATCTTCGGTCGCTGGAACGAGTGCTGGCGGTGGAATTGGTGGAGGAGGAGCAGGGAGCACAAGCAGTGCGCCTACCAGCACTGCAACGTCTGGAAGTGGAAATGGTACCAGTTCTTCTAATACACCATCCACTCCCGTCGTTGTGGGTGGCGTCGTAGGCAGTATTGCCGGGGCTGCCATCTTAATATTTCTTCTCTTGGCCTTCATTCGATGGAAGAAACGACATCAGTCCATGTTGTCATTGGGTAGTGGGAACGAAGGATCTGGAGCTGTGACAAGCCGAGATGGACCACCGCCAGTTGCACCATCGGGTGGAATGACTGAGCGGCGATCACTGGCTTTCGTACCCATGGCTCTAGCCAACCTAACTGGATTTAACAAGAGAGGATCCCGACAGACAGACCGGACTGTATCATCGACAGCAGAAAGCGAACGAGGCTTCTACCGAGTTTCTGGAAGAAAGCTCCCTTCAGTCTTACAAACTGGTGGCGATGGGTACGGTGACGGCATAGGTGAACCCAATACCTTGAGTGGATCATCTTTTTACCGGGACTCTCAAGGCTTCTATGGGGGACCTGGCAGCCCATCAACCGCTGGCCCTTCTGGGACCTCGAGACGACCAGAAAGCGGGGTCCCTGTTATGCGACCAAGCCCGGCGAGGACACCCGTTACTCAACAAGGACCGTTTTCGGCAACGCCCGATCCATTGACACCACCACGGCGCCCCGATGTTCTAGGGCGGTCTCACCCCTCACATGATGGGTCTCACACTTCTTCGAGATTTACTGAGGAGATAGTTTGAAATAAGCCTTCTTCGTCTCAAGAAAGTGTGTGTGTGTCTGTGCCTTGACTTTCGGGTCCAGGGATTTCCGGCTATGGATGATTACGAATGTCGCATTTTCCTTGTAGATATTGTCAGTGCCCCCGGCGCACTTCTCTTTCTTTGGCTCTTGGCCTGGATACCTTCTGTGCGCTTCTTTGGCATTTAATTGGCGTTTTTTTGTCTCTTGATGTATGAATCAGTCGTCTTGGAGCGCTGATGAACAGCTGGTCTCATTTGTTGTGATGATGAGGTCGTTGTTGGGTTTTTCTAGACGACATCTGTTCATGAAGACTAAGATCTAGCTGGGATTGGAGATGAGGGACTATTTAGTCTTGTTCTCCTCCAGGATCGTGTCATCTTTGTATAATACCCTTTTTGAGAGAGTAGTAGATGGATGGAATGGATAAAAGATAATGTCTCCCACGTCCCTGTTCCCTCATGACGCATTTGTTCATCAACATCAGTGAAGAAAAGATTCCTGGTCACTATAACAGGGCGCATTAATCCCCCTCCCCACCCACCGTCTGAAGAGCAGATATGCAGTGGTCTGTTCACAAGCGATATATCAAACACGGTCTCCACCAGCTGGACCCATGGTGGCGAAGCACAGCAGCAGCAAGAAATCTGATACAAGCACGAGTATTTGTCACTTGTCTAAAAGAGGCAGAAGGCAGGTACCGATTCGCAGAAGTGGATGATGCGATGGTTTCAGGAGCGTCGGAGGTGGGCGACCAGGTTGTTCTATTGGTGCAGGGCACGAACTGACGAACACCCCACGAACTGAAGTCTGTGATAAGATTACTCGGGGGAAGGATCATTCATTGAATTACGAATTCACGATATCTCCAAGATCTTGGAAGAGTTGTCGTCAGAGAAATATATGAAACAGAGGAAGTGGGTATGGATTGTACGGGACTTTTTCTTTCTTTCTTTCTTTCTTTCTTTCTTTCTTGCTTGGCTTGGCTTGCCTTGCACGCACACCATGTCACAACCTTAATCCGACTTCTCCAGACAACCCTGGACCAGTCGTCACAGACTTGCTTCTTGCAGCCCCGATTCGTCAGTAATGGGGAAAAGAACGAGGCGCAGCACTGAATCAGAATGAAGTTCTAGCGCCCGTGGAAGAAAGGTGAAGACAATTGCTCGGTAAGCATGGCTTGAATACTGTAAACTGGGTGGCCGACGGCCGAATGCGAGTGTGTTCCACCACCCAAGAATGATCGACGCTCTGAGGGGGGATCGAGAACGATGCAGGAGGAAGGGAAGAGAGGGAGGGGGGAAACGCACACACACTTTTGACCGTGGTGAAAATGGTCAACCACACACTCGTCGTGCTTTCCGTCGTACGCTCGCTTTGCCTGGGCTTAGGTCAGAGAGAGGTCAGCCTTTCGGTCTAGCTGTCTGTCCGATTAACAATCAATTTTCATCAGCGCTCTCTCTCTTTCTCGTACTTCTTCCTCACTTCGTTCAAGCGTCCTCCTGTCACACCAGACCCAGCCCAGCCCAGCCCAACCCCTCGGTCTTCCTCCCTCCCTGCTCCACCATTAACTGTTTTCCTCCCATCCATCCATCTCACCCAAGACATCCATCGCAGACTCATCCATCATCCAACATCACCGTCCACAAATAAACCATCCCACAACGCACACTGCCGTCTGCGGCGTCCGCCAACCCCACGAAAAGGAAAAAGACCCTGAGGAAAAGTGATTGGTCACCAACAATAAGTGTCTTGGCAGCCCAGCGGCAGGCACCTTTCAGAAAGCGGGATTTAAGACAACACAAAGTCCGACGACCTCCCACCAGCAGCCTGCAAGCACCAACAGGGTTTCAATACGAATAAGAGAGCAGAATTGCATACCAACCTGCCCACGAATAGCTAGCTGTCCGGCACGGCGGTGCAAGCAAACTGGGAATTTCCCTTCGTTCCATCCCTTTCCTTGCTTTCCTTTCTCTCTTGATGTGTTAGGCGCTCTTGTCGCAATCAACGATAATGATGGATCCACGTCACGATAACAACGGCTACCAAATGCCTCCTCACCAGCAGATGCCCGGCGTCGCGCCGCCGGTCTACAACCCGCCGCCGCAGATCTTTGGAGGAGGGTATGGGGCGGATGGGTTGGGGAATCTGGGGATCGCGGATCTTTCGCAGACGTTTCTGCCGGATCCGACGTTGATGGATGAGAGTCAGGAGGCTAAGAGGAGGAGGATTGCCAGGGTATGATATACCTTTCTCTACTTGAAGGTTGGATGGGATTGCGGTGGCTAATGGCGCATCGATAGGCTTGTGATATGTGTAGGAAGAAGAAGATTAAGTGTGATGGGAAGCTGCCGGAATGTACGCATTGCGCCAATTATCATACGCAGTGTGTGTTCACACAGGTGGAGAAAAAGAGGAACCCGCCAAAGGGGTATGGACTCTCTGAACAATCTGTTGAGAGGTACTAACCTCTTCGCAGTGCGAAATATATCGAGGGATTGGAGAATAGGTTAGGGAGGATGGAAAGCTTGCTGAGACTCTCTGGTATGAGTCCAAGCGCAATGCGCTTCTCTGACCTTTGGCTTACAGCTTCTAGGTCTTTTAACAGAAGATGATAATGGACGAACCGACTTGGGAACATTAGAGAAGAGACTTGCTGAGACGAAGAGGGAGTCATTGAGATTGTCGCAACAGCCAGGATCGAATCCTACCTCGCCCACACAAACCTCACCTAATGAAGAAAACTCCTCAACTCCTCGAAGTCACCTCGCATCTCCAGAACCGCAAAGCAAGAGCACGCCAAAAAATGCAGAGAAGCGAAAAAGTGGTTGTCCTGAAGAAGAAAAGGAAGAAGAGGTTGAGGCGCTCTCAGATATGATGTGTTCGTTGGTAACGAACAATTGCGGTGAAACGAGATATATAGGTTCGGATATACAGGAATAAGCAGAGTGCAAAAGAAATACTAACACAATGATAGGATCCTCATCTGGTTTCTCGATCTTCTCGCCAAAGGGTATCCAATGGGTCAATGAAAAGACAGGTGACTCTTCTTTCCAAGAAATGATATCCTCTGCCTCGGTGGACGAAAACAAGTGGATGTATTGGAAACCAGAAGTTTTCGGAGATCTCTTCCAAAGACCCATCTTCAAACGATTACCGCCAAAGAACGAATGTCTGTCCCTAATGAAGGACTTCTTCGAAAATTTCAACTGCATGTTTCCGCTCTTCCATCAACCGACTTTTATGTATCTTGTTGAAAGACAATACACAGATGACCCCTACGAAGGATCTGGATGGTGGGCTAGTTTGAACGTGGCTTTGGCTATTGCGCATCGACTTCGAGTTATGAGCAATCTGGTACCAAAGGAAGAGGATGACAAGGCTTGGGGATACTTGAAGAACGCAATGGGAGTCATGACCGAGTTGACATTGCGCAACACCGATCTCTTGAGTGTGCAAGCTCTCCTTGGAATGGCTGCTTTCTTGCAAGGTACACCGAACCCACAACCTACCTTCTTCTTGGTCGCAGCCGCTATTAGATTATCACACAGCATTGGATTGCATAAGCGAGGTTCTGGCTTCAATCTCAATCCGATTGAAATTGAACAGCGGAAACGAGTCTTCTGGATTGCCTATATGCTCGACAAAGACATCTGCTTGCGTTCTGGACGACCTCCAGCACAAGACGACGATGATATGAATGTTGAGCTCCCGACAGCAGACCCAGACGACAATATTGGTAATATTCCATTAGCGGATGGCAAGGGCAAGGTCAATTTGTTCCGCCTGATGGTTGAGTTCTCTACCATTGAGAGCAAAGTCTATAAGCAACTTTATTCGACGAAAGCTGCGAAACAGTCGGATGGAGAACTTCTCAATACGATTGGAGAATTGGATCACTTGCTAGAAGAATGGAAGGATAGCATCCCAGTGGACTTCCGTCCGGAACATGAGATCAAAGCTTCGCATACGCCACTGATCTTACATGTTGTCATGCTGCATTTCGCTTATTACAACTGTTTGACCACCATCCATCGAATGTCGATACACCATGGTTACTGGACCAGCAGATTATCCAATTATGCGATTCAAGGTTTGAACGCCAAGCCCTTAAATCCTCGTGTATTCTCTTCAGCTGCACTTTGTGTTTCGGCTGCTCGAGCTTCGATTCATTTGATCAAATATGTACCACAAGGAGACTTTGCTTGTGTTTGGTAAGTCTAGACAAAAGCAAGAAGTTTGCAAAAGCTAACATCTTCAGGCTTATTTTGTACTTCCCAGTTTCAGCACTTGTAACATTATTTGGAAATATCCTACAGAATCCACAAGACCCTCGAGCTCGATCCGATGTTCGACTGATGAATCTTGTGGTCACTTTCTTATCGACTCTCGGCACAGAAGGTGAAAATGGAGGGGTAAAGCGAATGCTTGGCGTCTGCTCGGAATTCGAACGAATCGCTAAAGTCGTCCTCGACAAAGCCGAAAAGGAGTCTTCTTCAAGAAGAAAGCGGAAGAATAACTACGACGACCAAACAGCCAAGACGAAAGCACCAATGGCAACCGCCAATTCCCAAATACCACCTCAGACACCAATGCCGAACAACGCCCAAACCCCAGCCATGGCAGGCGTCTTCTCTCCCGGCATGGCGCAAATCAACCAAGCCAACGGCTACAGCCCCATGCCTCCACAAACCAACGGCTCACCAAATTGGCAACCTGACCTCAATGGCAGCGAATACATGTCACCCAACGGCATGACGCCATTCGCCGAGATCCAAGCCTACACCAACGGCGCCGACATGCAGTCACCCCCGCAAAACATCTTCCAGCAACCCTTCGTCCCGCAGGATCTGTGGCAGATGCCCATGACGCTCGAGTGGGACTGGGCTGACATGACGGGTGGCCAGTACCCGAGCTTCGAGAACGGGATCGTGGGGGACATGAATCTGGGAGGGGGCGATAATGGGCATTTGCAGAATCAGGGACATGGAGGGATATAATGTTTGATGAAGTGGTGAACTAAGATATTTGCATGGGAATGGTGTCTGGGTAGGCATAGAAATTCCCTTTTTGTTTCTTTGCAGGGGTCAGCATTTTGCGGTATGGCGTTTTTACTTGCTTTTATTGATGATGAGGAATGGATGGATGGATGGATGTGTATTTGTCGGCGTGAAGCCTGATGGGTGGGGAGAGTGAGCGTATAGGAGAAGAAATCAAATGTAATCTGAGCCAGAGAGATGGATTTGATTTCGTTCCATGTGATGAAAGTGCTTGAATCAGGCAGACGATTAGCGTGAGGCTCGATATCGGGGGTTGGGGGGGTTTGCGAGCCCGCGGGCCTTGGAATATGAAGGGGATTTTATTTTGGGGGGTTTGTTATGACTGTTAAATGCTGCTTCTGAGATATCACAATGTGGGGAACGTGGTCGAATAAATCACTAGAAATGATCACGAAAATGAGACATGTATATGTCATATCCTCCATTTTATGCGCCGTAGTATACAGTCGTCAGGTAGGTCATCAACGCCTTGCTATGCCGCCTCCAAATGTTCTCGAAAGTCACGAACTAGCTAATCTTCTTCTCTTCCTTGGCTTGACAGATCTCCTCCTACTCAGGCGACCCCTCATCCTCATCCTCATCCTCACCATCTCCCCTCGTCTCCTCGCCCCCATCCTCCTCTTCCTCCTCCTTCCCGTACGGAAACACCGCAAACGCATCCCTCTCCGCCCTCATCTTCTCATCCGGTGCCTCAACCCTCATATCCACAAAATCCGTCTGCGATCTCAACGCATCCTCCTGCGTGCCCTGGAACCTGTTCCGCTTGATATTTATATTCTTCGTCCGCTGCGGCCGGATCTGGATCTTCTGCACCATGGGGTAATAGTACGCGGCCTTCTGACGCACGCCGTCTTTGCCGTCATGCACGGCGATGCACACTTCGTCGTCGTACTTGTCCGCCGTGTTGCCGTGGATGGACGCCGACTCGTACGCGCGGATGCGCTTGAAGCGGAAACAACCGGTGCCCGAGCCGTTCTTCTGCGGGTACAGATCCTCGTCGTCGGGGTCGGGGTCCAGGGTGTCGAACTTGCGCTTGAAGCGCAGGGCCTCGGACGGCGTTTCGGTGAGGTAGAATTCGTATTCCATGGACTCGTCGGGGGCAGGATAGCGCTCTGGATCTCGCTCGTGTAGGTCTCGTGCTTCGGTTTTTAGTTTCTCGAGGTCTTCGTCCGGTTCCATGGGCTTGAGGATGCTGTTCTCGAGCCGGATGTCGTAGGTTGAGCTGGGGGGGAGGGGGTTGGAGAGGAACTTGATGGAGACGTAGCCGCCGGCGTCTGGGAAGGCTGTGAGGTCCGGAAGGAGAGGGAAGGAGTCCACAAGCTTGAGGTTCTTCTTGGTAGGATGCTTTGTAAATTGGCCGCTCTTGAGATTTTGTGCTGCGAGTGCAAAACTCCTCTCTACTTGGTTCTTGATGTATTCGGGTGATTCTTTGTCGTGGTTCTCTGGTACCCTCTTCTTGCGGTTTCCTGTGACATCGACTAACGATCTTGAGGTTGTGGACTCGAAGCGCGATTTGGAGGTATAGGAAGAGATGTATTCAGTTCGTCGCAAGAAAGAAACGCCGGAATCAGACAACGTGGGTTTTCCTAACGTCGAAAGAGGTCGGAGAAGTGCGCGATCGTGAGGATGGACTGACGGCGCCTGTAATGGTGCTTGTATAGCTATATCCAAGATGAGCTCTTGCGCTTATTCAATTTCAAAATGTACTCACAACTCTCATCTCCATCGAAGATACCTGGCATACCCACCAGGTCTAACGGCATACCAAGCTCGGCATCTGCTTCGATATTCAGCGGCTGGTCGCGCGCAAGTCTTGATGCGAAGCCAGGCGTTGTGTATTGGCCGCTCGCAAGGCCGGTATTGGGGATATCGAGGAGTTTGGGAGGATTAGGGGGCGGTGGTAAGGCATTGGAGTATCGTATCCGGGCAATGTAATCTTGATGGATTACTCTTTGCTGCGACGAAGCCATTTTGATCTGCAAATCAAAGAGAGGCTCTGAGTGGCAGATGTTGTGGCTTGTTAAGAGTGTCGACTTTGAAGTTCTGGGGTCGAGGTTCTCGCGCTCGCTAGCGTGGATTTTTGACGAGGCTGAGATCTTGCGACTCTGCGAACCCGAGGCCCTGCATTCACATCATCCGTGTTCGTCTCATGCCAAGGTTATCTACTTCCTGTCAGACCTGTTTCCCCGTTGAAGGCGTGGATTCTGCATAACAGATGTCAGCAGCAGGGGTCTTACGGCTTACGGACCAGATATTGCATAGGCCTCCAAAGCGTGGAGCTGTAGAGGTTTGGAAATGGAGAGCTTCAATTTGTCCCCTCTGAAGCTCATCTTCCCTAGTTGTCTCTAGTCTCAAGCGATACAAGGCCCGCATTCATCCTTCAATGCTGCTATCTAAATACAACGCTCTGGGCTCATCTCCGCTCGATATAAGTATCAACATTATCTGCTCCTGCCCACACATGCTCAGCACTTATCATCTTTTGTCATCGTCTTCCTCTATTCAACCATGGCCGATCCTTCCTCCAAGCCAGATCTAGGCAAAGTTGTCGTTATCGGTGGCTGTGGTTTTCTGGGCAGTCACATTGTTGATGCTCTTCGTTCAACGTGCAAGGCTGAGATATTTGTTGTCAGTCGTTCAGCCACCAAATATCCAGATCACCATCCTGATGTGAAGTACATTGACGTCGAGATCAACAAGACGAATGCAGCTGGAGTCCCAGATATCGAGTCAGTCTTTGCCGAAAATAAGATAGACGTTGTCTTTCATACGGCCACTCCCTCGGCATTGACAGGCAAGGAGCAAGAGTTCGAAGAGGTCAATATCAAAGGGACGAATAACGTTATCTTGGCTGCTCAGCATACTGGTGTGAAAGCGTTTGTCTATACATCTAGCCAAGCAGTCACCCTGCCAAATTTTCAAGAGGGCGCTTCAAATGCCGATGAATCGTGGCCGTTGATTTTAGGAAAAGATCAAGCAGACCTATATGCTAGATCCAAGGTACTTCCTCATCCGCTCAGAATTGGTCAAACATACTAATATTATATAGGCTGCCGCAGAAAAGGCTGTAATAGAAGCCAACCATCCAGGCGGTCTTCGAACATGTGCTCTCAGACCTGGCGGAATGGTTGGCATCAGAGACAACCTCGTCACACCTACCATAGGCAACCTTTACTTCAACGGGGATCCCAACACCCAAATAGGCGATGACACAGCTCTTTCTGACTACGGATCAGTTCTCGATACGGCAAGGACTCATGTCTCCGCGGCTGTTGCTCTCCTTCGCGCCCACTCATCACCGACTCCGATCCCTGAGTCTGAACGCGTTGACGGAGAAGCATTCTACATTACTGGAGAACATGTTCGTTTCTGGACTTTCGCTAGGAGCTTCTACAAGCATTTTGGTAATAAAGCCGACAAGAAGCCTACTGTTCTCAGCAAGGGGTTTGCATTGATATTGGCCAGAGTGCTGATGTTCTTTTTTGGATTGGTGGGGAAGGAGTCTCCATTGAAAGTTAATGATGTGTATTATGCGTGTGCGACGATGACGGCGAGTAATGAGAAGGCGAAGAAGAGATTGGGGTATGAGGTTAGGGAGCCAATAGATGTAGCTGTTGAGAAAGCTTCCAAGGTATGTGATGGTCTAGTGTATGATTCTGAGGATGTGATGCTGACCAAAGTAGTGGTATTTGGAGAACAGGAGACCCAAGAGTACTTGAGAAACTCGCATTGTTGTGCGCTTTATTATGAGACTTTTTCAAAGTCCGAGTAGCGAATCTGGATTTGATGTTGGGATTTCATGAGTCCCATTGCCGCGCTTGAAAGTCAAAATTTCAAATTTCTTGTAACTTTGAACTTGTTCAAGTGCTCTTCTTGTTTAAGCTCTCTTCAATTTTTGAGACCCAGTCAAAATCTTCTAGTTCGAAATTCACCCTAATTTTTATTCACTGTTCAAAGACTTCGTCATGCCATTGCAGATTGAATCTCTTTCTCAATTCACCCACCATGACCCCTAGTCAAAGCCTTGCTTTCACGATTGAATTTACCTCTGCTTGCGACTCATTCTCAAAGATCTAGAGTATAAATACTCCTCCTCATCACCTTTTCTTGCTCTCTGTATCCAAGATGACAAGGCAATCCAATACCACACTGCGCTGGGTACGCGGGACTTGGTTGCACTCGAAGACAATTATTCGAAGCCGACAGAATATCTCAAGAAACATTGCGCGTTGCGTTACAGTATCTGCAGCAAGAAACAATTGACAGTGGCCAAGAAATTGACAATCATTGGTTTTTGTTGGCAACAGTAGAAGCGTAGTAGATGAGGACCAGAAGCTTCCAGACTCACACACGCCCAAAAGAAAATCCCAGCCTGACCATGTCACACTCTAAAATCACCCAACATCCTATGCCACATCCCTTCTAACTTTCGTAGAGTATTGGTGATAGGTTGCGCAATTCAGTGAGCCAAAAGTCTTGACAATAACTGTTTTTGTTAACAACAGTAGAAAGATTCGAGGTGATAATATATTGTTTCAGCACGGAAGCTCCTAGTCTCACGATCATGAAGCAGCATTCCTATTATAGTCATGTCATCCTCCAAGTACACGCAGCACCCCGCCCCAAAGAATCCGTCCCATGATGTGGGTCCAATACTTGTATCTCATGTGATTAACTATCTCTAAGACCGAGAAGTTGGCCTTTTTATAGACGGAGCGGGATCACGGCTGCAAGGAATATCTCTCAGTGGCCATCAGTCAGTCAAAAATGTTGACAATAAATGTTCTTGTTGACAATGGTAGAAAGGTTCGAGAAGATAGTTTAGTATTTCAGCACAGAAGCTCCTAGTTTCCACACCAGAAACACCATTCCTATTATACTCATGTCATGCTCCAAGTACACTCAGCACCCCATCCCAAAGGATCTGTCCCATGAAGTGGGCCCAGTACTTGCGGCTCATGTAGTAAAGTTTCTCCGAGACCGAGAAGTTGGTCTTTTTATAGACGGAGCGGGACTGCGCTGGATTCCGTTGGAAGATTCCGGTTTCCGCGGCGGGTCCGCCCAAGGTGAATTTCGGAAAATCATGCCGTTTCACTGCTTTGATAGAATCTGCGGATCTTGGAGGTCAGGTGAATGTTGGAAAGTGGTGTCATTTGATGCAAAAAGTAAATTACTTCAAGATCTTAACTGGTTTCCTAGGCTGCCGCACCAGGAGATTGCTGGAAAGTCATTTCATTTGGTTGCTTTGCTAGATTCCGCGGATCTTCAACTTTCAAGTGAATGTGGGACGAAGACTATGGAGTCTCTACAATCAATGGTCTGGCTAGTCAACCAGCTCCACCTAAGGAGACTATGAACGAGGAGGTTATCAGGATGTGGATGAAAAGGAGCAAAGCCAGACGAGGAATAAAATTGGCAATGCAAGTAGAGTTGAGAACAGCAATCGTGAGTAGTTTTACGATAACATCGCTTTTGTTGACAATAACACGAGGAATAGCACTGGGAAATATTTTGACAAGGAGGCTGCGGTCATGTCCAGACTTCGTTAGTTTCTGAAGTTTAGCACAGGTTTGTGTCTTTAAACATTTCATTCTTTACTTGTGAGGTAGGCTGCTCTTGTGGGATGTTTTTCTCTTTGTAAAGTGCTCTCCTGCTCTCCTGCTGTGATGTACTCTCCTTCCATGAAGTACTTTACTTCTGCGAAGCACTCCTTTTTAGAAAGTGCTCTCCTCTTGTGAATCACCTTCTTTTGAAAGACACCCTCCTCCTATAAGTTAAGTTTATGCAAGACGACTTTGGCATAAAATTGAAAGATTGATAAGCGAGACAATCATCTGAAGAACATCCATTGAGAGCTTAAAATTAGAAAAATCCTAATATGCAAGCAGCTCGAAACTTGAGAGCACATAAGCAAACGAGACAAAACACAACAGTAAGGGGGGAGCTTTTAGACGGATGGTGCCATCTTGACAACAAGAGCGTCTGTTAGCTCAATAGCTATGACTGAAACTCATATCGTCTATCATTTTGTTAGGATTGGCCAGCTGGCTAGAACACCGATATGGCTATAGCTGCCTCTTCTGATCCTTTGGATATGTCCAGATTACTTGCTAAGTTGCAATGTTGCAAACATTAGAACATTTCTTGTTAATGGTTACTTGACTGAGAGAGATGACGCATATTCATCGGCAATGGGCTGACACCTCTAAGACGCAAATCAAAGAAGGAAATCTAGAAACAAGCAATCACGTATTAGACATACTGTAAAGAGACACACGAATGGTCAACTTTACTTGTTATATTCACAAGACAACAACAGCGATTCACAGCGTCAATGTGCAATATGATTGGAATAAAGTTTTGTTCAATTGAGCCTTCCCGTTTGGGCATAAGTATCAAGGTTCTCAACCCCACCTCGTTAAGCACTTGCTCTTTCAACCACTTCCTTTCCAGATTCAACATCAAACCATGACTTCACAACAACTCAAAGGCACGATCCTAGCAACCGGTGCAGCAGGAGGCATCGGTACAGGTTGGCTACACGAACATCTCCAAAGCGAACATGCGAGGTCGCATCTTACCATCTACGTCACGCATCCGTCGTTCCCGGGCCAGCTCAGAGAAATTTTGGACAAAGAGGGGGATGGCTGTAGATTTGAAATTGTGGAGATAGATCTTTCAATTCTGGAAAACGTGAAGATTTTCACAAGAGTTCTCAGTGGTAGGGTGGAGAGCAATGATATTCCGAGGATCAGGTTGCTGATTTTGATTGCGGGCGTTATGTTTTTGGATCCAACGACGAAGGATGGGATTGGCTTCACAACCGAGGGATTCGAAAAGACTTGGGCGTTGAATTATGCAGCTAATGTCTGTTTGATTTTGGGATTGTTACCTGTTATGAGCGAGAAGGGAAGGATAGTCTGGTTAGCAAGCAGCAGTCACGATCCGAGTTTTCGAACCAGTAGGCCGCTCTATACGCCAGGTACGGTAAGTCTTTTCAAGGCTGGGGATGGAGAAGTCGAGGTATGTTTTTTCATTTCCACGTCCTGTTTCCCTTGACTGAAATTCTGAACAGAGATTCGCGAAAGCGACAGATAAAATCGAGGAGGGAGACGAGGTCCATGGCGCGGTGAGGAGATACGCCGCCAGTAAACTCTCTATGACGATGTTTATGTATGCTCTGCAGCGACGCCTCTCCTCGTCGTCTTCTTTCAACCAAATCAAGATCTTGGCCAATTCACCGGGTACCGTGGGAGGCACCTCCATAACGTCTTCGATGCCGTGGTATGTTCGCATGGTGATGCAGTACCTTCTTGTTCCGCTGCAAGCATTGTTTGTATTGATCTGGGGAAATGGAAACCTAAGGACAGCGAAGGTTGCGGGAGGTGATTTACAGTGGTGTTGTTGGAGTACGGAGTTGAAGGGTGGAGACTATGTTGATGGGAGGGAAGTGATTACAAGCAGTCCGGAGAGTTTGAATATTAAGAAGCAAAAGTGTCTTTGGGTTGGGACACGCAAGTTGCTTGGGTTGAAGGAGGAGATGACAGCGTTAGGGGATGGCATTCAAGGGGGCTTTTGAGATACCATGAAAAACGTGAAAGAAGCGGAGACCGAAGAAAATCAAAGGCTTCAAACTGCCTAAGAGTTTATCCCAAGATCTTAAACCACAAAAGCTTGAACTGAAGTCGAAGTCTACACCTACTGGCTTAACCCTCGCTTAACCTCCTGCTCTCACCAGGTGTCCCGGCTATCAGAAACATTTTAACTCCTAAAAATATTTCAAGTTGACTCTCTTTATACCCAAATTAAAACTAGCTTAAGTACCGAAGTTTTGTTCGTTCTATACTTTGATTCGCCTCTAAGGCCTAGACGTTGCATCGTTCTCTCATATCCGAAAAATTATTGGCCGTAATCTAACACGACTTTGCAGTTCAATAAGTAGTCTAAAATCACAGACGTTACAGATACGTCCGAGTTTCAACAACACAACTTCAAAGATTCACTAAATCAAAAAAGAATTTTCAAACATGTTAAGTTAAATCTTTTCACTGTCAAATGAGTTTAAGTTGTCGATTTGGCTCCCGGCGTCAACTCTCTTCTAAAGTGCTACTGTCGTTTTTCTGTCTTACTATCAGCTTTCTTTCTTTTTTTTTTCTCTCCTATTGTCAAGCCTCTTCCATTGTCAACTCTTTTTCACAATTCTATCCGATGCTATCCTATACCACTCACGTCAAAACTACCACAATAACCCCCCACCGTGTCTCATGAATATTACTACGCCCCGGCTCCACCCTTCCCCGGCTCCCACACACGATGAAGAGGTTGTGTTGCGCGTACTTTGCGGTCCGCGGCGATCAGGTGGCGTTGTATTTATAGATGATGGGTGTGGGGAGCTGGGAGAGGCTGGGTTTGATGGGTTTGGACGGGCTGTGTTTGCGTGAATGTTATCTCAAAGATAGACAAAGAGCCTAGAGAAGCTTATGGTTTTATGCTATATCTATGGATGATTCTGTAATGCTAGCTACCCTTTCTCTGGCTAGCCATAGACAGAATGAATACCCCCTTGTCAAAGCGATTTCCCCTTTCAGCTTACTTGTAGTAACTTTTTGAAAATCCCAAAGGCTTTTGGGTTTAACTTCAGCTTTTTTGGAATCGAGTTTTCCATATCTGTAGGAAATGATACTCTTTCGGCAAGGGTCGGGTCCAGCAAATCGTCCTCTGTCAATGACCTTTCATCTTTGTATAAAGCACCACACTGATCCACAATACGCTCTTCAAGAATCAGTATCAGCTCCTTCAGCCCAGGAAAATATGATTTTAACACTTCCTCGAACGTTTTGGGAAAGAAAGGTCTCCCAGTGGGATGGCTAAGATGTATCTCCCATTGCCAGTCAATCCAGCTCACAGCGAATCTCTTGAGTCTATGGCCTGGCTTCGTACCATAAAAGTAGGCATTCTCTTTCTGCAGCTCGTTCCATGCTCTCCAGAATCTCACCGCGAAAACAACCCAAAGTTCTTGAATGTAATCCACTCTTAATTTCCAATCGACGCTGAAAATGTAGTCCAACTTTACATAGAACAAAGTCGTGTCGACATTGACCCAAGTCCCGTCACAGTATACGAGAGCCTCCTTTCCGATTCTCCTACTGTGGCTACACACGGACAAGATGCTAGGGGGCTTCCTGACTCGGTTTGACTGGGTTGGTGGCCATTTGTAGAGTCTTAGGCCTGCCCCGTCCCGTACGTCCGTCCAAATCTGTTCTCGAATCTCAATTTGAAGACGGAGGAATTTATGGAACTTGGGATTGGTGCTGGTAGCGGGCGGCGAGGTTCGAAACCGATTCTTCATAGCCATTCTCCAGATCCTGTCCCGTAATTCCCCTTTTGCTTGCTGGATCTTGGTGTATATCTCGTCAGAAGATGGATATTTGATCGGAGGAGGATGGAAGAGTTGCAATTCCACTATTTCTGATGGTCTCAAGATGGTCGACATGCGGCGTAGTTGGGCTTGGGAAGGGATATCGATGGTTGTGGAGCTCGGCAGGACGGTATTGATATAGGCGACCATCGTGAGGCTGTTTGATGAATATTGATGTGATGTTGTATAAGGATAGAATTTTTTTTTTTTTGAGAGAAAGATGTGAGAAAAAAAGAGCAGTGCTTTCTGGAGGAAGGTGGGAGGTGCTGTGAGGTGTTTACTTGGGAAAGAGCAATCGAGTCGTAAGCAGGAGCAAATTCAAGACAATTATGACAATAAAAGAATGTAATAAGGTTCCAACATTGAGCAGGACTTTGGATCAAAGCTTAAAGTTAAAAAGAAAATGGTTCATCAAGAACGACACAATGTCATTCACTCATGTTTGCTCAGAGTTCAGCTGAATTCGAGTTCCTCTGCTGTTGTCAAGTCTCTAGCAATTTTCGAACAATGAAATAAGTTCCGACGAAAGCAATTCTGAAAACTGACAGCAGAAAATCCTTCGGGAAGCACACCCTAGAGAAATACTCATCCTCTCTTCAAGTACAACCAGCCCAAATCACCGGCCTATACCATCCACCACGAGCCCGGCCACACTCCTCACAGAACACTCTGTAATGGTGGATTAAAGTTAGCGTTCGTTAAAGAATGTAAATGACGCCTTGACGATCCTTTTGTACCCCTCTCCCCCACAACCCAATCATTCACTCACTCCCATCAAAACACCACTCAAATTCACCAAACCCAACCGCCTCTCCCCCAAACCTGACATGTAGCAGCCTGAGCGCCTGATTGGCTGACTATAAATACCACTCTTCGCACCCCAGGAAAGGAGCATAAACCTTTGCCTGCTATCACTCGCACTACCCGGCGTTCGCGCTCCATGTCCCGGTTCGTTTGGCGACTTTGGGAGGTGTGAGGTTGGGTGGTAGTTGAGGTGATTTTGAGAAGGAGAGGGATGATGTTAAGATTTTGTGGATTGATGATAGTAGGAGAAAGTTGGCAACAATAGAAGGTTGATAGCAAAAGACAGTTGACAACAATGCGACAATTATTAACAAACACAAGATCATGGAACAAAAATAAATAACTCTTCTAAAGTACGACCCAATCTAACGACTTTTGAACGTCCAAAGTCGGATCATCCCTGGGCCACTTTTCATCTCAAAAATTTCCAAGAACTTCATGAATAAGAACTTGACAAGAGAGGGTATTCAAATGCCTCCTTAGATGTGGCTTTAATTCGAGTGAAACAGGTGAATCCAAAAGCTGTTTTGCACTTGCTAGAAAGACTCACCTGCTTTATCTTCAATTCATCGCGATATCACAAGCGCTCCCACCCGCAACAAGAATTCACTATACAATACAATAGTTCTCTCTCTTTACTTTCTATCTGCCACTCATTCACTTGCTTACATTCCCTGCACACCTCCCCCCCCCCCCCCCAAAACAAAAGAGCACAGAGAACAGAGTAGAGTTTTAATCCTTCACCAAAAGACATGAATGCAACGCCGCCCAATGCTTTCTTTCTTTCTTGCTTGCAGCAGACCTGTACAAAAACGTTCCCTTTCCCATCCTATCCTCTCTCGGCATCTAAATAACTTACTTCACCTCCCGAGCCCCTTACTCAATCCACCCTCTTAAAAGCAGCACTCGGCTGCTCCGGCGGACTATCCGTGCTCTCCGTCGGGAAAGGCGGCGGCGCACTCTTCCCCGCGCCGCCAAAATACTTCATGAAATCCTTATTCTCGTCAAACGGTCTGGGACCCAATAACCGCACCATATCATTCCGATCCAGCACCTCCTTCTTCAGCAGCTCTTCGGCGATGATGCCCACCTGTGCTTTTTTCTCGGTCAGCAGGTCTTTGCATTGTTTGTACGCCTCGTCGACGATACGGCGGACTTCCGAGTCGATGGTTTGCGCTGTGAGTTCGGCGAACGGTTTGTGCAGTTTCTCGGTGCTGTCTTCGAAGTGGAGCGGGCCGAGTTTTTTGCTCATGCCCCATTGGGTTACCATTGCTGTGGCTAGTCTGGTGACTTTGTTGAAGTCATCCGAGGCGCCGGAGGTTACGGTCTCGAAGTGCAATTCTTCGGAGACGCGACCGCCGAGGGTCATGGCCATGCGGTCCATGAGTTGGTTGACGTTCATGAGATAGGTGTCTCCTACTGGCAGGTACTGGGCGTAGCCGAGTGCTCCCTGGCCACGTGGGATGATAGAAACCTTCAGGAGAGGGTCAGCGTACTTGAAGTACCAACCGCAAATAGCGTGACCGGCTTCGTGGTAGGCTACAGTCTTCTTCTCTTCTGGTGAGAGGACAAGAGACTTCTTCTCAAGACCACCAATGACACGCTCAATAGCTTGTTCAAAGTGGATCATCTCAACTGACTTGGCGCTTGTTCGAGCAGCTGTAAAAATTAGCATCAAGAATTCACAACTGGAACAGAATCACATACCTATTAAAGCAGCTTCGTTGACACAATTAGCAATATCAGCACCAGAGAAACCAGGAGTGAGAGCGGACAGTCGTCCAGTAAGGTAAGTCAGATCCTCATTCGTGACAATCTTCTTCAGATGCACCATAAAGATCTGCTTTCTTCCATCCATAGTTGGTCGATCAATCGAAATATGTCTATCGAAACGACCAGGGCGCATCAGTGCCTTGTCGAGCACATCAGGTCTATTCGTACCAGCCAACACGACTACCTGCTCAGCAGTATTGAATCCATCCATCTCAGTCAAGATTTGATTGAGTGTAGCTTCTCTCTCGTCGTTACCACCGCCGAATGAGCCGGCCTTTCCACGGGCTTTGCCAATAGCGTCGATTTCATCGATGAAGATGATACATGGAGTATTCTTTCTCGCCATAGAAAAAAGATCTCGCACTCGTGAAGCACCAACACCAACAAACATTTCCACGAACTCGGAACCACTGACACTGAAGAACGGAACCTGAGACTCGCCAGCAGTAGCTTTCGCCAACAGCGTCTTACCAGTTCCTGGAGGTCCAGAAAGAATAGCACCTCGTGGGATCTTGGCACCGAGTCTTTGGAATTGTTCGGGCGTCTTCAAGAAAGCGACAAACTCCATGATTTCAGCCTTGGCTTCGTCCATACCGGCAACATCTGCAAACTTGACCTTAACATCGGTCTCGTGGTTGAATTGCTTGGCTCGACTCTTGCCCATACCAAAGACTCCGCTGGCACCACTTCCGCCTCTGCCTCCCGCACGCATTGTCATGAAATAAATGGCGCCAATGAATAGAACGGTTGGACCGAAATTCATGAGGATTGACCAGCCATCATTGTCTGCACCAGCATAGTTGACCGGTATCCGTTCGCTGCTAGGTATCCCAAGCTCGTTCTGTGCCTGGTCTAACTTGCGTTCAAAAGCCTCGACTGAGCCAATCGAGAAGTAGTAATGGAAGTTCGGGTTGACGGCAGGAGAATCTGGGAACATTGATTGTGTAGCTTCGCGGTGTAGATCGACACGAACCTTTCCGCTCGCACTAACCGTCAACTTCTCAACAAGCCCTTTGTTCAAGAACGTAGTCTGGAATTCCTGGAACGTAATATCCCTCTTGCTCTCGCCTGGAATGACCATCCGGTAGAGTAGGTATGACACGAAAGCCGACAGGAGAAACGAGCTCATATCGAACTTTATCTCCCCAAACTTGAAGTCCTGCTTATTACCATCACTGCCGGCCTTCTTCTCACCACCAAGCGGAGGAGGAGGTGGACCCGAAGCCCCTCCATTTTCATTCGACTTGAACTCCGTACTCTTGCTTTCCTGCTCCAGTTCCCTCTCCGCCTGCTCCAGTTCCCTCTCCGCCTGCTTCCTCGCCATCTGGCTCGTTAACCTCGTCAACTTCGCCGCCGTCGCAAGCGTCATCGACTTCCCTCTAACCTCCTCCACCAATTCCCTCAACTCCTTCGGAATCCCCTCTTTCTTGATATTCTCAAACGCCCGCTCAATGATCTCCACCTGTCCCTTCGGTAACCCCTTCTTCAGCGTTGACAGTAGATCCTCAACCATTTTCTCCTCCTCCGCCGTCATCTTCGACATATTGCTGTCTGCCGCAGCTGGCAATGTGCTGGGCCCCTCATTGCTACCCTTCTGCGACAGCGGTCCGCTGTCATTATAAAGATTCTCGGTCCCTGTCGCAGGTTTTCCATTTTTCTCCGGCGGCGTCACCTTATTATCATTTTTCTTCTGCTCACTTGCAGAAACCTTCTTCTCATCGCTCTTCCCTTTCGAATAAAATCTCGACTGCTGGCTCAACAATGGGCGATAGTTCGACGCGCGGGTGGTGGCGTACCGGAGGGAAGATTTTGATATCCGTGCAAGATTGCTCGATTGCCGTAATATCGAGGTCATGTTCGCGAGAGCGGGAGGGAGGAAGGGAGAGAGTCACTGTTTTGTGATCGCGGTGGCTACTGTTGCTATCTCATTGGAAGGAAGGGGGTAGGTTGAGAAAGGTATCCTGGAGGAGGCAATGCTTAGAAAGTCGTGCTGGAGTCATGATATCAAAACGTCCTAGCTTCGGCTTCATCCAGCCCGTAGCTCCGAGGCTGGTCACGTGCTTGAGTCGTGTGCTCATCGACGAGTTTGTGCTTGAAGTTTTGTTTAGGAGTTCACAGTAATGAGAAACAATCTATTAGGACATTTACTTAGACTTCAAGTTTGTGGTTCTTTCTGTCCTCCTCCTGTCTTGCGGCTCAATACAAAATCCTTCCTTCCGAAGACTGCACTCGATGAACTACAGCTCATATTCTCTAATTCATTTAGTAAGTTTAATTTGGTATATACGTAGATCAAAAACACCATCATATAGGTAAGATATCTTTCTGTATCATAGCTTTCTCGATAGCTAAGTCCATGCTCATGCTATGCATCTCATATCAATCTCATCGCTATCAAATACCAAGCAACCAACCCTTCCCTTCCCTACTTATTTCCCAGAAGACCAACCCAGATCAGATCCCAGAACTCCCTCCACTAGCATCGTGCGTGGAATGCAATAATAAAAGCCAGTCAACTACAAAATGTTTCATCCCCCTATTCTCGCCAAGGTGCAAATTCTTTTCTCTGACTGTGTGTTGTGGATGTGGCGGAGGTGTTATTCGGAAATAGCAGCCAGCGGCGGCGGGGCGATGCGAGCTGCTACGATGCTGGCTCGTGCTTGCTGCTTGGTGGTATCTTTGGCTGCTTGCAGTCATTTCTCTTCCCAGCCCCAGACGGTGGCAAGGAAGTGGGCCATGTTGACACGCTTGGCGCGCATTTCGATCATCCATGGATGTTCTAGCATACGCCATGGAGAGGCACGTCTTGATGGCTCTTTTTCGAGGCTGAATTGTGTCAGTATGTTGCGTAGATAGATGTGGGGGAAGTGTTAGACATACCAGCATTCAATGAAGTACTTGAAGTTGTCACTCCATTTGATACCTGCCTCCGGTTCATCCTTTAGCTTTGGAATCGGCTGTCGGACGATATATGTCAGAAGGTCGATTAGGCCGGCTCGTGGTTGCATCTCTGTTCCATCTGCTGGGAACGGGAACCGGTGCTGTGCAACCTCTAGTAGAGTGACACCTGTGGACCAGACATCTGAAGTAATGGTGTAAGACTGGCCGGTGATACGTTCTGGTGCCATGTAATACGAAGTACCGATAAACGTGTTGGCATCTCCCTTTGTACCGAATTCACCACTGACACCAAAATCGCAGAGCTTGACCTGGCCGTCTCGGCACAGTAAGATGTTGCTTGGCTTGATGTCTCGGTGGATGATCTTCTTGCTATGGAGATAGGTGAGGCCGTTAAGGACCCCTTCAGCGATCTTGCCTAGCACTTTCTCGCCAGTTCGACCGCCAAGCTTCTTGACTTCCCGATAGATGCTGTCCAAGGAGCCACCTTCACAGAACTCCATGGCAATGCTGATGGTAGCTGTCGAAGGCTCTACGAATGCACCATAGTATCGACAGATATGCTCACTAGCACAATCCTTGTTGAACCCCAATTCTCTCACGATTTGTTTCTTGACGTCCGGATCTGGGTTTGTGGTGATGATCTGCAAATCGTTAGTCAGGGGTCATATGGTGTAAGCTGATACCACGAACCTTCAGGGCGAATATTGTCTTCCCACCCTTCAGCACGCATTTTGTGACTGCACCACCAGCTCCCTCTCCTAGACTGCTTAATTCCTCAATTCGTTTCTCCATACTTGCAACACGCCAACCATCGTCGTCCAGGTCTTCCACATCTAGTGTTCTACCACGCTCTAAGCTCAATTTATCGAACCCCTCAAGCCCATTCATGCTGCCATCTCGTTCCATTCCCACTCCCCCTTCACTTCGTTCTGAGTATAATGACCCAACAGCCGACGAGGGGTCGGGTGTTCCTTGTGGCTGTCGTAATCCGTACTGAGAAGCGAATGAAAGAGCTGAGTATTGTGAACCAGCAGATGTCGGCCCACTTGCACGTCCATCTAGAGGACCGAAGCTTCCTGACCTTGAATGTGCTGCACTACTCTCACTACCACCACTCGCAGATTGCCCTGCTGTGGTTTGTATACTTGGTCTGCCATTCTGTAGAGTCTGTTCGTACGGAGTCTGACTGCTTCCCATCGGTGTAGCTAATTGTAATCGTGGTAATGATGGCCTTGTATTCATTTGGCCTGGCATTTGAAGAGATAGACCGCCAGGCTGGGCACTGCTATTGAGAGGTTTGACACTGGGTGAAGGCGGGATGGCAAGACCTAATCTTGGTGTTCTGGCACCACTGTTTCCTCGACTGCCAGGCATCGGAGGACGAAGCAGCGGCACATTTGGTGAACTCGATAAGGGTGCTGGAGACGACATCTTGGGTTGTGGAAAGGGATCTAGAGTGTTGGAAGACTTGGAGATATCAGCATTCTTCCCCACGCTAGCTTCAGTGCTTTCGAGAAGACGCAGAGATGATTCAAAGATGTTCATACATGGTAAGCTGCAGCTGCAGAGCACGAGTCTCCTGGTGTGGCTCTGTATTCCGTGTTCTGAAGGGCACCGTTACCGGTACTCTCTGTGAAGGAGTTCTGCTCTTGCATGAGCCGTGCCGTCCACCTCTACAGCAGCGTGTCCTGCCGGCTTAATGAACGTTGATTGTTGTCGAGATTCGGAGTCGATATGTCATATGACGGCAGTTGAGGGTCTCGAATGCAGGTTTTTTGATGGTTGACTCGAGCGGCTGGCGTGTAAAATGTTCTCTTGTCGTGGCACCTGTACTCGTAACTTCGGCTGCGAGATGTTTCAACTTGTCGTCACTAGATCAGCTGTGGAGAAAGAGTCTCGGGCGGCTACAGGGAAATAGGGTTCTGTCGGCCCCCAGTTTTGTGGAGAGGCAGAGACGGTGTGAATGAGGAGCAGGAGGAGATAAAGAATGAAGGAGGTCAGCTTGCGTGTCGGTGTCAAGAAAGAGTGAGTGAGAGTGACAGAGAGAGTGAGCAATAATATCTGATCGTTGGGCTCGGCTCAATTGAAGACAAGGCAAGCAAGCAAGCAAGCAAGCCAGCCAGCCCAGCAACCGCACAAGCCTGAACCGTCCGTGAGTAAGTCGAGTCTAGTCCGCTGCAAGGGAAGTCAAGGGAGGTCAGGGAATCAAGGGCGAACGAGCAGGGCCGGACTTTGGGGTCGATGCGGGTGACGAGGAGGTCCAGTGGTGAGGATCCCTGAAGCTTGTTGAAAGACCCTGACGCCCTGTTCCTGTTGGAGAGTTGGAGCGACGATGCTGGCGTTGGCGTCGACTTTTTATGCAGTGGAGCGCGGCTTGGGGGGCCAAAAGGGAGCCGACGTTAAATGCTGGTGAGGAGAAGGGAGCCGCTGGTTGGTGTAGGGCGTTGATGGTGCAGACACCAGAGAGGGACACTGGAACAACGCTGCCGGTCGGATGGCGGGGTGAATAACGTCAAGAAATAATTAACTAATGACTCGAGAGTCTGGACCGTGGATGTACATAAAATACCTGGGCAGCACTCTGTATCGTAATAGAGTGTATTGTAATAGAGTGCAGTAGTGAGGAAGCCAGCTGAGCTGTTCGTACGGAGTCCTGAAATCTTACGTGGTGGACAAGTCAACATCTGACAAGTATCGAAGCCAGCTGGGAGCAGGACTTGGGAATGATTGGGGGCTGCTCGCGGCTACGAGAGGACTTGGACATCTCAGGGAAAACATGATAGGGTAGGAAAAAATCCCCAGGGAAAGGGACCAAAAGTTGGGATGGGAACGATGGATGGGGTGGGGGATGAGATGGTGGTCAGAGAAACACAGTCAACTCATGCAATGCGCCCAGAACACATAGGTACATACATATCTCCCTTCCCTTCTGTCTTTCTCCACACCGTCGGATCTCTGAACAACAATGAATCCTCCACAGTATTGGTGCGTATTGGCTGTCAGTTGCTGCAGTAGCTGGACATCACCACCGAGTCCGTGTGGTCAGCCCTGAAATCAGGAGATGCAGGATGAGATCCGCCAAGGAGAAGGAGGAGCAGAAGAAGCAAGATACCGCAAAGCAAGTCAAATCTAGTCAAATCTCAACTCCTTATGCTTTACACCAAGCGCGTATCGTGGGAATGAGGCCAATGCAACCTGCCATAAACCTGCTCTCTATTTCCGACTGGTACAATCTCCCTCTCTCTTATCACCTCTGGAACCACATTTGTTGGCTTTTCAATGTCCAACATTTGCCATGAAAGCCATGAAAGACATCGGCACTGCTTGGGCATGATCCTCACTCCTACTCGCCGGCGGCAGCAGCATAATCAGCATCAGCATCATCATCATCATCGACGATTGTTTCTCGGCATCCCAAACAATGTTTTGGCCCAGCTCACCAGTCCCGGTTCCATGCTCCGTGATGATATAGTGCCGCATATCACTCACCTGCTCTTCCGGCCCTACGACTCGTCGTCTGCCGAGTAAACCGTTATGCTTCTGCCATCTTCTGACCTGCTACTCGTCCCTTTGACCGTATCAGTCACTTCATGCGCCAGCAAATAATCGCTCACATAAGAGCAATCTCTGCGTGGTGGAGAGTGAAGGCCTGCACCATCGTGCATCCCAGAGCAATACGATGCGCTCCTATTGCACAGCGGTGGTGTGTCGGCGACCTCACGGTGCAGCAGCAATCAATGTGCTGTGCCGTTGTGTGGCACGATGCTCGACGCTCACTGGGGAACTGTCATGATGTTTCAGGTGCGGATCCATGTTGAGTCGAAGACCAGGTTGTGTGAGTGGTGGCCAGAAGGAGGCCCGTTGGGAGGGATCTGAAGGGTAAGGGAAAATCATTGCCGCGCGCTTCCCATCTATCCATGCACGACGAGAAATTTTTAACTTGTCAGCCTCGTCGGGTCCAGATTTTTGTCACTTTTTGCTTTGCTCGACAATTTACCACCACGCAACGCAACCGCCCAATATAATGGCCCCAAACCCCCATGCAGAATCTGCGACGACGAGGTCCATATCTGAGGAAGCGTCTGGTTCATCCTCAGAGTCGGGACACTCCTTCCAATCTACCGGAGAGCTTTCCGACTCGGATTCTCTCGATAGCGCTGCCTCGCGCAAGAGACGAAAAGTCTCGCCAATCGAAGACGATGTGCCACAGCTGCACTCGATTTCTGTCCCTTCGCGGATGAAGGCAAAGATACGAAATAATGCAATTAATAAGGAGACCAACAATGGAGCAGTCCTGGCACCCACGGATCCAAATACCTCGTTCGCATCCTTGACGGTGAAGCCATGGCTGGTCAAGTCTTTGGAAGCAATGGCTATCAAACGGCCAACTGGTATTCAGAAAGGATGTATACCCGAGATCTTGAAGGGAAAGGATTGTATAGGAGGTAGTAGGACGGGTTCAGGAAAGACGGTGGCCTTTGCGGTTCCTATATTGCAAAAATGGGCAGAAGATCCTTTCGGAATATTTGCATTGGTTCTGACACCCACAAGGTATGTACAGAACTCTCGATATAGAAATTCCTGGCTAATAAAATTTTAGAGAATTGGCTCTACAGATCTACGAGCAATTCAAGGCCATCTCATCCCCACAGCAGCTGAAGGCAGTCTTGATTACTGGAGGAACGGATATGCGACCACAGGCCACAGCTCTTGCTCAGCGACCGCATGTAGTTATTGCAACTCCCGGACGATTAGCAGACCATATTCGGACATCGGGAGAAGATACAATATGCGCTTTGCGGAGAGTCAAGATGGTGGTTTTGGATGAAGCAGATCGATTATTGGCAGGTGGAAGTGTAGGAAGTATGCTACCAGATGTTGAAGAGTGCCTCTCTATTCTACCTCCACCAGCAAAACGCCAAACTCTGCTCTTCACAGCAACTGTCACTCCAGAAGTACGAGCATTGAAAGAGATGCCTCGAACACCAGGAAAACCACCAGTCTTCGTCTGCGAAGTCGATACTCAGACTCTGGCAATACCTGTCTCTCTGAAGCAAATGCATCTCCAAATTCCCGTCACACATCGAGAACACTACCTTCACATGTTCCTCCTCACCGACGCCAACCTCCCAAAATCCATCATAATCTTCTGCAATCGAACAGCAACAGCAGACTACCTCACACATCTCCTCCGCCTCCTAGACCACCGAGTCACAGCCCTCCACTCCAAGCTCCCCCAACGGCAACGAATCGATAACCTAGGTCGATTCCGAGCCTCAGCAGCCCGAATCCTAGTCGCCACCGACGTCGCAGCTCGAGGTCTCGATATCCCCGAAGTTGGCCTCGTAATTAATTACGATATCCCCCGCGACCCAGATGATTACATCCATCGGGTCGGACGTACAGCCAGAGCAGGCAGGAAAGGAGAAGCACTTACATTTGTCGGACAACGAGATGTGCAGCTCGTGCAAGCGATTGAAGCCCGAGTTGGCAGACAAATGGAAGCATGGGAAGAAGAAGGCGTGAATCTAGAAACGAGAGTCATTCGAGAGGCATTGAAGCTAGTGGGAGAAAAGAAACGCGAGGCTATGCTAGAGATTGAGGAAGGGAGGGAAGTCGGCGGGAAGCGGAAGCGAGGTATGCAGAAATTACGAGCTTAGATACCCAATGCATCCAAAAGTTGTCACAACGAACAGTAACTATCTATCTCTTATCAAGAACTATTCCCCTCACATGAAATATCCAGACAGATCTTAAGCCCATCAAACCCAACCTTCGCAACACTCCCCCCTTTCCAGCCTAGCCTCGCCTAGATCCCTGAACCGAGCCCTACCTAATGGATAAACGTTAGTGCGAGGGGTGGAGAAAACCCATGAGACCATCTCGGTAGCACAACGACCAATCGTGTGTCAGAAATGTGTCTGACCTCGGTAGGTACTCTGTTTATATCTTTCTCTTTTCTTCGTACTTTGTCGAGTATCTCCCTTTATTGTTTTGCTGTCGCTGCTGTTGTTGTTTAGTTCTTGGTTTTTTTTAAATTGGGTTTGGAAAGACTTGCTTTTGATATCAGGCTGAATGAAGGAGAAGAAGATTTGCTGGAGTTTCAGATACTTTTGAAGATAAGAATTGAGAGCAACACAGCTCAAGAAAGACAGAGATATTTTAGAAAGAGAAGGAAGAGAAAGAGCAAGAGAAAAACAGACAAAATGTCGTCCACCAAACCCTCCTCATCCTACAAAGCTCAACAAGCTACCATCGCTTCCATGACACTCTGGGACAAACTGGACATCATACCCGTGATTCTCACAGTTGGTACGATACGTCTCCTCTTCTCCAATTCCTTTCTCTTCATGATTAAAAACAGGGAATAGCTGACAACGAAAAACAGTAACCAAAACCCTCCTAGCAGCTCTAACATTCCCCTTCGTCAGCAAAACATCCCGACCAAAGACCTACTACCGCCATGTTCTCCTAACCGCTATGAGGACTTTTACTGCGAGGACGAATGTTAGGCAACAGCAGTTTGTTCTCTTTTCCTCTTCTTCTCTCTTCCCCAATCCCCTCTTTCTCACTTCCAACTCAAAAGTAGATAAGAAAGACTAACGAGAAAATAGTTACCTCTCCCCACCAACAGACGTAGCATACACCACCTTCTGTAAGAAACACGGTTTAACGCCCCGAAGCGAGGTTCTCGAGGACGGGACGCGGGCTCACTGGATCGGGGAGCCGGGGGCAGAGGGGTTGATTGTTAATTTTCATGGTTAGTCGTTCCTCTCCTTTCATCCATTCTCCCTTCTGTGATATGAGAGATGAGAACTTTCAATTATTATATGAGAGAGAAAAAGAAAAGGACTAAAGTACCAAAACAGGAGGGGGATACACCCTCCCCCCAACCCCCGGAATGTTCCTCTTCATCCACAACCTAATCCAGCACCTCTCCGCACAAGGAAAATCCGTCTCCTGCCTCTTCCTCTCCTACGACCTCTCCCCCACAGCCCCCTACCCCCGCCAACTCCAACAAGCCTCCGCTCTCCTCTCCCACATCCTCACCACGCTCCACTACTCCCCGCACTCCATCCTCCTAACCGGCGACTCGGCCGGCGCCAACCTCGCCCTATCCCTACTATCCCACCTCACGCATCCACATCCCGACCCTGCTATCCCGCCGGTACAGATGGATGGTAGTTTGAAGGGAGTCGTGTTGACGAGTCCGTGGATCAGTTTCGAGATGAATGCGGAGAGTTTTGAGAGGAATGGGGGGAGGGATGTAGTTTCTGTTTGTCGTTCCTTTTCTTCCTCCTCTACTCACGGTTTCGTTCTCTAACCGGAAAGAGAGTACTAACAGAGATACTGAAATAGATACAAGCAGGAACAACCTGGTCCACAGCCTTCCTCCGCTGTCCGTGGCCTCACTCCTCCGCCATAGACGCCTATAACCAACCGGGTGGCTCGCTCGTCTCGGCATCGTGGTTCAAGGACTACCCCTCCGTGGTCGACGAGGTGCTGATCGTGTGTGGAAGCGACGAGGTGCTTGTAGACGGGATTACGGATTTTCAGAGGAAGTTGAAGGAGGGGATGGGGGAGGAGAGGGTGAGGTTTGTGGTTGGGGTGGATGAGTATCATGATGCGCCTAGTTTGGATCTGGGTTTGGGGTATAAGGAGAGCGAGGAAGGGGTGCAGGCTAGGGAGATTAAGAGGTGGATTGGGAGCAAGTTCTGAGTGCACGTATAGACTAATCACAAGACGTTGGTTTTTGAATGCAAGCGAGTTCGAGTCTTGGTTTCTAAGAATTAGGAAAGTCAATTTTGGTAGAATTAAGCAGAATAAGCAACAGAGACAATGTTTCATAGCCACATCCAAGTCATTTACTTCAATGAGGCATGACCAGATCAAAACCTAACCCAGTCTAGGCAAGCCTGTACGACCTGACTGAGACCGCGCATCATGCTCACCTCCAGATTCGGAGATGTGCTGTTCCATTTCTTTCAGAGTGACGAAAGGTGGACAGTTGAAGGGATTCGCGAGCTAAACCGTGATTAATTCACGGATAGCTTATACATTCACATTACTCACATCAGGATGTCGACCGATCAAAGGCATCAATCCATCTTCAGCAGTACCACGCGTAACTTGAAGGGCCTCAGGAGCACCCGTAAGTGTAGTAAGGTTTTGCATGATACCCGCAAGGTTGCCTTCGAGATCAAATCTTGAAATAAAGTTAGCGCAGAAAAGAAGTTTTATGGCCTCTTTTCCGCCTCACCTCTTCCACTGAGATGATTTAATAGCATCGAATTTAGCCACTACAATATGCCTGTGTCAGCAATCTACAAAAAAGACGGCTTGAGAATTTCGCTAAGAATATGCTTACTGGCATCGTATGTAGATGAGGTCATTTCTCTTCGTTCTCCGTTTGCCATGAGATCTCCAGGTCGAAGATCCATTGGCTTACGTCCAGTGATGATGTGCACGTTCAGGTGATATTTGCCATGCTCTAAATCTGCCACTTCGACCTCCGGAAGTTCATCTCGTAACTACTCAAAGTCAGCTTCTATCTTATCTTCAAGAACCAAGTCTTTTACCTTCGGAATGCAGTTTTCGAGTTCCAGTTGGTAGAGAATATACTCTTTGAGCAGCGTTCCCGACTTCGTTGTACCGCCAACAGGTATGGGCAAGACAAATTCTTTGACATCCCAGAATCTGATTCATTGTTAGTGTTATCCAAGCATAGTGGTCTGTGAATAGCAATGACACTTACCCAGCCCCTTCGAGCCATGACTTGAGATTCGCTGCTGCAACTCCATCACGAGGACGCAAATTTGCCTTCATGCGCTCTTCAACTAGCCTAGACCAGCCTGGAACATCGGTTGCAAGCTCCTTGTCCAATGGATCCTTGAATCGGTCTTCGATGTTGCTTGTCCAGTCTGTAGCTGCGCAACTCCTCTTCTTTCCCTTCTTCCCGCTGGGAGCCGTAACGTCCATGTCTTCAAGGTTAGATTTGACTCGAGAGATTCGTGGTCTAGGATCAACTTCAATGAATTCGACAACACCATCTGGTTTCAATAGGCTAAAGAACCAGTCATGAGAGAAAGTTCAATCAATGAATAGTGGGGTCTTACCAGCGAACGTCTTCGAGGAACATCTTATAGCTTTCAACTCGATCGAATATTCCCCTACCACGGATGAACTCATAGAAATTACACGGAACGGGTTCTTCGGTCCGCAAAAGACAGTTGAGGTTGCGTTCCGTAAACTCGGGAAAGGGTATGTTGGAAGTAGCTCCACTGAAATAATCTGAGGACATGCCACCGGTTGACTCGATCTTTCTCATAAAGTCTCTACTCGAAATTAGCCACCCTATTGACTCCTCAGGAAAACGTAAATGGATATAAATGGATGCATGAAAGATCCGATCCACATGTAGGTTACTCACCGAAGGGGTACACCTCTGTCGAAGCAAGACCAATGATCCGTATCATCCACGCCATGAACCACCCAATCGGGCTGCTGTTTCTTGAAGGCAAAACACCAATCGCCATCAGAGCATCCAATCTCAAGGACTCTACGCTGACCGTACACTGGGGCATTTTGACTTGTTACAGAACTTGGGCTGGCGGATTTTGGTGTTCGGAGACGGAGGTCCCATGAAGAGAGTCGATGAGACCAGATGTTGTCTTCTACCAGGACAGAGTCACCACCATTTGGGTTAGGGTTTAGAAGCTTGCTGAGACTGGTTCTAAGCTGATTGTGTGTTAGTACCAAAAAGTTCAAGGCAAGAAAAGTGATCAATGGCACAAGATCTTTAACTCACATCATGATGATAAGCTTTCCTAATGACCCGAAGCAGCTGCGTGACAGTCAATTGATCAGAGATCGGATGCTCGTTGACAGAACTTTGTGGTATCAACTCTCCATAAGTATTGTACTGCATGGGAACCTTGACGCCGCTGCTGTTATGCTTGATGGTATTCGAGTCGCTTCTTGTGTGATGCTTATGAGGTCCTTCCTTTCGAGAACTTGTTTGCGCTGGCCTGACGGGCAATTGATCTGGAGCGATTACCTCGATAAGTGGCGTTCCGCACCGAGATCGAGGCGTTCTTGGAGATCGTGGGGAATCTGGAATTCTTGAAGGCATAGTCATTCTCTCTGATGGGCCGTCAAGCGTACGGATCGGAATACCAATGTGTTGCGTTGTGGTTGGCTGGACTGGGTTGTCGTTCATCGTAGCTGCAACATTGTCAGGATGTAGGGATGAGCTTCGAGGGAGATCTTCTGGAGCAAGCTCGAAGACCTCGCCGTCGAGTGAGGTGAAGAGGATGGGCATCTTGCGTCGTTCCGCGATACTTTCAGACATGTTCGCGTATTTTCCTAAGCTCAACGACGTTCTGTCATTGAAAGGAGAGGATTTAAGTGAGAAAGACGAGAAGACGAGGGCGAATGTCGTCGTCGGGTAAGTTGTGGAAAAGAGAAACGAACGACGTTGATGTGATCGAAATTGAAGAGGGTAAGAAGAGAAGACGAAAGAGAATTTCGTCGTCGGGTAAGTCGTGAAAAGGAAAAATGAACGACGTTGATGTGATCGAAATTGAAGAAGGCAGGAAGAAAGTGATGTGTAAAGTCGCCAAGAGAGAAAGCGCAAGACACAGCAACTGCGACCATACAAACAGAAAGAGCACCTGCGACCACCTAGCTCACACGACTTAGCGACCGCTAACACAGTGTTTGTCTCTCTTTCAGCGTTTGTCTATTCGCATTCCCAATCTTCTGTTTGCTACCAACTCCTCACAGCCTCGAAAACCCACCAGCGGCTCTAACAAACTTGAATTGCGCAGGCGCCCCAATCAGACCCTCATCCTCCAGCGTCTTATTAAACTTCTTGAAAGTCTCCGAGGACCCATGAGTATTGAGGGCTGCTTTATCTTTGTAACTTTGAGGTGTTTGTCAGTCACGGGTAGTTGATTATATTCAGGTAATCTCAGCGCATACCTTTCAACCATAATGACTTCCTCGTCTCCAGTCTTCTTATTGGCCTGTCTTGAGATCTCATATCTTAATGTCTGGGGCTCATTTTCCTTCACGTAGGCAGCGACGCCTTGGAGGAGTTCTACGACCTTGAAGATATTAGTGGGTACCTGCTTGAGAGATTGAGGGGAAGCTTACTCTGTCCGCTTTCCCGGATTTAGGACAGAGAGTTACGATTATGTTCATATTGGAAGACATTTTGATAGTTAGGAACTGGAATTTGGAAGATAGATGGGGAAATCATTAAGTATCAAGGTGTCAAAGCTCGAGTAACCATGTAGAGAGAAATTGGACCTCGGCCCTGGTGAGCCAATCACATCGCGAATAGTTTCATGGTTGAAGACAAAATCCTTAGTAAGCTTGTCACAAACATCCTATCACGCTCAACCTTCGTAAGAAGAGTAAGCAGTAAATATTCTGTATTGTTGGAACAGTTATTTGTAACATAGTCATTGGATGGGCGGAGACTATGAGCAGACTTCATTGTGAAGTAGATCATTGCTCGAATTAATTGTTAACATGAGTTGGAAAGGCTATCCTATCGCACGGGTTCTAGAGTCTAGGCTTTTTCCATGAGAGTCCGGATGTTTTAACTACGCGAAGGCGGTGAATAAAGGGGTTTCATTCATCCCTTTTTTTTATATATTTGCATAGGTATCCTCTAGCTTTTAACGTTTTTTCTTTCACTCTTTTTCATAAGGCCTAGGAGCACTAGGAGCACCAGAAACACTGCATTGAATGCACTGTACTTACTACACTTTACTGACTGATTGCACTGTATTGATTGACTACATTTCTGCACTGTACTGACTACACCGTACTAAATGCACAGGGAGTATAGCGCATTTTCTTGTGAGCACTAAATGAGGGCTGAGGATTGATGGCTGAGGACAAAGAGCTAAAGCATGAGGATGAGAGCATCCCTAGAGAGTGGGGGATTAGGCGCAGCTAATGAGGATGACTTCATTCTACCCGGACAGCCAGGCTCTCATTGAAAAAGCCTAGACTATCCCTAAAACCCGCGTCTGTCGTGAATATCATAGCGAAGAGCGGAAGTTGACTGTGTAGAAGACTTAAGTAGACGAGGATCATTGGGAGCTAGAAGAAGTTCCATTGTATTCCACACATGTACCAGCTCCTTCATTTATGGAGTAGTCACTGTAGCCATGACCTCCAAAACATTGTCCAGCTCATCACGCTTTGTCCTTCCCATGCCACACTCAGTTCCCACTGCAAAATCTTTCACGAATTTCTTCGCCACTTCAATCCTCTTCTTCGTTCCCTCCAAATCCCAAGCATGCACAAGACCAAGCACAAGCTTGGAAATTCGGCCCCAACTTGAGATCCTTCAACGGAGCAAAATACGCATCGTCAACCCTGTCTTTGGGCACAGGCATATGTACCCAATCGAAATCTCTTCCCACACCAGCCGAGATCTTGTTCACCAGCTCAACCATAAGCGCAGTATCATTTGGCTCAATAAAATGCTTATGCCCAGAGTCGCCATAACATAGATGAACCCCCATCGGCACATCATGATCAATAGACTTCATAACTCTAGCAGCACGGTCAGTGATGCCCTCTTTCACCGGTGAAAACCAGGCATCAGAAATGAAGTCAGGCTTTAGGGATTTCCAGTCTGGCCTGGACTCGAACTTGGAGAATTCGATTTGCCCGATATCCATAGCCATATCCCACTGAATAGCAAGATCTTCTTTTGGAATGTTGTCCTGAATCCGCCTTGCAGCAGTCATCAATGCCTTTTCCAGGACTGGCTCTATCTCGACCTGGTAATTCGGGAGGATGATGGAAGTCAGAATATTGACAGGTGTCGGAAGGCAGACTTGAAATCGGACTCCTTTCCGAATTATGCCTTCCTCGCGTAGACGGCATAACTCCTTGTATGATTCCAGGGCAACCTCATCGTATCGAGTGTTGATAGGCTCAAAAGACCAAGGTTCTGGAGGCGCTTCTGGAGGTCCGCTAGGCCACAACTTGACTAAGAATGGCTTGAAGCTGTCTTTCTGCCAATAGACAAAGTTGCCTCTAGCTCCTGTCTCCCCATCAGGAATGCGAAGCAACTGAGATGGAAAACTGGTAGCTAGGCGTTTGAACACGTCGGTATTGGTTGCGAGGGAGACACTTCCGACGAAGTGCACAAGTCGCGGTTGTGTGGTTGAAGATCTTTCAATACGAGGTGATCGTGCTTCAGACATGCTTTGTAACAGAATAGCCCAGCCAATGAGTATGCCTAACCAGATAATGACCGGCTATTAGTATTCAAGTTGGTAAGAGCCCAGTTTATATTCAAGAATTTGGAACACGGTCGTTGTATGGTATACTCAAATCTGCTTGATGCAGATTTTTTGATTTCCCGATTCAGGTTGCGTGGCATGTTCAATGCTGTTGAAACGGAGTCGAAAATTCAGTTATGATTCGAGAGATGATTTCAGTGCTAGGGTGAGATGGGGATTCTCACTAGCCAGCTCCTTCGCGTCAATCGCACTAGATCTGTAGCGTTGAGCGGCTTGGCTGCGGTACGAAATACGTAGGCGGCAGCCGCTCGCGTTCTGGCCCATAGTTTGCATCGCCTAAACACCTTTCGGTCTGAACTTGGTCCGAGACCGATTTAGTACAGGGCAAAGATGATTTAAGTTTTCGATGTCGATGAATGAAGTGAGATGCTATCATGCAGTTCAAGTCTGACTTTCTTTGATGCTGTAGCTTCTTCAAGAGCCTTCTCGGCTTCTTTGGCCCGTTGTCTCTTCAGATCGGACTCTCGGAGTCGGCTCTCGATCAAAGATTTCAGATCACTTGGCTTCGAAGGTTGAGGTGGAGGCGGAGTTTCAAGAGGCGTTATGACTTGCGAATCGATAGGATGATTAGCAAAGCTGCTCGGTATACGCGCTTCGTGATTGGGCTGCTCAAGGACATTCTCGGATGTTCGCTCCTTACGACGATCTTCTGCGCAATATTCTTCCCATTCGTAAATGAGGGATTGAGCATTCTTGGAAGTACGGAGCTGATCCCGAAAAAGTCTTGCTTGAGCATTGCCGTCAAGCGAATGCCACAACCTCAAGCTCTCTAAGTGTTGGTCACTTGGGATTGTTGGAGTTGTCGGTGGAGTCGTTGTCTTGGGAGTATTCGCTGGCAAAGTACTTTGTGATAGCTTCGAAAATTTCAAATCACTTTTCGCCATGTATATCTCGCCGTTCTTGAACATCTCAACTTGTATATCATTGACCTTCGACTTGAACAGTAACCAGAGCCTCTCATCTTCGTGTGGAGGTTTGTAGGTGGGGAAGTCGACTTTTTGGTAGAAGTCGCGGAATATGGCTTTGAGTTTGGCTAGCTCTGCGATGGTTTGAGCCATCCCAAGCAGGCCGTGCTTGATTATGAGTGTCTTAAGGAAGGCTACAGTCGGAGCTGGCCAAGTGATAGACTATGAGTAGAATGGATTAGCTAGATTAAGTATGCAGTGGAGAATCAGGTACCTGGCTCCAATTTTGCTGTTCTGAGCTTGAATCATCGTGTGGGATTGACAGAGGTTGGCTCTGGGACAAGGGCGATGGCGTTCTGCTGGTAGTCGCAGAGACTTTATGAATTTGCGAGCCGCGTCTCCCCATAGCCATATTGCTTGGTCCTCCAGTAGCGATGTTCGGGCTGAGCTGTATTGTTTGCAACGTCGGCGATGGACTTCCTCCTGGCGCATATTGCGGGGTGGATTGAGTGGTTGTCTGAACAATTGAATGCTGTGGATCTTGCGGGAAGACGTGAGATCTACTGATGTGATATCTAACATGCTATTAGTCAACGTCTGTAGGAAGATGTGTAAGAACAAACTTCAGCGATTCTGGTTGTTTATAGGACTTTCCGCAGCCATCAACTGGGCAATCGAATACGCCTCGCGCATTGCGAAAAAATGTGAAGCCTGCTGGAGGACTTGGATTGTTGGCAGTCGGATTCATGTCGCTCAGCTGAGGCTATGCAGAAACAGAATGGGAAAACCAATGTTTATCGGGAGACATGGGTGGAAAGTTGGAGAAGATCGAGAAGATAAGAGAGAGTTTCACGCATTGACATTGACATTGACGCTAAACGCCTGTCGCCAAGTCACGGGCGAACGCGACCGTGTCAATGTGCGGTACAGAATCCTTGCTTAGGGGGCAGTGCAGGGCAGATTGTTGTACATTGAGAACAGAATTGGGGACATAGTTGTCGGTGAACGATCTAGGACTTTTTACTACTTATTCTCAGATTTCTGACTTCGTACGCTTTGAATCCTGTGCTGTAGCCCCTGCAGCAGCTCTCTTCAGTCGACCCTGTCGCAATCGCTCTTCGATCAAGCTTTTCAGATCAGGCACAGGCGCGACTGCTCGAGATGAACTGTCATCCTGAAATTGAGTTTCTTCCCCGGACCGACTCTGCTCTCTGGACTCACACTCTGCTCCGGACTTCTGCCCCTGGATTGACAATTGAGTATCGGTAGACTGCTTCAAAATCGGCCTGTTTGAGATTTTATGGATTGACGAAACACTGTTGGAGGCCACGCGGGACCCTTTAGTCTCAGAACCTGCGGTCACTTTTGGGGACTCTTTCGACGAAGTGATTGACAAAGTCTGAGTATCACCCTTCCTACACATCTCGGCACAGAATCTGGCAATTTCGTGCATGAGAGCTGTTGGAACCTTCGTAGACCATAATTGTGCGCGAAATATCCTCAGTTGTGTCTCAGTATCTGCCTCTTTCCATATCTTCGCTGCTAGATCATCCTTATTCAGCACACTTTGCTGTGTGGTAGGTACCTTGGGACTGGGGACAGGAGGCGTACCCCAGGCTTTGGCTGGAGGAAGTTTGGATCGATTCTGCGAATCTGGCGCGAGATGGATTGTGTCTCCTACAACCGGATCTCGATAGACTGGTGTTCGAATTGTATTGTGCTGATTTGCAATATGGTATTGAGCAACCATCCTCTGTATCTTCTGCCAAAACAACTCCCCGTGTCTCGGCTCCCATCCGTAAGGATTGACATTTGAGAGCAGCTGTACTCCAATGTCCTGCAACTTCCGAGGGTATTCTTTGCTCGACGTGTTCTCTTCGAGTATTCTAGTTTCGGCCATATATCTCTTCAATAAGGCGTCTGCCCATGCGGGCCATTGACTCGAAGTATTCTTACAGATGTTAGTCTTGACATGGTTTGTGACAGATGTTAGCATAATACGCACCTCGACCCATCCTGCAGTGAAACCAACGTTCGAGTCCGAGTCCGATGCCATGATATGTTATGATTGCCTGGTTAGAGGTGATTTTGATTGTTCTGAATGCTAAAGAGTTCGTTGTCTGGAATGTTGTTGGTGCAGTTCCACCTTGCCAGCAGCGATTCTTTTATCCTCCAGGAGGTCGTTGTGAATGTAACAGCGAGGAAAGATAAAAATACTGACAATAATAAATAATTCGATAGCTTAACCCAGTGATTAACGATAGCGTGAAGCCCGTTTGCTCTAGCCTGGTACTTGCCAGAATGCTACGGATATTCAGGGGCCGAGTTTGATTTCCAAATATCAAACAAAATTGATTAATGAAGGAAAGATATATTCAAAGTATTTTCTAAAGATATTTATATACAATAAACAAGCGATCTGACTCTGTGAATCATCAATGGATTACGTATACGTGAACTTGTTTCGAGGCGTGGTGAATCAAGGGAGGAGAGAAGCGTTACTAAAAATAAGGTTCGGCCAATCAGAGCCCAGCTGGAATTCTTGTTGCATGTCGCAAAAATACAGAGAGAGAAGTCTTCTCACCGAGAAAATGCTCAAATCCTCAGAAAGTTATGCAAGCAGGAAATTTATACGCTAGTAGGCTCCTAGCCAATCAGAATACAGGATTTCATTTGTATGTGTTCTTTGTTGTGGAGAGAAGATTTCTTCAGGAGCTCTCAAAGAAACAAAATCAGACAGAGCATCAGGCTCGCGCTAAGAATAACCTTAAAACCTTAAATAAAACCTTAAATCTTTGTTGCACATCGCAAAAATGGTAAGAGAAAGTTTCTCAACGATGAGCTCCTCAAGAATCCCAAGAACACTTGCAGTCAGGGCATTTCTGCGCTAAGAAGCTCTTGGCCAATCATATTGCAGTATTTACTTTGTGTGAGTTCTTCGTTGAGGAGGATGATTTCTGGAGGTCTGAGGCTGCTCGAAATCAGGCATAAATTTAAGGCAGCAATAACCTTAAATCTTTTGTTGCACATCGCACCATGAAGATTTTAAAGCCAAGTTTCACACAACGAGAGGCGTCTATCAAAAAGAAGTTCACAAGCAAAAACACACAGCCAATCAGAATTCAGCAAATTTTGGCTGCTATTTTTGAGACGTGGGTCCTCGCCCAGTCCACGACACGTGACTGTACGTATAGTCAATGATGACGAGCTGTCTATCTTTTGCATCTTGCATATTATAGCCACTGATTAGAAATCGTTCCAATAAGCGTCAAAATCGGGGTGTGCTGTCATATTGCAGGAAAATGCCTCGAAGACAAAGCGGGCCATGTCGCTATGCACTCGTTCTCGGTGCGATTGATTGTATGCGATATTCTCTGCTACCCGATATCCTCTCATACTTGATATAGAGAATATGAATGAGGTCAGGTTGAGCTGTATTTGATTAAAAGTACTGATAGAGTTGCCTCCATGTAAGCAATGTGTGCAGCCAAAGTTATTCAGCTTCTAACTCGAAACTCTTGAAACACAACTCCCTGGTCCTTTCCCATGCTTTAGGCTACCTTCTTCCTTGCCCGCGAAGGTGGATTTCCATACGACAAGAATAGCAAGCGGCACAGCGAAAGCCCAATCCAAGCACCGCAAAGTCGACTCTTCCAACAAAACCCAACATTTGTGGCCTGTCAACCATGCAGGTCCGCGGCACGGCACGACCAGCCCCAGCACAGCCCACCCTAACAAGCTCTTCCCCTCTTATCACAAACCTCACTCAATTCCTCTCCTCAAACCTCATTCCAGAATCAACAATATTAGACATGTCTTCAATAGTCCACAAGATCAAAGAAAAATACGTCTTGACGCGCAGAGGCGCCTACGTAACACGCCGCCCCGACGCAGCAACCAGAACCACAGCCCTACCACCTCCTCCCAAAAAGAGCAAAGTAGCCGATAAGGAATCGGTTGTCAAGTACGTTCCAACACACCCTCAAATTTTGATAGATACTAATGATGAATGTAGTGAGAGAAAACAAGTCGAAACTAAATACGAAAGCGACGATGAAGATTCATTATTAGACGAGAAACGCTTAGAAGCAGACCAAGAAGCGAGCAGTTCGAAGAAGGGCAAGAAGGTCGTTCGGAGGGATTTCGGGAATTGGGATGAAAAGGAGGCCGTTGTGTCGAGGAGGTATCGGACGAGGAGACAAGTTGTGAAGACGGAGATGTATGTGGAGGAGGAGAAAGTTGAGGTTAGCAGGGTCCAGACGAAGGGTTGGTGGACGAGGACGATGACTGCTTGTATGCCGAGTGAAGCATGATGAGTAGACGGCTCAGACATGAGTGAGACTGGGGAATCAGCGTTCTGGTTTTATTCTTCGGGTGTCTGTTGGGCGTGACAAGGTAGATATGATCACCACGATGAGGATTGCAGTTTGGAAATTTATACCAACTAGATCAATAAGTTTCATCACACTGGGTCAGCTGTACGTGCTTCGAACAAGTATACGAAGAATAAACTCGAAGCGTATCATGTCGTGCGCTAACAACTGAGCGGAGACCAGTGAAGCAGCTTGCAGCAAGACACTGTATATCACCCTGTTTCTTACCCACCTACATACTCTCCAAACAGGGTTCACATGACTTAAAAAGTTCTAATGCAACCTTTCATGGTGAAGGCATGCTTGATAATCCTACAATCCCCGCTATTTGCGCGAAATGCGCGATTTGCGCTATCCGTGCAAATTGCGCAACTTGCGCCCATCGCGCTGAAAAGACTCAGATGTAAAGAAACCAAGAAGACCCTGAAGAACCACCAGAGAGACATTATATGCAAAAATAGACATTTGTGTAGAGTCTCAGTAGATACTCAAAGGTCATACTTAGAGAAATCGTCTAGGATCCAGGCTATCTATTTTTGCACTCTTCGCCTTACCATCAAACACAAACTCACTGATTAGCTTGCCAGTAGCACAACTGTTCTGAATGCCCCAGCATGTATGACCAGTCGCCATGAACAGCCCTTTGGTACCAGTTTCTCCAATAAGAGGGCCACCTCCGCCTGCTACCGAAGGAAGGTAACAAGCTTGTCTTGCGAGCACGTCTCCTTCTCGCATAGGAGTTGATATTGAAACACAGTAGTCGATGATATCTTGACATCGATCTTCATCACAGACAACGAGATCACTGGTTTTTGGCAGTGGGATGAGAGTGTCTCCCTCGCCTTGGGACATTCATCAGCTTCAATTATGGCAGGAAGGGAAGATTTCTTACCACAAGCATAGACTGTACCATCTGGACGAGCATACATTTCTGGAGAGACACTTAGACCATGCCGCTTCTTTTTTACATCTCCTCCCCCAGTTCTGCCAAAGTCCTTCGGTAGATCAATCTCGCTGAACACGGCGTAAGGAGTAACATCCGCCTTGATCACCACACTGTGCGCTCTCATGGCCTCGATTGGGGCCTCGGGATATACGTGAGAAGTCCATGGTCCAGCCGCTAATATCACATCCGTCGCTGGCAATGTGTGGATATGCTTTGTGTCCTTGTCCTCGTAGGTGACACCCTTCACACCATCACCGAAAGAATCAACAGCTGTCACTGACCCAAGGATGATCTTCGCACCCGCTTCCTTTGCCAAATCCGCCATCGACGTCGTGAATTGATAAGGATGGACCTGTGCAGTTGTCGAGGGTGTGCCCATCTCCGAATAGCCTTTCACTGCTTCGGCGTCAAACCAATCCAAGTCCTTTGGTATACCAGCCGCGATTGATTTGGCTTTCTTATTGTCCGTCTTTGGCAATTTCTTCCATTCCTCTCCATTATTTCCAACTGTCTTTCCATCTGCATCTCCGAATATCCGCCCCTTAGCTCTCAAGGAGCCACAGTGCACAGCTCTGTAACCCCACCTCTTTGCACCATCATGCTTTTGCGCCAACTCAGCATGCAATTGATACGATAACTTGACGATGTTCGCAGGGTATGCCCATAGTGCTAGTAGCCCTCCGGCCTTCCCTGACGCTCCAGATGCGATGGCAGTGGCCTCAATTATCGTGATCTTGTGAATGGAGGGGTCGAAGGAGGGGTGTCTGGTGAGGAAATAGCTGCAAGTACAACCTATAATTCCGCCGCCTGTTTTGAATCAGCTACGAATCTTCTGAAAATGAGGGTATGCATGCCCACTATCACAATATTTCTTGGCCTAGGTTCTGAAGCCATTGTTGAGGCAAAACGTCGTGATGTTGTGATTGAGAGCATGAATTATTAAAGTGGCAAAGCAACAGGCCATAGATATCACCGCAGTGAGTGGCGTCATTGGACAGGGATGGCTTTAGGCGCTTAGCCTGAGATTGGCGCGCTTTTAGGGGCTTCGGTCGCTATAAGTTCAGGGATTCAACTCTATCGCGAAAGCCATGATAGGGCTTTAGAGCACCAAGTTTCTTTCAAGTCTACTAACTCGCACGAAAGAGGGCTTCGTTGTGCTTCAAGTGAGCGTCATAAAAAGAAGAAACCAGCTTTGGGGTAGTTTTTGCTTTCATAAAAGTTGTCTCCATACACCCGTGCTATTTGCGCTCTCTGCGCTGTCTTCGCTGCCAGCGCAAGTTGCGCAAATTGCGCCCAGTGCTCATTAACCACTTTTGCAGACCCAGTAGCTCTCGAGTCGAGTCAATGAGCCCATTCTATGGCGTGCAGGATTCCATCAGCAGAAGAATAAAGGCACCAACTGCCTGGGACCCACGAGGCTGACTTATGTCCGCTTTGTGTGCTATTTCAATTAGGAGAGACCAAAGTTCTGGCATCTATATCCTATCAGAACCTACTTGTATAGTCTTTGTGTTGCAAGGAGTACTTACATTCTCGCGTATCATGGTTTTCTTTCGCTTCAACCCTGGGCTGAGTTCCAAGTCGATGACTGCTGTCCAAAGATTATCAAGCTTTCTGTCATCTTGTCTAATTGATGGTGTTGGGTGCTGTTCTGGTGTTTGATGACGCGTTCCTTCATTCATCCTGATGTTCTGATTCGCTGTTGCAAGCTCATTGAGATATATGCTTTCCGCGATCTTGGTAACATGTTGCTGATAACTCTGCACGTCACGGATCGTCCATGTCTTAGTACTTTCATGCACAGAAGTGAGAAAACCAGGCAAAGTACGGCTTCGACTTCTTGATTGAGCCCAATAGGGCACGCTATCCTCTTTGAACACTGTGGTATAGTACTGAGTAGTCATATCGTCGATGCTTTCAAAGCCTGCTTCTTCGACGTATTTGATAACACGCTCAAACCGAGTCTCGAGAGCTTCAACCTCACGACTGCTAGTTTTCGCCTTCAATGGCTCGGCCGAGATTTGATGCCCTTCCGGAGAGAGTCTTGGGCCTGCTCGTGTGCTACTGTACTCGTTCCTTTGCCTCTCAGCACCTTGCAGTTTGTCACCACGAGGCTCATGGTTTTCCATGCTGTTGTGGTGTACCCGTTCAAAATCTGAAGTCCTCAAAGTAGACGGAGAAGTGCCCAAATACTTTCTTATAGGCTGCAATACTCCAACCTCGGACGTCATCTGGACGAATTGAGTCGAAGGCATCTCCAATTGAATTGTTTGATCGAGTGACTGATAGGGAAACGTCACAGTATCCTCATGTTGATATATTGGATGAGAGATTGAATCGATGTTAGACGTAAAGCCTGTATTCATGTTTTCCAAAGGTAGCTGCCACGTTTGTGAGATGAGCTGTTCGAGTTCTGGAGATGTTCCATTCGAATTGCTGTCGTCTTCTGCTGGAGTGGGCAATGAAAAGTCCATCACAGAGCCCATTTCGCAAGGTTCGAATGCAGTCAACTCATCATGATGTCTTGGTGTGTCCCAGGAATATTGTGTTGATACTTCACTACGTCCAGGTGTTTGGGGATTAACAGAGCCTCGCTCATTTTTATTCTGTCGCTTGCGGTTTTCTTGAGAACCAGTCGACGTACCTGAGGTAGGAATGTTAGCCTTGCTCGTGAGAGTAGCCATGAAACTCACGTTGGCGATGCTTCCGCTGAGCTAGTCGATTCCGTCTCCTTTTCAATTCGTGCGGGTCTTGATACAACGGTAACTGAAAGCCACCTTCGATGATTGCTGGAGACATGTTATCCTCCTCGCATGGCCCAGTCATATTCATCTAGTTGAGAAGTTGATAGCTATTGAAACATGCTCAAAGTTTCTCAAATCAATCGCGAGAGACCAGTCTACCGAAGTTGACCTCAGGATGTATTTCAATCTTAGCAAACTGGATCTGATCTCGGAATCCCAGAGGAAATTGTACGATCAGGCCGATCAGCAGAATATGACAAATCGGTACATTACAATGCTTCCACTGACCTCATTGGCTATCTTTGGACACTGGAATGCTCGACAAAACATGAGTAGCAATGAGTAGCGATTCAGCCAACGCCACCAGAGAAAGCCACACGGAAACACTGTACGAGGAGAGAGACTGTCATTGGTAGAGGTATCGTTGTCTGACTGGCCGAACAAACTTTGGCGTCTCCATCGTGGTGGAAGGATTTGAGACATTGCGCGCCAGTCGATAGGTACGAGTTGTTGAGATAAACTGGATTGTGTGAAGCTTACCTTGAAGCTGGAATACCGGTGTATAAAAAAATGGGGAACGGCATGAAAATATTCTCGTTTCCTCAGCTAATTGCTGCGACTGGACGCCACAAATATTTACTATTGCGCAATTCAAGACAAAGGTATCAGTCAGACGGCTGCTACCGAAGAATGTCGTCCGCAGTTACTTGGCTTACAGAATGTCTTCGAGCATTCCTTATTGGCTGTTCGATGTTGAGGTTCAGCATTCTCTTTGCTATCTTCTATTTTAGGAAGATCTATTTACCCGAAGGTGGCAATCCATTTCAGTACATCAAAGAAGCCTTTTGAAGCCCTCGAGGTAACAATTGGACAAAGTGGCATCCTAAAACGGTTTATGCAATAACACCGTTTGTCTGCTTGGTTCCGTTCGTGTAACACGGCCAGATTGCGCCGTCAAGCCACTTCTTACGACATGGGAATCATTATGCCAGCTTTCGGACACGATATTATACGCTCACCGCTACCAAAGTAACCCAAAACAATTGTCCGAAGGGATGCTGCGGATCACGAGCCGTGTTACAACCATGCAAGGAGGCGATATTTTGTGGAGGACTTGCACTATTATCAGCCCTGTGTCACAGAAACGTCTAGAAAATGTTACCTTCCGATATGGGCGGGAAACAGCTGTAGAGTCCTCAATATTTACTGGTCTGGAAGCTCTTGAGTGTAACGCAGCAGACAGCTTGGATACGATTTGAATTTTTATCTGTGGAACAAGGCACCATGGGGTACTGCTCTCTGGCTAGGATATCACTTCTCACTGAGAGTTATCGAGTCACGAGGCTGAAGATCTGCTGTCTCATCCTTCCCCTTCCCATCTTGCACTCTCTGCACCTCGTCCATCTCGTCCACCTCGTCCATCTCGTCCACCTCGTCCTCATCATCGCTGAGAGCCAATGCAAATCTCTCGTCATCGATATCAGCCCAAGATGGCTCCCGTACGAGTTCGTCCCACTTCCTCTGTCTCCAGAACGTCCATACAGCAAAGCCGACAGCCTCCAAACATACAACAATGATCACAGTCAGCATCGAACCACTAGTACTTTTGTACCCTCGAAGAGACAACCCGCTGACAACATTGGCCCATCCGATGACCATCATTGACCGTCCCAGCCAGATATGAAGGAAGGAAACCCATGCTCGTCGTTGCAGTTTTACGAATCTTCTGTGATGCCACCACCCGAATAATGCCTGGAATCCAACGCAAGATGCAAGAGTGATTCCAGCCCATTGATGAACGGTGTCCAGTCTACGACTCTTCAACAAGCCGAGAATCACTCCCGAGATGAGTAAGAGTGAAGCGACACCTTGTATGACCCAGTGATATTTGAATGACTTTGACAGTCTAGAACGAAGAGCCACAACACTAGCCGGAAAGAAAATCAAGAAGGCGCTGGCCAGAATGAAGCCATGAGCATAGGATCCTGGTCCACTGAATATGTCGGTGATGGATCCCGAGAAAGACATTTGCATAGCTGAAGCGCCGAAATTTGTAATGTCGGGAGTGATGGGAGGCAGTGATGGAGGCCACTTTGCGGTGCTGATAGATGAACTCATGTCGACGTAAAAGTTTCCCCATCCTCCAGCACCAGCATGATGTTTGTGCATGCTGAGGTGAGCATCGTATGAGAAGACGTCGAACTTCTGCTCTGCATTCCACGCCCACATCCAAGGTTGAGACCTAGCCTCAGCTGAGATTTTGGTGCCGTGCCAAAGGTAGCATGAGTAGCATACTAGAGACACCCAAGCTTCATAAGATGGGTTGTCGAGATCTTGCTTCTCGTTGGAGTCGAAAGAGAGCCAAGAAGATCTGATGACTCGGAGATCCATACCTTCGGGCAAATTTTCCCGTCCAAGAAGTGTTGGTTGATGATGTCCCGTCGCAGTTCGTATGCTCACGATGGGGCCCTCATGACCGAGAGGATCACCGTAGACAATAAACATAAGGGAGCCTTCCATCATAGCACCGAGTCCAATTGCGGTCCATCCCAGGGCTGAGTTTTGAGGTTTAGGGATTTTGATTGTGAGGTATAAATCGTGGGCGTTGCTTGAGGAATTTTGGTGCAGCAGAGCACCTACACAGAAGTCGATCTCTTCATTCTGAGCGTATGGAGAGCCAGATTTGCAGTACTGTACCGGCTCCGCGGCAATTATCGACACCCAGAGGGTTCCGAGAAGTGTACATAGCAGTGAAACCTTCGGCCTGAAGGATTTCATGATTGCTCAATGAGAAAGGAAAGGTACAATCAGAACATAATTTAAGGAGATTCAAATTCCAAATTAATTGTAAACCGTCAGGCTAGATTGGGATTGCAAAAGACCTGCTTCTCTTGGTAGGAAATTTGCATCCTGAAATATGCAGAAAGGCAATTTGACGCGAGCATCAAGCCAGCTATGGAGGGACTGGAGGGGCGGCAGCACATCCTGGACACTTAGTTCCGTGATACTTTTGGGACATGCATTATGCGCCGTGTACGCCTCCACGTTGGTCAAATATGACAGTGCATTAGCATCATCCTGCATATCTGGAAAGGGTTGAGACTACTCATTTTCTCCTCAGAGCTCTTTCAGGGGCTACCTCGCTTAATTTCCAAGCGGGGTACGTGGGGTAATCCGGTACTGCGCTCTATCCAGCATCTTCTTTTGTTGAGGTTGGGCTTTTGAGAATATTCAAAAGAGACTGATTGATAGTATGGTATGAGACACGTCCTTGGTGGCTTTATCTCATAATGTGGCTGTTCTACGAGCTCGTGATCCCCATATTCCTCGCCTTCTGCAAGAGTGTGTCGATAAATGCTACCCCTTTGAAGAGCAGCTCTCCATATGTCGTCAAAGACAACCACCCTATCCTCATCGGTTGGCAGAAAGTCAATCGAGCACCTCGAGATGCTCAATGCCATTTGCAAATTGGCTTGAAACATGGAGAATTTGAAGCTCTTGAGCGAAATCTCTATGAAGGTCTGACTTTAATTTGTGACAAAACTTCTTAACTGACAAAGACATGGACAGTTTCTGATCCTGACCATCATCGATATGGACACCATCTTTCGGCTGTTGAGGTTGAAGACCTCATGAAGCCGACGACGGAGACAGAGGACCTTGTCACAGCATGGTTGTCAGATCATGGAATTGGCAATGTCACTTACAGTCCATCACGATATTGGATCACCATTCAATTACCAATTCACTCAATAGAGACTTTACTCGATACCGAGTACTTCGTCTATCAACACGACGACGATGGACTGACAGCAATCCGATCGTCTGCATGGTCACTGCCTCATCACCTGCATGACCATATCGAGGCTATACACCCAACAAATGCTTTCATAAACACCAAGACCAAGACACATCGTCTCCGGTCACGTTCTGAAGTACAACCACTAGGTCTTGGAGAGAATGGCGCTCCATCATACAACGAGCTCGTGGCGATCGATCACACACAATTCGGTCATATGGAAATTCCAGATATCAAGGACTTGCCAAAGAATCCTTCTCCTTCTCAAGCTTGCAATAGAGTTGCGACTTCGCCTGTCTGTCTTCGTACGTTGTATGGAGCACTTGATTACGTTCCTCAATTGCCGGCAAAGAATCGCATTGGAGTGGTAAATTTTCTGGATCATATCAGTAGTGTATCAGACATCGGGACTTTCCTTCAGCGATACCGGCCTGATGCAGTCAGTGCTGGATATGAGATTCAGACAGAGAATGTTCCCCGCACCTCCGACTCTTTTACACATGATCAAGCAGCGGCAAGTGTGAGCCTAGAGGCTAATCTCGATACGGAAGTCATCCTTGGAATGGCATCTCCTGTTCCGATTACAGCGTACAACGTTGGTGGAAGTGCGCCCGCATTCCAAAATAGCCAGTCTGCTGAAGAGAACACGAATGAACCCTACTTGGAATGGCTGCAGTATATGCTAGCTCAACCAGAACTACCACAAGTCATATCTATATCCTATGCAGATGAAGAACAGACTGTTCCGCGTTGGTATGCCAAACGAGTTTGCCAAGGCTTTGCACAGTTGGGAGCTCGAGGTGTTTCAGTCCTTGTTGCGAGTGGAGATGAAGGGGTCGGAGCGGATGGAATGTGCTTTAACAACGATGGCAGCAACAAGCCGATGTTCTTACCCAAGTTCCCAGCCTCTTGTCCGTATGTTACTACCGTGGGCGGAACAAGAGGTTGGGATCCAGAGTTGGTTGCGTTTGATGCCCGTGCTACATTCGTCACGGGAGGAGGTTTCAGCAACTACTTCTCACGTCCAAGTTTCCAGAAAGGTGTCGTTGATGATTACGTCAATGGCCTAGGATCTCTTTACGATGGCTTGTATAACAGAAACGGACGCGGATATCCGGATATATCACTCAGAGCCTATCACTACATCGTCGTGTCGAATGGTAGTTCCACCATCTTTGATGGTACTAGCGCTTCTACTCCGGGCGCAGCTGCCATATTCTCACTTGTCAACGATGCCCTCATTTCTGAAGGAAGACCAGCGCTTGGTTGGCTCAACCCTTGGATCTATTCCAAAGCTTCCAAGGCTTTCAAGGATGTCGTTGCGGGGTCGAACACTGGCTGCAACACTGCTGGGTTCCCAGCTAAAATCGGATGGGATGCTGCAACTGGATTTGGAACGCCTGTATGTGACTATCTTATTGCACGTAAAGTCATTGTTCTGATGTCCTTCTTCATAGTGGTTTCCAACACTCAAAGCACTTGCCGAAGAACGAAGATTTCGAAACACCAAGCCATGGTACATGAGCTTTTGGTAGGATCAAGGGGTACGAGAGAGATGCCATCTGGAATATATTCCTAATCATCAAGATTTTCTAATGAATCTCTGAAGAGAAAAGCAAACTCGTAGAAAAAGCTAGTCGCCAAGGTTTTGGTTCATTCAAGTGAGCCGAGTTAGTATGTAGAGCATATCAGATACAACACAGTCTTGCAATATTTTTAAGGGATGGAAATCGGTGACATCATCACAGTATGAAATGAGATGTTGGACTCTCTTGAGTAAGAATAGGAGAAAGCAGGATCTAATTTGAGACAGAGGCTGAGTGAGAAGACTTCGGGCTCGAGTCATTTGATCTGCCCGTCATGTCGTCGCCATGCATATTGACAAGCTCGCGACATATTCACACAAGTCTCATGAATTTGTAATAATAAATACGCGTAAATGTAAACCGAGAAACATTTCTTCGAGTCTTAACATATTATATCAAGGAATATGCGAGCCAACACCGCGTGAGAAAATCAAGGATCATGAACGTGACCTGTAGCTGCTCCAATTCTATCGCCTTCACCAGCAGGGTAGGCAGGACCCAAAGTGGGATGAACTAGCCACCCTGGTTGCATCATATCAAGCGTCCTCTCATTTGTCCATTCATCCAACTTCTGCCAATTGACGCACTGATGAGTCGTACCATTGGCAATGGGGATGAGATTTGTTGGAGACCATTCGAAAGTGATCAAGCCCACATCGCCATGGCACATAGCACTTTGTCGTAAGAAGTCTATGCAATGCTCTGGAGGGAGTGTTAGTAGGTGTACATGATAAAGTGAGCCACTGTCCTCACCATTGTGGAGCCGATTCAGCTCTCTTTCAGCATCGTCAAGATCAGGCCAGTAGTATTCTTGATACATATACTGGTGAAGTCGTTTCTTGCAATACGTCAGTACCTGTCAGTTGAAAAGAAAAGGGTATCATTACCAGACAGTGAATCTCATGGTAAACATTGAGGGTTCCGATGAAGCCATCATCTCCGGGTATGCGCACTCCGATATCCTCTCGACCAAGTCTTTTCATCACTTCTGGCTCCACACGAATGTTTTCAGCTGCAAAATGAGTCAGTGGATTATTAACATTGAAGAAGGATGCAACATCGTACAGTTCAGCAGATCATGCCATGCTTTATCTAGTGCTGGAGTAGGTCTTCCCGAGTAAATACTGCTCTCCTGTATCCTGTCTCCTAACGTGAATTTCTTCTCTTCCCAGTACACGGCATCGATCGCGATAGCTAGCCACATCAGCTTCTGAACATCGACCAAAGAATTGACCTTACAATGAATCAAGTCCGGCCCATGAATAGCCAGTCCCCGAATCTCACGCGCCACAAAATACATGACCAGAGTCCACCCTCCTAAAATCGCCAGCTGGACGAAGATCATTGTTCTGTACCGTTGCCATAATGTAGGTTCTTCTCGGTACAAGATTTGTCCTTTCTCGAGAAACCCATCTTTGGAAGAACTGTCTTCCGATGTTCGAACTGCTGAGTATTGGTCCTTCTGGAGACTTTTATTCTGCGTGAACTTTGAGAAGTAGGCCATTGTGCCCGAGAGGGGAAGCATTAAGACGATGATGAGGACAGAATCCGAGAACCGGGGAATGGAAAATTTCGATGAAGTATGAAGATTAAGATACTGGAATCAGACAGTCAGGGGAATGGGTTGGGGCCCTCAGCAACGATCTTCAGAGTAGTACTGGATCATATGATGTTTATGGAGAAGCGAAGTTCAGAAGTGACACTACATTCCCATCGCACGCAGCCGCTTGACAGTGCATAAGATATCGAATGTGGGGCAACCATTGCGTTCCACAAATGAATCCTCCGATTATGCTATCGAGAGGATCAATAATCTAGACCATCTGGTAGGAGATATTGTTCCTTAAGCTTTTGCCACCAAACTTGACTTGTCACTTGCAGAAGGTAAGACAACCTCAAACAAAGTACCATGCATCATCGCTCCTTGCGTAATCAATACTTGAGTTAAGGGTAAAGTCACGATTGCATCCGACCTCGGCCTTGTGAAATTCTCATTCGGACGTAGATACCCTGGGTAGTGCAATGGAGGACAGTTTCAATCCGTTTTGCGGAACGTTGCTGTTGACATTGCTTCAAGCCACGCGTATGACAAGCTGTTGTAATATACGATATGTATGACAGAACCTTGCTTCCACAAACATGTACTTGTACCGGGAACATGGATATGAAGGAGTGACAGATCACGTGGATATAGTTCTCAGATGAACAATCAAGCTGACAGACTACTGACGATTAAGGCGAGGCAACTTAATAAGTGTTTAGACGACACACATATGGGGAGAATAAAGAACAATTTTGGTGTACAAAGGATGGATATCATGAAACATGCTCCATAAATGCATCCAACAGAAGAAATCGTGAAAATGCGAATGCCAAAATTTCAAATATCAGCAATTAGATATACCTTCAACAGGGATGACAGTGTCAGTCCATCAATCCCTTAGTATCATCTTCGCTATATACAGCTCCGTACGTGGGATGTACAAGATAACCCGGTTCAAACATATCAATCGTCCGCTCCTGAGTCCACTCGGCCAAGCGCTCGAAATCTATACACTGATGAGCCGTAGCTGCAGCTTTTGGCTTCCTGCTATCATTTCCCCAACTATAGGTCACCATGCCCACGTCTCCATGGCACATTGCAGTACTTCGCAGCTGATTGAGACAATGTTCTTCGTTTGTGTTAGCAGAGACTATCTCTAAAGATAAGTTTCTGGAAGCTCACCAGAATGCTCGCGATTTTCTTCCCTTTGAGCATCGTCGAGATTGGGATAGTAGTACTCTTGATACATGTAGACGTGTAGCCACTTGACGCAATGGATCTCATGATAAATGTTTAGGGTTCCAGCGTAACCTGAACCATCAGGAAGCTCGACGGCGTCTTCGACGCGGCCGACAGCTTCCAGATCTTCGAGTGAGAGGCGGATATTCATATCTGTGAAACAGAATAGTGAGTTTCGCTGTCAAAATTATATGTTGGTGACTTACTTCCCAGAAGTTTGTCCCATGCTTCATCAAGTTCTGGTGTTGGGTATCCTGAATATGGGCTTGAGAGACCATCTCCGAGATTAAAGTGGTGGACGTCCCAACGCAGGACTTCGTTCGCCGGCGCTGTTTTGCGTTAGCACCAGACTCACTGGCAAACTATATATCAACAAACAATAAAGAAGATTGCGCGCATCTTGTACAGTCCCCGAATTCGTCGGTCTAAGTGCAAACAAGACGAGTGTTGAGTATGTCAAAAAGATTGTGAAGTGAATGAAGAAAGAGAGGATATGTCGTCTCCAAAATGACTGGCTACTGTGGCCCTTAGAAGTTTCGTCATTATCCTTCCCTTTCTCCAGTAGCGTAGCCTCAGAAGAAGTTCCTTCTGATGACCTTCGAGAGCTATTCTCTTCATCCATTGTCTCTGGTAATGCTGAGTATCGCTTGAATTCCATTGTTGAGAATTGAGAAAGTTTTAGGAGAAGGACGTATAGAGAATAGTGTACCCCGAGCCGATTCTTTGCGGGGGGCGAGATAGACCTTGACAACGAGGTACTCTGGACGATTTGAACAATCATGGTCTAGACCATGTAGCAAATCAATATCAAATGCAGAGTCTCGGAGATAGAGGATTCGAGGAAGGTAACACAAGTCTCCCAGATATTGTACTGGGAACTCTCCCTATTTGCGCCACGCTCATGCACTGTCAGGTGCTAGTAATCTTTGAAAGTGGTGCAAAGCATCACATCTTTAACTAGAAAAATTATGACATAAGCTTATTTCGTTCTTTGTGCTCGGTGAATACGAGGGGTCTGGTGCAGGTATGCTCAAAATGTGTATGTTGTAGAGTGTCAGGTGACGTGAAGCCTCTTCCATTTCCATCTGGGTAGCACGGCGTCACTGAAAAGTCCCTTCCATCTGGATTCGATGACATTCAGAATAAGATACACAGAATACATTTAATGTAAAGTATTGAGCTGGAGTATCATCCCAAAGGAGGTGTAGCAGTCTCCACAAACCACGAGACCAGAGACTTGGATCAATCAACATGTCGTCGTGCATCTCTGTATGACATCGCAGGCTCATGCGTCAAGGATTGACTTGTCAACATCGTCAAAACTATGCAGCGTCAGAGCCTAAAGCTTGAAGTGATGTAACGACTCAAGCAGGACTCGAGCAAGGACTCGAGGACATGCACGACTTCAAGTCGTTGTGCATGTAGCATCCATGACACATAGCCTAACTTGCTTCAAACGGTCCGTTCCAATGCAGGTATTGTCATTCAAGCTCTGAAGCACGACATAGTGGTCGCCCAAGCCATGAAACCACTTATGTTAAGATAAATTAAAATCCCAAGTTGAAAACAGGCCACACTCATTGAACCGTCAAAGAAACACTCACAAGGACCTCCACACTCGCCATCTCAAGCCAACCAAAAACTTAGTCCAATATGCGTCAATCCTTGATCCTCTTGCCTGCTTTCTTGGCTCTTGCTCTGGCAGCTGCCATTCCTGCTAGTACGTATCAAATCAAAGCCGCCTTCATTTCTATTCAAGTGAAGGATTTCGTAAAACCTCTTGGTCATAATATTGACTCTGATACCACAGGCATTGGAAAACGTAGCCCAGCAGATGCAGATGCGGCCACCGCTTATACTACAGACAAGAGAGCTGATGCGGACGCTGCTACAGCCTATACCACAGACAAGAAGAAGAGAGCAGATGCTGACGCAGCAACTGCTTATACTACAGACAAGAGAGCTGATGCCGATGCCGCCACAGCTTATACCACCGACAAAAGAGCTGATGCTGATGCAGCTACTGCTTATACCACCGACAAGAGAGCCGACGCAGACGCTGCTACAGCTTATACGACGGACAAGAGAGCTGACGCCGATGCCGCAACGGCCTACACCACCGACAAGAGAGCCGACGCAGACGCTGCCACTGCCTACACGACGGACAAGAGAGCCGACGCCGATGCAGCAACTGCCTATACCACCGACTAGGAGTCTCCATCTCAGTCCTAGGCTTCTCGACGACTTCATCAAAGCAGTCAGGAGTAGCTTGGTATTGTAGCTTGTGAGCAGGGCTTGGTATGAAAGCGCGGAGGAGAAGTTTTGCTTTTTCATCGTGATGTTTTTGATTTGATGAGCTGGGTGGAGGTTGAGGTTGGTGAAAGGACACGCTCGTTTGGAAGTTGGTAGCAATGGAGATTGATTCGCTTGAACTTGTGAGATCTGAAGCAGTGAGGACCGAACGTGTGACATTTCGATTGTGAGATTCGAATGAGATTGTCTCCTGAAAGGGTTTGGAAGCAGCAAGTAGTCTCGGGAAGGGGTTTCTTTCCTGTGCTCGCTTAAATGCCTCTTTCCGTCGCGTGTCGAAATTCAAGTTCCTTATGCATGTCTACTAGAGCAATCAGGTAATGAAGTGAGCAGCTTCTCAATCTTGCTTCTTGTATAGGCGCAGTTCCAATCCTCGAACACATTTGAAGGTCGAAGTCGTCCCAACCCTACACCAGACAGATGTTCTCTTTCTGCAAAGAACCATTCCTCCAATTGATGGCAGCGTAATTTTCCTTGTTATCGAACATCAATTCCCACAAATAGCAAGATCCAACGAGCTTATACATTCCTGATGTGTCTGCTGGGCGCAAGAGCAAAGGCGCGTTACAGCCAAACACAATTGCAAGAATATCGCCATCAGCTAGTATTCCGGGCCCGAGGCCACACCTGCCTCCTAATGTCGTGAAAAACTTCTTTTGGAAACAAGCTTCAACGATCCTGTCAGCAAATCTGTGTCCGTCAGGCGGGAAACGACGTGCGTTTTTGGGCTTCGAGAACGGGGCTTTTGCGGCGAGGTCATGCAACTCATAATTCTCAAAATATGCCATGAAGTCTTGCTTGAGGTCTGGTCTGCTATAGCTGCCGTCAACAAGCGTTCCAATCAGAATGGCCCAATTTCTCGTGTTTGAAATTGGGCTATTCCTGGCAACTGACTGGTGAGCCTCTTGCTGTAGACTATAAAGTTGCTGCACTGCATTGGTTGTATCGGCAGGTTCTGCAGGATCATTCCAGGTTAGCAGTTCTGAATGCTTGTCGACCTTATCCACCAGAAGAGCAGCGACGTGAAGCCGATTGTCCGATACTCGTATGACGACTTCATCTGGCTCGACGTTTAGAGCATTCCATGACAAGACACGTCCAAGCCGCTGCTTGGCTCTATGCCACTGAGGAACCCATGATGGCAAGGTCGAAGATGAACGAACATCTGCGTCCTCATTCTCAACATAATTCAGTATATCTAGCCGCTGATGTCTATACAGCAGTTGTTCCACTACACGTAGATGGACCTCTGCTAAAGACCAACTGTAATTTGGAGCAAGTAAGCCTTGGAGCCACGGATGCGTTAATAATGCAAAAATATGATCCCTAGGATCAGTCGCAGAGAAATTGCGACTAAGATTCAAGACACCCAAGAACGATACATAATTAGAAAACCAGGTATCATTGGCGATCTCTTGCAATAACCAAACATGCTGATCTTGGAGCCATGACCCTTGACGCAATGTCATTGTCCATATTGTCTTAAACGCGTTGGCGGTATCTCCAGTTGGCAGTGTCACGTTATGGATATTCCGAGGCAGGAAGGTGTAGACAACAGCACAGAGGACAATCTCGCTCCATGCAATACAAGATCGCCCAAGAAACGCTGTGGCCCTTTTGGATAAGCCCACTTCGTTTATGACCCATATGCGTGAGAACCAAGGACGTCTGAAAAGGTGACTCAGACAGTGCAAACCATCCAGTTCTTGCCACGAGATCAGATTAGAAGTGGCTGAAGCAGACATTGCCCCTAAGCTTTCCCAGATTTTTTGGTGAAAGTTTGTATCGGTGGCCAACGGATGAGACTGAATGTAGCGATTGTATTGCTTAATCATGGCGAACGAGGTCTCGGCACAGCCATCATGTTCGTCATCTTCGCCCAACCAAATCAAGGTTTGGTACCCTTTCTCATATATTCTGCTCATGAATGAGACCTGACTGCTCTTCTCAGCTTCGTCACTTTGGTTGATGCAGATACCGTCAGCCCATAGAAAGCGTGGCTGGGTACCTCGAAATCGTCGAAGGGCTTGAAACAGGTTCTTCGTGATAAATAGGGAACAATCATTGCACATGATCTCGTGAGACATTGTGGGATCTCCCCAAGCGTAGGAGATTGGTTCATAGTCTTCCGCAGTGTCGAGTTCTTGCGTGAGCAATTCGCGTCGAATTGGGTCTTCGAAGGAGCCGGGTAGAATTCTTAGTAGCCTGAACCAAGATCCACTAGGCAATGGACTGTGTGTGAAGGTTTGAGTTGTCATGTCGATTAGATCTTAGTGAGGGGTCTATATCCACGGCTCAAACGACCTAGCCCAAGATCCAGAGACGTTTCTGAGAGAAGTCAACCAACGGCTGCTTATCCAAACTTGAGAGGTGAGGCTGCATATCTGCGCTGCGGATAACTCGACAAGAGAGCGAATCACATTTGAACGATGATTTCACAACCACAAGCAACGCTTTCGAGTGATCTGAAAGAATGAGGTAACGCTATATCAAAGGCAAGAACAATTGTCAACGCACGAATAGGAGTTGAAAGCACTTGCTTTTGAGAGGTTGATGTCTGTGGTGAAGAAAGAGCAAAGGTTGTCGCGACTCTCATTTGCTACCCAGGTCGGAGTCCGCTTGCTCATTTCACCTGATTAGAAAACTCCACCTGCTTATCGATAAGGCAACCACCTCGCAGCATAAACTCAAATCGGCACCATCCTAAGCCGAGGCAGGTCCAAGCACCTGTTCATCGAGTCCAGAACGCATGCTTCATCATCAACCTTGAAACCGTTTACAAACCACAAACAAACTATCTGATACCCCCAATTCCCATTTCTGCCTGAACTCCAGAGTACATAAGTCCATGCGCCTCCCGCCGCGCCACTACCTCCAAGCTATCGTTCTACCTACTTGTACGAGGAAGTCTAATTTAAGCTTTGTTTCCAGACAACAGCTTGGGATATCTACCACCGCACATCTGCAACGACGAGAGATACATACGACCATCAGAATGGCTTCCGCTACCAGCTTCTACGATTTCAAGCCGCTTGATAGTACGTACTGTCTTCAATTCTCTATTTTGTCCGAGTTGATGGGCGATGATTACCCCTCCATCCGTCATACGATAAGCTGACCGACCCCTCACCAAACAGAGAAGGGCAATGCGGTTCCTCTCACCGATTACAAGGGCAAGGTCGTCTTGATTGTGAACACGGCCTCGAAATGCGGGTTCACGCCACAATATGAAGGGCTTGAGAAGCTGTACAAGAAACTGAAGGAGACGCATGGGTTTGTCCACCATTCATTTCTCCCTCTACACCATCAACCCAACTCAACCTTTTTCATCTCAATTCTTTCAACCATGAACCAGCTCCTCAGACCCACACTTTTCATAACCCCGATTTCTCCTCCTCCTTAAGATACAACACCAAGCTAACTCCCCCTCCTCCCAGCGACGACTTCACCATCCTCGGCTTCCCCTGCAACCAATTCGGCGGCCAAGAGCCCGGCACCGACGACGACATCCAATCCTTCTGCCTCGTCAACTACGGCGTCTCCTTCCCCATAATGGGCAAGACGGACGTCAACGGCGACAAAGCCAACCCACTCTTCGAATGGCTAAAGGAAGAGAAACCCGGATTGCTCGGCATGAAGCGAGTCAAGTGGAATTTTGAGAAATGGTTGGTAGGCAGAGATGGGAAGGTTAAGCAGAGGTGGGCGAGTACGACGAAGCCGGAGGCGTTGGAGAAGCCGATTTTGGAGGAGTTGGCGAAGGGGAAGGCGGAGTTGTAAATGAGGGATGATGACTTTTGACTGGATTGAGGATGGAAAGGGTTGAGATTTGACATTCCAGTCTCTCCTTAATTGGTATAAAGTGTAAGGCTCTTTGCTCACGAGATTGGCCACATATCCAACAATGAATCATAATGAAACTACAACAGCATTTTTCTTCCTCTGCATAACTAACCAACTCTCTCAAATGAGCTTCCAAACCCCATCATGCTCTTCAATACCCACTTCTCTCCCCTCATCCAAAGCTCTCCTCCCCGCCTCAAGAATAGCAGTCGTAGCAACCGTATTCCTCAGCGTCGGCAAACCCCTCTTATCAAGCTCCTCCAACGCCCCCGGACCCTCCTTATTAACCTTTACACACCCATCTACAAACTTCTCAAAACTCACATATCCATATCCACCCTGCCCCGCAAAATTCCCCTCCTCATCAGGAGCATACCGCATATAAAACGGATTATACCACATCAGCTGCCCAACATTGTCGTCCGCAACATCATACCCCCTCTTCGCCTGATCAATCCGAATCTCGCCCTTCCCGCCCATATAGTGAAAATACTGATTCGAATGCACCCCCGCCTTCTGCGGCGCCGTCCACGACGCCGTATACACAGCCGTCGCCCGCTTACTCGGATCAGATTTCAGCACCCAATGCACCAGCAACGAGATCGTGTCCTCCGTACACGGATCACAGCCGAGTCCCACCGCGACCCCTTTACTCGCGCTCGCGGAGACTTTAACCGGCGTATAGCCCCGTTGCTGCACCATCGACTCGCAGATGTCGATATGGTGACTGTTCAAATAGTAACTGATGTCCGAATCGACGCCCGCCCACGCTTTGAAGGTCTCGAGCTGCGATTTCGGCTGCGACATGTAGCTGTAGAAATAGTTGAAATCACCCAACGACTGCGCTTTGAAGCGCGCGTCCGCGTACGCCGGGTCGTAGCGCTTGTGGTGCTCGATGTAGATGAAGACGCCATGCTTTTTGGCGGCCGCGAGCAGCGATTGGTGGTGCTCGAGGGTCTTGACCGCGGGCTTGGTGATCAGGACGTGGATTTTGCGTTCGATGGCGTAGAGAGCGATGGGGTAGTGGGTCGTGTCTGGGGTGAAGATTGTTATGGCGTCGCCGGGGGAGAGGGCGTCGATGGCGGTTTTGTAGGATTCCGGGTCGACTTTGTCGTCTGCGGGGTAGGATGCGAAGGAAGTGTCGAGGTTGTTGTAGAATTGGCAGATGTTCTTGTTGAGATGTTCGCCTGGAGAATTGTAAGAAGTTGTTGCTATTGTTGTTTGAGGGAGTGGGGTGAAGACATACGGATTGCGGGGTATTTTTTCCCTGATACTCCAACCATGGACAATTTTCCAACTTTTCCTCGTCGTCTTAAATCAAACATCGTCAAGCCGACGACGCCAACTTTCTTGTCTGATCCAGAGGCGCCTCCACCTACGAACCCGGTGGTATACTCTCCTGTGCCCACCATCAGGACATTCAATGGCTTCGAGCCATCAGCGGCTTTGGGATGGCTTGCGACCTCGGCCATGGTGATATTGTGTCAATTGCGTGCAAGAAGTGTGTTGTTGATTCAACCGGTATCGATTGGTGTGGAGAAGGAAGAAGAAGTTGTGGGGATGATGTAGAAGTAGAAGAAGAGCAACATCATGAGATCTGTTTACGCCTGATTGCCTCGAGTCGCGCGTCCGTGGGAAGGAACAATGAATTTTGCGGGTTTTGACGGGGACGACGGAAGAATAGAGGGGTCGAAGTCTGGTGGGGAAGAAACTCCACCAGCTCGCTCAAGAATAATCCGACGACGCCAGAGAAAAAAGAGTGTGTCGGGTCTGGTCTGGGCTGGGCTGTGGGCAAAGATGGGACGGAAGAACAGAACAGCAATAATAATTGTCATGGATTACTCGAAAGAGTAATTTTCGTGACAAGGTCATGTCCGCATGCTGATGGCTGGTGATGCGTGTTTGAGGTTCTCAATACGGCTCTTTGCAGGATTTGGGATCCCATCAGACGTCGACGATATCTTGTTGACAATATACCGCAGCAGCATATGATTGCTTTTGCTATCTGTGATGCACCAGGGGACGAGCAGAGACGAGGCGTCCTGGGCTGGGCTGGGGTAGCGCGGCTCGCTTGATTGAACCTTGGGAGAGAATTGCTTCTTCCTTTCCTTCAGTCTTACCTCACTGCATACTGCATGAGAATATTCGTACCTCTCCCTACGAAACTACCCCGCCAAATGGACTTCTTCCTCCTCGACACTCCCCATTCTTCCTCTCTTCCTGCACATCTCCCGCAAGCCAGCGCGTCCCGTCAACCAAATCAAATCAATGTCTGGACTCTCTGACCTCTACCAAAGATTTCTTCCGGCAATTGCGTGCATCTACCACCTGCACCGAGCTGATCAGTTGGCCTTCTCGTCCAGAGAATATATTAACGATGGTGATATTAATGCCCCGCACTTATCATCACTGGCGGAGCGATAACAGCCTGAAGCCCCCCTTACCCAAAGGATCTTCGGGCGTTGATACCCCACGCCTGGAAACCGCTTCAGAACCTTGCGAGGGCTTGCGAGGGCACCAGGGGCTGATCGGATGATCATCCTACACCCTGTGGTTGGTGGAATAATTCGTCCGTCTCTCATCCCGCAGCGCTCAACGACACCCATCGACATCTTGGTCAACCCAAACATCACATTTGCAGATGAAATCCCGGCTCAGAGGTACAGGGCCCGTACTGACCCTGCATCTGTCTTCCGGCCCTGCAAAAAGACGCATACAGAAAGTTACCATCGTGAGGTATCTCCGTGGACAGCATTCAGGTATGGCCTCAAGCAGGGGAGAATTCCTCTTTCCAGCCGTCTGGTATCGAGGCACGTCTCCAGCAGACCATGGAGAGTACTATACTTCGCCGCTTCCCCGATTTCTTGCCCGCAATTCACACTACGGTGGCACCAAAAAAAGAACCAAGACGCCTTGTTCGGAATAATATCATACGGCCCCCCCACTAGACGTCGTCAGAACTCTCATTCGACACATCTCGATGCAGTCCATATCCGGAAAATCCCTCCAGGGTTGTCTGAATTTCTCTTATACATACCGTGCTCATCTGGTGAGAGATCCAGCTTGACTTCGAGGCGACCTTCCGTTCTCGGACTTCACTTTTCGTTAAGTGTCTCATCAATTCTTTCATATATTAAGCTCCTTCCTCTTTGCAGTCTCACCTCATCGTCTCCAATATACATATAATATCACATCTTCTCTCTAATACAACAATCGTTTTGACAACTTAGAAGAGATCCAGCTACAGTCATGGCAGCAGTTAATGGAACAAACGGAACAAATGGGCACACGAGCTCTCGCCGTCCTCTGCCCTGCGGCATCTATGCCCCAACAATGACCTTCTTCGATCCCGAAACCGAAGAACTCGATATCCCCATCATCAAGAAACATGCCATTCGTCTCGCTGAAGCAGGTCTTGTTGGACTTGTTACAATGGGCTCCAACGGAGAAGCGGTCCACCTTTCACTCGACGAGAAGACAGCCGTCACAAAAGCTACCCGTGACGCGCTCGACTCTGCCGGCTTCACAAAAGTACCCATTATCGTAGGAGCCACCGAAGGTTCTGTCCGAGGGACAATCGAGCTCTGCAAGCATAGCGAGAGAGCAGGTGGAGAATATGTCCTTCTTCTTCCCCCCAGCTATTTCCGAGGCCTGATGGACGAAGATGCTGTGTACAATTACTTCATCGAAGTAGCAGATGGCAGTCCGCTCCCGATAATACTGTACAATTACCCTGGAGCTGTGGCAGGCATCGATATGGATTCAGATCTCTTGATCAAGCTCGCCAAACACCCAAACATCATCGGCACCAAATTCACATGCGGAAACACAGGGAAGCTCACGAGAGTGGCACTTGCAACAAATGCGAAGACACCATTCAGTGAAGGATCGGGATACATGGCATTTGGCGGAATGTGCGATTTCACAACTCAGACATTGATATCTGGTGGTTCAGGAATCATTGCCGGTGGAGCGAATGTCATGCCTAAAGTGTGCGTCAAGATCTGGGATCTGTATACGGAAGGCAAGCGAGATGAAGCATTTGCCATGCAAAAGATCCTCAGCAAAGGTGACTGGGTATTGACCAAAGCTGCCATTGCCGGTACCAAGAGCGCGATCCAGAGTTATTACGGCTATGGCGGCTATCCTCGTCGACCGCTGAAGAGACTTGACGAAGTCAAGACACAGGGCATTGCGGACGGAGTTGCGGAAGTCATGAAGTTGGAGAAGAGCTTATAGGTGGAAGATCTTGCATGCTGCATGCGTTTTGGGTGTGACTTTGGGTCTGCGTTTCCGGTTGGTTGGTCAAAGCATATATTATGGGGGTCTATCACGTGCTGGCGTGATGACCTTGTTTAGACGGCGAATCTTCAGCTTGATTCAGGATTTCAGAATGGCACATGTTCTAAATAGTTTAGAGGTTTATGTTTGGTTTTTTATGCTCAGTTTTCTCAGACAAGTTGTCTGAAGGTCTCAAGTTTGAGAGCACCCGCCGTCACTTTTGAGAATTGCGTGCCCTGAATTCGAGATAGGAGTTTGCTCACTTCTCTCTACCAAGTACAGACTAAGCTTTTTAAATCACTTTCTTCTCCAACTTCTTCTGTTCTCAACATCTGGTTCTCACTTTCCTCCAAATCAAATCCAGTTTTCCTCCCGTCATCACTACTTACCGCACATCCACCTCCCCATCTCAGCTACCTCCCCGACCAAGAATCAGTCTCCTGATCACCTCTCTCCAACCTCTCAACCTCTCAACCTCCAACCTGTACTCGCACTCATCATTATTTACCCAAGGAGGGTCTGACCGTCCGCCTGCCTACCTGCTGCAGCTGCACTCCACAAGCCTGCCGGCTAAACACTCGCAGCACGCACAGCAATCTATCCTCCCGCTGCAATTAATCTCTCTCCACACGAAAGGATCAGATGCTTGGACGACAATCTATCTAGCCGAGTGAGTTAAGCTATCTCGAGCTACTTCTCTTCTTCTTGCTCTAGAGCTCGCTGGGCAGCTCGCAAGAGACGGGATCTCAGCAAGCCTGTAAAGTGAATTCTCACGTGCCTCCTGTTCTTCCTCCTTTTCCTCCCCCTAACAACCAGCGCAGCCACAACATTAACTCTAACCCTAATAGGCGCTCTCTCAATCAAATTACCAAAATCTACTCCACAACAGAAAGAAGTCTACGTCACGTCACTTTCCCCCTTCTTCCTGGATCTAACGGTGCTGTCTAGTATCACGGCCTCGTCTGCCTTTGCTTACAACAGGAGGAGGAGGAGGAGGAGGGACGATAACGAAGGTGCTGGTGGTGATAGAGAGTGTGACGTGGAGTATAGGTTTTTCATTCGTGAGGGGAGGTATATGAGGGGCCCAGTGGGATTTTTACGTGGCGGGAGACGTTAGTGATGGGGAAGGGGAGAGGGGTGGAGAGTACGGGTGCTCGGGGTGCGGTGTGAGGTTGGAAGGGAGGAGGAGGAGGGAGAGGAAGGTTGAGGAAGCGCTAGGGAGGAGATGGAGAAGATATCGGTTTTGATTTCGAACTTTCGTGTGAAGTGGTGGAGGTTTTGCAGCTGGATGAGAGGTAGTCATTTTGCTTGAAAAAGAGTCAATTGAAAAGTAGCTATGGTGGCAGATTTAGATCTAGGGAGTTTTGGAGGCATTGAGACAAAGCTTTATCCGACTAACTCTTGGTCGGCTTGAAATTACGAACAACAGCTGTGGCCTCATGCTCGAGAAAGATGTGATGGCTTACTGGGGACTGATAGGCCAGGGGAGCCGAGATGGGAAAGGGGCTAGAAGGACAAGGCAACGCAACGGGAATACCTACTTCTTCTACGCTTATCTCTTGGTCTTGATGGCTAAATGCTAGTGATAGTGTGTTTAGTACATTCCCTTTCCTCCTCCTACGAATGTCATTCAATCTTTGCCCTTTTCCTGACAAGAATCTCCCTCCTTCCACCCAATTCTTCATTCAAAATATCCCAGCCTATCTCCGAGAGACACATTCTATTTGAAATCTTTTATGCTTGAGTTCACAGGAGAGGGGTTCAGGTAATGAGAAGGGTAGTGCGATTTAACAGCTGTATCGAAGATGGTTGGGAAACTCAGTCGAAATGAAGGGTATAGAAGAGAGAGGATGTGTGGCTAGGAGATGACCTGGTATCGGGGATGGGATACGGGTTTTAGAACCCGTATTGATTGATGTTTCTCTGACATTGCTGGCATAAAATTGCCGTTTGAATATTGATTTTGCAACTTGGTGTGTCTCAGATTGCTGAGTAAAACTAGCAAGGTAGTCACGATAAAGGAAATAGGAAGGAGAGTCCTGTGTATTGGGGGTTGGACAAGAATTTCGACTCTCCATTTCCTTCACCCCACTACCTTGCTCTTCGTCACCATCTTTTGCAAGTAAATAGAACAAGCAGTCCATAAATCCAACTTTTGAATCTTGGAACCCGATTCACTAAAACGTGCTGACTACAACACGCCCTCTACCCTTTCTGTAGTATATAATAAACTAAAACTTCCTCAAAATTAGGATAACTCTTTTTATCATCATCAAGACACCTTCGCACAGCCATAGGACGTTCTAAGCAGGATGGCTACGTCTGAGACAGCCCGGAACCAGACACTGATCGAGCTCCTGGAATAAGACCTTTTGCTGTCGTAGAAGAATGTTATATGCGTCGAGGACTTTGATACCTTAATTTTTGCTTTGCGTCGCCTTGTACTTATTTGACAACAGAAAATAAACGACGGCCTTGCGCCTCCCAACGGGTGAAATTGTCTGATGGTTGACAGCCACTAAGCTGGAGACTGAAGATTTATTTCTTTTTGGGACGAAAACATGTTCTGTGTTGCTTATGCAAGTATAATGTCCCACAATCGAACTTGCCTGCAAGCTGAGTGAACTTCTCAACTCTGGCCCAAGATTCGGAGTTTGGTCTCAAACACAACCAGAGGAAGTCATACACATAACAAAATGAACACTCTTCAAGATATTCAACTCATAGATTGAACCTCTATAAATGTCATCTTATATCAACCTCAACGAGCATTCGAACCCCTCCTCGCCAAATTCTTATGCAAAGTATGCTGCCTCATAAAAGCACCACACACCGCCCCAATAACCGCAATCCCCATCCCCGTCAAGAAAACACCTCTCAACGCCCCCGCAAAACTATCCATAACACCCTGTTTCCACCCCTCAGGAAGGTGTTTCAGCTCATCGAAACTATCTCTAATACGTCTAATTTCCTCATCTGCTCCTTTTCTCCCGCCAAATTTCTCGTTCAGAGATGAGACGAGGATATTTTGATACACAGTGCTGGCGATGGTAACGCCTATCGTCGACCCAGTGGAGCGGAATGCGTACGTGGCAGAGGTGATAACTGCTTGGTGGTCGTGTGATACGGCCGAGATGACGGCTAGGAGAGTGACTGTTAACATACCTCCGTATCCGATTCCGACTAAGGTTTGATAGATATAAACAGGCCAATCTGGACGATCGAAACCGAGTGTTGCGAGAAGTCCAGTGCCGAGGCAGAAACTGACCATGACGCAAATAGACAGGATTTTGTATTTCCCGGTACGATTCATGATGAGTCCACATCCTAGAGAGCCCACGGAGGATCCGATTGATTGGGGGATGAGACGGACACCTGAAGCGGTGGTGGAGAGACCTTTGGCTTGGTAGAAGATGGGGACGTAGAAGAGGACCATGAAGGTTACCATTGTGAGGAACCAGTTGCAAAGGCATGCTGCTGCGACTGTACGGTTCAGGAGTAGGCGGACGGGAATGACCGGCTCGGATGCAATGTATGTTTCGACGTAGATGAATACACAGAGGGAAGCTGCTGAAAGAGGTAGGGAGACCGTGACAAGTGGGTGATTCCAGGGAACGATATTTCCACCTGAATTGAGGCCGAGGAGTAGGAGGACCAGGGTAACGAGGAGAGTAAAAGATCCGAGGAAATCGACCCGAGAGAGCTTCGACTTCTCAGACTTCTTGGCTGGTATATTGACCGTCCACCACACCAAGAATCCAGAGATGACAACCAAGGGGACTTGTGCAAGGAAAGCGACTCTCCATCCCCAAACATCATTCACCCATCCACCGAATATGCCTCCCAACCCGGCTCCAGTGCCATAACAGACATTTCCGACGCCTTGTATAAGTCCCCTCTTCCTCAATGGGACCAAATCGCTAGCCACAAATGTAGATATAGCCATCAATCCGCCTCCACCCATACCAGCCACTACTCGCCCTGCAATCATCATCCATTCCGAGTTCGCAAGCCCGCACATCAAGTTCCCCAGCGCAAACAGTATATTCGAGACCACCAGCCCCGCTTTCCTCCCAAAGATATCCGTCAATCGCCCAGACAATGGCTGGCACGCCGCATTGGCGTTTAGATATGCAGACGCAAGCCATGAAAGAAGAGTAAGTGATCGAAAAGAAGTCGAGATGGGAGCCGCCAAAGTAGCAACGACTGTACTATCGAGGGCACCCAGGAAGACGCCGACGTAGATACTAGCTAGAATAACGACTAATCTGCGAGTAGATATTTCATCTGGGAGCACAGTTTCCTCTGCAGTGTCCTGCTCGATGGCGTCTTCGTCCGCAGCAGTAGGTTTCGGCGCATCGCGAAGCAGCGGGGTTTCTTCGTCCAATCGGGGGTTGTCGATGGCCATTATAGTATATTAAAGATATATGAGATGTGAAGCAAAGGAAAGAGAGAGAGGAGGAAAATTTTCATACTTATGCTGTGGGATGAAAGGTGGGATGAGGGAAGGGAGCTCAGGTACCAGTGGTGGATCTACGATAATGTAATCGTGACAATGACGTCCGATAGCGGGAAGAAGCTAATTGTGATGAGAAATCGAGCATTGGACTTAGAGTTTGTGATGGTAATCTAAGTGGCGGTCGAAGACATTGGATAGAATCTCCGAGTGAGATTTTGAAGATCTGAAGTTCGGGAATTCTGGTTAATGGAATGCTTGTGCTGGGAAGAGACATTTCGAGCCAGCCAAGGCAGATTTTGTCCGGGTCAGTCACGTGCCGAGCACTTTTCTGCAAAGTTATCCGTTCTGTAGTCATCAGATAAACGATGCAGACGATTTAAGTAGGACTCATACATATCCTAGTTTATACAATATACGTTGCTGCGAAACGAGGCTTTGCCAAGCGGTCAAACGTCCTAAGAAGACACATCCTCAAAACTTTGACGAACAGTTCTGCTGCAAGTGTGCCTATTCTATACTACCCGTTCGATATAAGCATGAAACGTGCCACCCATCTCAACAGTTATTGACATCTGGCTCCAATGGCGGGGTAGGTTGCATCTTCGTGCTGTATGCGGGGTCCAGTAAGGCTGAGAAGAATTCATGCACGCCGAAGACTCGCATTCAAGGACCCATCTCTCCCAGAAGTGCATGAAATTCCAGGCAGCTGGTTGGAAAAGCTTCACACCAGCATGGCACCCTCAAAAGAGTCAGCGGCAGCTGTGAAGTGTTCATCTCTTTCACCTTCTGACTGCCACTTCGTGGCGCAGTCTCGGTCAGGCAAGGCAACCTATTCGGTGTGCACGTCACGAAACCACACCCTCACAAAGGGCAAAAAAGAAAGGGAATTTTGAGGCTGATATCTGCCTGATGGTGAGTAGTGTGGTAGGATATAAGAGCCCCCAATTTCTGGGAATTCTCTAAAACTTTGCCTTACCTTTGAATAAATATCTCTCCCAGAGCAAGAAAAGAGAACGAAATATCTAAAGTCAACATCACCGAAATAACAACAAGAAAACAAAGTTCACTTATTAAGAACCAAACCATCAAAATGTATGCCTACTCACCACTCCAGCCGCAAAACTCACAAAAGCTAACACACCAACCCAGGCCATTCATCGACTGCATCCGCTGCGGCTACTCCTTCTATTCCAGCTCTCGCGACAGAGTCCATTCCCAATACTGCTCTTACTGCGAGAAGAGTTCCTCGGGCGCGATCACCAAATATGTTGTTCAAAAGAAAGAAGAGAGCAACAACACCGTAACCGGCTTCACGAGAAGGGATGCTCAACACATTGTCGATTCTGTGTTTAGTCAACCGAGGAGCAGCGATGTTAGTGCTAGGGAGGTGACTTTTGAGAAAGGGAGGTTCTCGGTTAGGGAGGAATATGAGAGGAGGTGATGACTCATGGTTAGAGGTTGGAGGTCGTTCAGGAAAGGGAAATCTGGATGGGTGTAGAATGGGATTTGGTCTTCGTGTACTTGATGCTTGTCGGAGTTTATGGATTGGATTTATGACTGGATGATAGGAGGAACATGATTATGGGTGGCGATTTCGTACTTTCCGCAGTTCTTTCACAGCTCTGTTTAGAGTCGCGTAAGGTAGAACAATACAACGTCTCAATATCGAGAACATATTTCTCAGCAACGACTATCAGAACACTTGATCTGCTAAATATAAAGATCGAGACTTCAATGATAGTCCTATTTTGCGATGATAACGTAACATGCTTTTTATATTAAATGGGAGAATCTTCTCATGCGTTTTTAACATTTTCTGAGCAGTTTACTCAAAACACAAGTGTGTGAGTTCTCATTGCCAGGAGCGGCTCAAACCTAGCATCAGAACAAGCTCGCAGTTTCGAGACTCATTGACAAAACAGAAAAAAACATGGCTAGCTAGCAGCTAGAAAAACACTCAACCCAACTCGAGCCCCAACACCACAACAACCTGAATATCTGGTGCGCAAAGCTGCCCATGTTAGGCATCCTTTTCGCCTCAGCAGATCGCTATCACGTGGAGCACTGCCGCCACTGTACTGCCACCCTCATACCATGGCTGTTCGCAACTCGCAATGGCTCATGGATTTTTTTGACCATACCAAGTTGTTCAAAAATATACCAAATCAATGCGTGGATGATTTGGAAGGGGATGATGTTCGGTCCACGCAATGCACTTTGGGGTTGGAGCTAGATAGCGGGTGTTGCTAGGCGGCCATTGACTTTGAGGAAGGAAAATTGTCCACGATCATCCCAGACAATGAGCAGAGTATCGGGAGATATATGTCACATAGGTAAGATGTGAGGTTATTCGATTCAATTGAGTTGAATAAAAGGAGCACAAAGAATTGCACGGAAGTGAATAATTTTAAAATCCCCTGAATTGGGTCTCAGCCTTCTCTCCCTACCGTGCTAAAAATAACTCGGGCTGTTGATCTTCCTCGCCCGGATTCGCGTTCGCTGAGCCTCTCCAAAGCAATTGCATTGCGTACCGCTCGCTCCCGCTACTGTACACCTTCGTTCTCTTCTTGTCTTGTTTACATCTCTTCTTCTTCACTTATCAAGCTCTTCAAAGAATCATCAACTTTCATTCTCAGCTGTACCTCCGCCGCAGCCAGGCTTGTTTACTCTCGCCCATACGATACAGTGTCAAGAAGAACACCCGAGACAGAACATCATGGGGTTAGCACTGGAATTCGACGCACACAATCTGCAGAAAATCAAACTCGGTGTACATATCGCTCAAGCCGTATTGATTTTCGTAACATGGGCGATGGAAATTGCAGTCTTTCATGATGCGGAGAGCATTGATGGTCGAGCTGGGTGGTATTTTGGCTTGGTAGGCTGCAGCCTTATCCCCTTTTTATTCACAACTTGAAAAGTACTGGGGCATCATGCTAATTCGTGGGTATGGTAGTGCTTCTTGTGTATTCCTGCGATAATATACCTTACGATGACTCCACGATTCCCACGAACTCGCAAATTCGCTCACCCGTATGGTCTAGCAACAGTGGATTGCCTCTTTGCAGTTTTGTGGATCTCTGCCTTTGCTGCACAAGCTAGCTATAATTCCTCTGGGAAATGCAATGGAGCATGTGGGATAAGCAAAGCTATTGTTGGATTTGGAGTGTTCATCTGGTACTTTCCCCCATATTTCTTTTTACCTGTAGGACAACAAGCTGATGGTAGTATCAACAGGCTATTATGGTGTGCAACAGCTTTCATGAGCTTTTACGGCGTGGCGTATTACAGAAGAGAGGGATATCTGCCAGGAGCCAGTAGAGCACCATTTAATGCTCAAGCCATCGATCCCGACAAGGAGGCATTCTCGACGGCTCCTCATGACGACGAGTACGCACCTGTACACAACACGGACGACCATGAAGCAGCGGGCAGCTCATACGCAGGTGCCTCGACAGTCGGTAGTGCGTATAACCCAGATTCGGCGTACAGCGGCTATGTGGCTCCACATATTGCAGACGAGCCATCGGGATATCAAGGATACAGTGGTTCAGGGTCCATCAATTCCGCTGGTGGGAGACTGAACTTTCCGGAAGCTAGATATGATAATGTGTGAAGAGCGAAAATATCGGGGGGCTTGAAACGATAGTAAGGGCGTTTATGGGTATTTTGTATGGAGTATGCATTGCCGTCGATACCAGTAGCTTTGCAATAGATGAGATATTCTTTTGCTGCACCATACATGCTTAGACATTGGATTTGCTATACAAATTTTCTGCGAACATGAGGGGCAATTTTACATCCGGAGGGGCTACGGAAGAGAGAGCTTATGAAGGGAACAACGGGAGGGAAAGCTCTTTGGGGCAATTGTCCCGGTCCGAAGCTTCCATTGGTCACCATCAGTTGATGGCTCAAAAGTCCCTGGTCAGATGTTCAAACAAAAGCATACAACACAAATATATATCAACCTTTCTCTACCCTCTTGGTTTCTATCATCTTGCGATTTCTCTCTTTCGCATGATCAAGTTGGTGCAACCAAGACAAAATACACAACCCACATTTCCTGGTTTGCTCAGCCACCAACCACGCCTCTGCCATGCACCTCGTTGCGTTGCAACCTCGCACAGTTGTACCCATGTCTCACCACCAAAATCTCTCTCTTCCTCATCATTCAACATGTGAAAACCACCTCTCTTGTTGGGGTGAAGATCCCCAAAATCAACTAGTATGCGGGAGAGCCCGATGAGCACCATTGCCCAATCACCGGGCGTGGGGACAGAAGGTGGTCAACCCAAACGGGGCAAGAGTGACGCCGCTCAACCTCGCAAGCTTGGAAACAGGATTGCGGGGTCGTCGTTGCTGAAATGTAAGAAGCCTCTTTCTTTCTCCTTCCCTCTTTCTTACATACTTCTTCTTCTTTCTCCAAACGCAACTGCAGGAGAAGGACCGAGAGTTTTGCTTCCGTTATTGCCCGCCGGATAATTGATTTGCTGCAAGAAGAGAATTCTGTTTTTGGGAGTACGGAGACTGTAAGCGGGGTACTTAACGTCTGAAGTGGATTGAAGTACAATTACTACAAACGGGCTACAAAATAGGAGAGCGTCAGACTTTGGAAGAAAGCTACACATATTCCTCCCAGCAAAAGATCAATCGAGCAATCAAGATGCCTAAAGTACGTTCTCATGAACCCTTCCAGCTCATCAACTCACCTCATCTTCCACAACAACTGACACCAATCTCAGATCACCACCCTCCTCTTCGACTGCGACAACACGCTCGTACTCTCGGAATCCCTCGCCTTCGAGGCCTGCGCCGAACTCGCCAACGAGATCCTCTCCTCGCGCGACATCCCCGACCGCTACACCGGCCCGCAACTCCTCTCCGAGTTCGTCGGCCAGAACTTCCGCGGCATGATGGTCTCCCTCAAAGCCAAGTACAAGTACGAGATGTCCGACGCGGAGCTCGAGACCTACGTCACCCGCGAAGAGGACCAGGTCATCAAGAAGCTGAAGGAGAAGCTGCAGCCGTGCGCGGGCGTCGATAAGGAGTTGCAGAAGTTGGATCAGGAGAAGAAGTATGAACTTGCGGTTGTGAGCAGTAGTGCGTTGAGGAGAGTTAGGGCTAGTATCGAGAAGGTGGGCCAGGATAAATATTTCCCGTACGATTGGGTCTTCTCGGCGGCGACGAGTCTGGAGAAACCGACCAGCAAGCCGGATCCGGCGATCTATCTTCATGCGATGAAGACGCTGAATAAGACGGCGGAAGAGTGTGTCGCGGTGGAGGATAGTAAGTCGGGGGCTACGGCTGCGTTTAGGGCTAAGATTAAGACGATTGGGTATACGGGTTCTTATGAGCCTGAAGAGCAGGAGAAGATGAAGAAGGTATTGGTTGATGCTGGATGTGCGGTTATGATGAATGATTGGAGCGAGTTTGAAGGGTGCTTGGAGAAGATTGAGAAGGGTGAGGTTTAGATGATTGGGAGTGCGGTTGTTAGAGCCATAGATCTGGGTTACACCGATAGATGCGCGTCTAGATCGAGATATGCTTGCTTCTTGGGTTTTTTCTTGTATGATTGTCTTTTTGGTTGCTGTGTTTGGGTTCCTTTGCCAAAAGATAGTGCTTCTGTGGTTTTATGATGAATACACCGAGTTTGATGATTGTTTATTTGATGGCTGTCCAAATATTCTCTTCTTTTGTGACAAAACCGATCCAGCAATTTAGAGAGTTGAAAGTCCTGAGATGAGTGACTGACTTATATGAGCTAAATGTGACCAGGCAGACACAGTACTTTTGAGACTCGAAAGTTTGAGATTAAGCTCATGACTTATATCAGTCAGAAATATCCAGCCCGATTCCACACTTTGGAGGGTCGAAAATGCTAACTTGAGCGACGGACTTATGTTGATCAAAGGTAGCCAATCTAATTCAGTATTTTGGACCATCAAAAGTGCAGAGCTGAGGACGCCACTTATGCTAATTGAATGTGGCCAGTACTCCGGAAGGCCAAAAGTCTTGAACTGTGTTGAAACCTTTACGTTGGCTAAATGTAGCAGATCAATGACAGTCACCAGTCCGCTAGCTACTTCATCATTCAGACATACTCCCTGAGAACTTCCCCAGATTTCACTCAAAACCAACATAATCCATCCTACTAGCTTGGCGCTAGTGTCGATATAAACGCCCTTTTGCTCTTTGCGCACTCTTCAAACAAGAAAACATAATGACGATTGAACGCAAGCTGTGTTGAGCCAGCGGCAGTTAGGCTCTCTAGCCTAGCAAGTTCCAGGAAGTAGTGGTTGAAAGACCGAATATTGTTGCGCAACTTGTCGTCAGACGTCGCAGGGTGCTCTTGCTTGTGTTGTCTCTTCGTAGAGCTACTTCCTCGTATACGACTAAGGCTAGATCTCATCTGTGAGTTAGGTGAAGGACGATTATTCGACGTAGAGGTTCGTGTTGGGGGCGAACGAGCACGCTTGTTGTCGGCACTGAGAAAGCTTTGCTGCAGGATGCCATCAGTGCGTGGAGCGTTCTCTCGGCGGGACGGTGTGTACACCCTCGCCGTAAAATCATTCATATCGTTATGGGCGGGCCGAAGAGTGACTGTATTACAAGGCCAGTGAGTTGACAATAAAGAAGATATTGACAACACAAAAGCAAGCGACAGAATATCACAAGTGAGGCGAATAGATACTGGTAGATTGTTCAGACTGATGATTGGATCATAAATCATGATTCTAGAGAACACGAGATGGGAGTGCTTGAAAGATCGACCTGAAGACCAGGCTTTGAAATTGGCACTCATCAGGAGGAAAGAAAGGAAAAGTTAGTACAGCAAATCAGATTATTACGCGATGCGGCCCATCTGGTATTTGAAATACGTGACTTCACTGACGCCTTCATTCTTGGGACCCAGTGCTGCTTAACCAACAAAGGAAATGGGCAGAAGGGGTAGCGCAATTATTTATTCGAACAGAACATCATACAAACATATAACCTATCGTAAGCTGATGTGTACCGACGACGCAAGAGACGAGTCCACCTGCATTGCTCAGGAGCATTTGATAACGTTGAGGACTCCGTTCGTAAGTCTGTTACCTGGGCCGGCCCATCAGGAAGCTGTTGACGCTCTGTAAGGTGGCACGACTCGGATTCGTATCTGGCATAGATGTTGAGATCCACCCCAGACGACTTCGTATGAAAGCCTTGTCAATTGAAGCCGTTCCTTCTTGGCCCTCAACTAGGCTGCCTTGGCCATCGAAGAAGAGGCACAGTATCGCAAGTGCTGCTCCGATCGCGAGATCTTTGCCGCTTTCGCATGCAATTACTATTCGTTTTGGACTGGCCGTTTTGCTCCTTTTCATGGAATCTGCCACGAACGTCATAAGTACAGGCAGAGCTAGTCGGAGACTTCTACTGCCCAGCTTGCTGGAACCAAGGCCAGCTTCCATTCGTGTTGGAGACGTCTGCCAAGTGCTTTGATCTGTGACTTTTGGTTGTAGTGTGATGGAACAGGCGTTGGGTGCTGTATCCATGCCCAAACTATCAGATATTGTACCAACGAACAGAGCAGAAGTGGGTAGCACAAGTCTCAATCCTGGGGCTGTAGTTGCACTCATACACAAAGACTGCGAGACCAGCTCCTCAATCAGCTCTGGCAAGTCGCTCTCCGAGGTGCTGAGTAGATGTTCCTTATTGGCCCAGAAAACGGGAGGAGTAAGACCATGGACCCAATTCTCTGTATCATCCCCAGCTCCTTGAATGTATCCTCCTCCGCTGACTTCCCCGCCTACTACTCTGCGTGAAACTGTACAGCATATGAATGGATGGAAATCTCCAAATATAGCGGATGATGGGGTAAGATCAGATTCTGGAGTCACCCAAATTGGACGGAGGGGCTTCGAAATGTGGTTTCTGAGATTTTCCAACGGTAGCTTGAGGGATTGGAGCGCGAGGACAAAAGATGGCAATAGAGCAGATATCTGAGCGTGCTCTGACTTAGAAACAACCTGTGGCGGGGTATAGAGCTCGTGATAGGAAGGTTCGGCAGGAAAAAGATATCGATTGAGAACACTGCACCAAATAGGTATGGTCTTGCTCAAAGCATCTGGCATTCCTGTAGTCTATCAACCCTGTATTCGCATAGGGGAGGACGAATCTTACGCTTGCCTCGCCTCGTGGAATCTATGATAATGCATCTAGAGAGGTATAAGTGACTGGGTCTGCTGCGCAGACACAAGACCTACCCATCATGCTGGCCAATTGTTTCCAGCAAATGCATATTCAACCTGCGGGAGCTGAACTTCCACACTCCAGTATGACCATCTGTGCTCTTGAAATATGCACTTCCGCCCTTGATCTTGGGATCAATGTACCAACTTCCGCACCGTTCATTTGCGATCAATGGCCTGTTATACGCATCTGCCACTCGCTGGGCAAATGCTGCATCATGCTCAATGGAGCGCAGGCGGTTCTGGATAGAGAGAGCTGAGCGTTTGAGATCGCCAAGCGTTCTCGAGAAGTTGTGATTTGCTTGCTCTGAGAAAATTAGCTCAGATGAGGTTGGGAATGGCATCTGAATCTTGGCATGGGAAATGATAAAGACAATAGAAAAGATCCTTTCGAAGACCAAGACAGACCGAGATCAAGATAAGATGCTGCAGAATGGTACTCGGCAATCTGAAAACGCGACCTCGCGAGAACTCGTGATGTCCCCCGCGCATGCAGGTTAAAACGAAAGCTTAGCCTCTCTAGGATTAGCTCCACCCCTCAGAAAACCTCGAGCTGAGATCTGAGAGACGCGGTCCTATTCTGTAGAAGAGTACTTTTCTAACACGCACGCTAGTCAATGCATGACGATGCTTTGCTGTTATTTCATGAAGTGGAGTTATTAAGGTTGCGTCGTTCTTTTTGGACCTTGACAGACAAGGTAGCAAAGCACTGAAGGGCGTACGCGCATTCATCATTAAAATGCATTTGTTTGGCATTCCAAAGAGGTTGCAGTTCTCAGCAACGGCTACTTGATAACTAAGACTTCGTTGTAGTTAGGAAAGAAAGCCAAGATTTGCCTTGGAACAGGCAAACGATCGAAAGTGTGTCGTGCATGCCGTTGTCACCCTCTTTCCTTTGCTTTTCCTTTGCATCAAGTACTCGCAATTTCAGCGCTTAGTATAATCATTATCATGAAAGACATTGCTTGTGAGTGTCATTATCTGTACTTCTTGTTGCTGTAGGTTTGTACATAAGAACCTATTTTCTTGCAGCTCGTCCAGCCGCAACAGCTGTCGGTTATCATACAAAACATATCCTTTCAAGCTTACCGAAAGAATTACAAACGGTTTGCTATACCTAAGTCATTACAGATTGGTAGAGTCTATGTACAGTAAGCGCTCACTAAATAGATCAGGTGCTTTTATCGGAGAGAATGCACGCATGTGGGATGCTGCAGATCATGAATTTACTGTCAATGCCCATGAGCGAAAATAACTCCACCAACTGTAGAGCCTTGAAGAAAGTTGTAGGCACGGAGACCTGCGTTGAATCGTTTGCGAGCTCTGCGATCAGATTCGCTTTGCCAGCAAAGACCACTGTTTGAATCCTCTTTTGAGCAAGAGAACTCGAAATGTCGACAAAGGCAGAGCATGAATATATGAAAAGGTCTTGACATCCCAGGCCAGGCGATGCAGAGGTTAGGCGAAGCACCTCTGCTTCGTTTGCTATGGCCACAAACGGAAACCAACACGAGATCCAGGATTGCGGTTCCAGCTTCTTTCGCCCAAGGGGACCCACCTCCAAATTAGCACTTAGACTATGTATCACAGACAGATCTGCTGACCGAGGCCTCCTACCCAGCCGTTCTGCGTGAGGGTCGCTTAACACGTGATTGCTATCATTTGGAGGCCTCCCAATTTGCTCAAAGAATCTTTCATGCATGACTGCGCTCGCTACAAATCTATGCAGTGGGGTAAGATGAAAGGAGGTCGGTATGCTCGCCTTATGACTCAGTTTTGCAGATCAGGCAAAGCACCTGTCTATTCTGTAGTTAGCATGGTTCAAAGTCAGGAAAGTCTCAAATGCATCTCCACTCTTTGTACTACCTGATATGTCTTTGAAGGCTAATCTGTTGGAAGATACTAGCCTTCTTGCCGATGACTGAACCGGCGTCGTTGCTGCCTTTGTGATGAAGCATTTATACACCACCTTCGTTCCTTCTTCCCCAAGCCAGATACCCATCTCGCATCACTCCGAATCTTTCCTTCCGACGAAATCAACCACTTCACTGGAAATTCTGGTCCTCCGCCCTAAAGATTTTAGAACACTCGAGATAATCCTACTCTTCGAGCACCATGGCGTCCTCCGATATCCTTTCGCAAACCTTGAGTTCTATCACTGAAATCAAGCTCGCGGAAATATCCAATCAACGATCGACATTCGAAGGCATCAAAGCTGAGCTCATCCGTACTTCCAAGGTCGAGCAAGACCAGCGAGAGAAAGTCGACATTCTCCTCCAAGGCCTATATGATGTCGATAAACTCACTCGATTGAGCCCGAACACTATGAGCTACCTGACCAATGTCGCGAAGTTCCTCGAACAAGCCCGTCACGATCCTTCCGTTTCTATCTACCTTCAGAAGGACTGGGAGACAAAGCTTATTAACATGCTCGATGTTCAAAGCTTGAAGTATGAATACGCTTCGCTCTACGGTAGGATGGTCAATGAATGGTTGTCAAGCTCCGATGAAAAGTCCGAGGTCTCGTCAGACAATGGAAGCTCCTCGTTTGAAAAGGTTGGAAGGAAAGAGATGCATGATCAGCGCGCGACATGGGAGGAATACGTCTTCAAGCCTCTCGAAACCGACACCACTGCTATCAAGACTTATCTTGAGAAGCTTTTCACCTCGAACAAGATTATCAAGTCCGCGTATGATACACTGCTGGAGGAAACGAAGGACTTTGAAGACTCAATGGACACCGATGTCCACTTTGACGACAAGGTGCTTCGCTGGATTATCAACGGGCTTCTCCGCTCAGACCTGCTCACCGACGAGAAGAAGTCTCTCCTGAAGGACTTTCTCAACAACAAAGTGGTGCTTACTGAACTTGCTGATGTACTGAACATGAGAATTTCGTCCCTTGACAAGTGGTGTTGGGATCCTGTAGGAACTCCCGTGGAGCAGCGACGACAACTTAGTGGCCGTTACAGATTCTATCACGAGTAAGTACCTCGATATTTGTCTCATTGTTTCTTTGCTCCATATCTTTTTGGGAAAATCACTGACTTTGAAATTCTTAGTGAGGATCTCTTGCAGACCATCCTACTTCGATATATCGGTGTGAAATGGTCGGTTCATTTCAAATCTGCTTTGATTACGTTCCAAACCACGATGGATGTTTGGAAGGCATCTGCGACCCCAGTCCTAGCTGGGGATAGGAAGCGTCGGCAGTTCTTTCTCGGCAGCAACTTAGCTGAGCCTACGGTTACAGTAGAATCGAGTCGCGCAAGACACTTCAACGACGAGATATTCTTGGAACAGCTTACTAGTGAAGCTGAAGAGCAGCGTGGAGGTTATGATGACGATGCTGAGAACGTACGTGACACTCGAAAGAGCGGACAACAGATCACCCAGTCACTTCTGCATACATTGGCCACCGAGATCATCATGAAAACCCGGCTGGGAGAGGAAATGACGGTCGTACGTACTGATTTCAAGTGGTTTGGACCTTCACTTCCGCATTCCACAATGTTTGCTGTCTTGTCGTTCTTTGGGGTCTCGAAGAATTGGATTTCGTTCTTCTGTCGAGCCTTGGAGGCACCAATGAAGTTTGTTCAGGACGGTCCGGAAGCACCAGTCCAGATTCGGAAGCGTGGGACTCCGATCAGCGGTCCTTTGAGTGACATGTTGGGAGAGACAGTTCTGTTCTGTCTGGATTTCGCCTTCAACCAACAGACAGATGGAGCACGAATGTATCGACTACACGACGATATTTGGTTCTGGGGCGAAGAAAAGGTATGTGTGAAGGGATGGGAACTTATGTAAGTCTATATCTCTGACTTCGTATACTTCGCCAGAGACGCATGCTGACTCGCATCTAGGAAGAACTTTGCGAAACTCAGTGGCCTGGAGTTTAACGACGAGAAGACTGGAAGTGTAAAAATCACCAGAAAGCCAGGTGGCAAGCCAAAAGTTGCCTCCTCTCTTCCCAAAGGCGACGTTAGTTGGGAATTCCTTAAGTTGGATGCTGGGACTGGTCGTTTCCTAATTGACCGTGAGAAAGTTGGAAAGCATATCGAAGAGCTTCGTCTACAGTTGGATGCTTGCAAGTCTGTCTTCGATTTTATCCAGGCGTGGAATGTCTACGGTGCTCGGTTTTTCACCAACAATTTCGGGAAGCCAGCCAACTGCTACGGACTTGAGCATGTGGACATGTTGTTGGACACGTTCTCGCATATTCAATCGAAGCTGTTCCAACAAGGTAGCGTCACCTCCACCCTGCAAGAGATGATCAGTCAACGATTCGGTGTCGAGGACATTCCTGAGGGCTATCTTTACTTCCCAATGTCAATGGGTGGTCTTGACCTCAAGAGCCCCTTCATTGATCTCTACCTCGTCCGAGAGACCATTACCAAGACTCCGGATTCCCATATGGATCAGTTCTTCATCGACGAGGAGGAGGAATACCGCCGAGCAAAGGCTACTTTCGAAAAGGGCACAGTTCCGGGGCAAGACAGACTCCCTTACAGTGTGAGGGAGCAACTAGCCAACGAACCTTTTATGACTTTCGAAGAATTCTCTCGATATCGCGAACAGACTTCCGCTTCGCTTTATCGGGCCTACTCCAATTTGACCAAGCAACCTAGATTGGACCCTGTTGTTCGTACTTCGGATGTTCTGAGCCACGTGGAGAATCGGGCTTGGAGCCGTTTGAGCGAGTATCAACAATGGTTGGTCCAACTTTATGGTTCTGATATGATCCATCGCTTTGGAAGCTTGAATGTTGTTGAAAAGGGTCTGTTGCCTACTGGCATGGTCTCTATGTTCCGCGAGAGCCGCTTCAAGTGGCAAGGTTAGAGATTGGTGGTAGACAAGGAAAGCATTGAGTGATAGTCTAGAGTATGGATTTTGGTTCTTTCAGTATTGTACAATAGCATAGATGATTCGAGAATATGCATCATGGGACAACATAACTATGGATGCTCTTCAGCCTGTGAGAGGGCAGCAATGGATAAAAATTACATGACCTGATTTCCAGATACTCTTGCCACTCTTGGTGATCTCAACATTAACGGAGAAGATATCAAAGCAAATGCAAGAGTCGACTTGTCAAAAGATTTAGAGGTACCTCGACCATCACCTACGCCTAAAATTTAGACAAGTAGCAATGTCAACAGAAATCTCTAAAAGCCCGTTGAGTCCTTGACCTGGATTGAGTGGGGCTTGAACTTTCGGGGATAAGTGGCGGGTGTTATGTCCGGAAAAAAAGTGTATGAAGAAGGATTTCTTTCCTCAAGAAGATTCAAGAAGCACACCGAAACCCCGCCCGACTCGTCTATACCGGTTCTGAGATCTCTCATAAATGCTGGGCAATGTTGTCAGTAGTCTCGAGGCACAGCTCGAAGCTGACTTCCAATCGATTAAAATGAAGCGTTGAAGGTCTTCGGTTTCTCAAGACCAACAATCTTTGACGTCTGCAAACACCGCCGGATCAAGAATTGTATAATCTTTCAGATTGACACAAGAGGGTCACATCAATTCAAACGTCCTCCTTGATCTACATTTCGAGACAGATAATTGCCGCTGGGCATTTCGACGACCATCGCCCAACCTGAGCTCGCTTTGATCATATGCACAACCGCCCTTTTCTCCCGACCAAGCTGCATTTATGTCAATGCCACTTCGGCCTGAATTGGCCCTTTCGGACTCAAATTCCTATTTTCCATATATTTCTATATCTAACATACGTCCAAGCACCAATGAGACATCATGAAAGGATAGGGCTAGACCCCTGCTGACTATTCGGCGGGTGACTCCACCTGCTCAAGGCATCAACGCAGCCTCACTTCTCTCCCAAACTCCAACGCTTTCATCCCAACCTCCAATCCACATTATAATCCGGTAGGTCGCGAAAGATACGGTAGGTGGTAGTCATGGCTTCTCCTGCTTCAACATGTACTTTGGCTGCGGAATCAATTGATGGCGATGCTCCTACGGACATTGACGAGGAGGCAGAGCACGATGACTTCAATCAAGCAGATGACGACACTGCACGCTTTCTCAACAGCATTGAGGAGTCAACAACTGACGATGAGCTCGTTCTCGCTGACATATACACGCATCCTGGCGACCAAGAGACCTTGTCTCCCTTGATGCTGGCAGCTGTGAACCCAGATCCACGAATCCTCAAAGCTACACTGCAAGAAGGAAGTCTATTCTACACAGCCAAATCGCCAGCTGACATTGAACGTCGACAACGACTTCGCATTCCATTGTCTCCTCGGCCGACTTCGGAATTCTGGCCGATTTGCTTCAGAAGCAGTCAAAGTGAGATTGGGATCACGACCCCTCTTCAAGAAGCAATTCGAGCGGGGCTTCCTGAGAATGTTGATATACTGCTTGATGCAGAAGCAAATCCCAATGGGCCTCCCACTTGGGTTATGGAGAACTATTCGGCGTTCTTTCTTCGTTTTAGACCAATTGTTCCATCTTTTCCAGATCTTTGTGGAGATGTGGCGAGCAGAAAAGCACTTTTGGAACGGATGGACTTGCCTCAGCTCTCGACGCTGACATGGGAAGAGGTCGAAGATCGCTTCTGGGATGGCATGGCACCTTTCTGGTGTGAGCAGGACTTTGTACCAGCCGATTTCTATCCTCACGGAGAGGCGATACCTGCTATTGTGGAGGCTGCTAGGTGCGGGTCAATTGAGATCTTGGATGAGCTCCTAGATGCTGGGGCAGACACGAGCTTCTGGATGACGCCACAATTCTTCGTCCCTGCGTATCCTACACCCAGCAGTCTCAGTGTCTCGAGTCCAATACATGCTGCATTACAGGCACGGGATCTCGACATGCTGGATCATCTGCTCGCTCTCGGCTTCGAGCCAAACACCATGCCATTGTCCAACCCAACGAGGTGTGTCACTCCTCTGATGGCAGTCATCACCCAGCATGAAGAATTCGACTACGTAGTATGGGAGACCTTGGCACGACGTCCCAATATCAACTTCGAATTGAGGACGCCTGTTTATGGAGTCCACTTACTCCATTTCGCGGTCGCGACCCTAAATCTCAACATGCTAGAGCACATCATCGACTACACCCCGCTGAAGAATGCAGGCGTCACCGCTCTAGGCCATACGTTACTACACATTGCATGCATGCCAGAAAATGCAATGGAAGTGCAGCGTCACTCTCAAGTTGTCCACTACAGTATACACGAGACTCGCGATCTGCACGCTCGAAACGATCCTCACGCCCATCGTCCACCCAAAGGCCGTCACCACGAATACAAGAAAACGGACCCTCAGGCTCAGATGGACGTGGTAAGGTTTCTTTGGGAACGTGGAATCGTCGATGTCCAGAAAACAGACGTGCATGGTAACACGGCGCTCCACTATCTCTGCGGCTTCAGAGATCCCAACCAAGCACTACTTAATTGGTGGCTCGAGCAGCCTGGTGTGAGAACCGTTTTCGCGACAAAGCGTAACATGTATAATTCCACGCCTCAAGATCTGCTTCGAGAGAGTGAACTTGCACAGGAAGCTGAGCTCTCGGGCTGGAAACCCTGGTGGGAGCGGATGAGGAAGGAGGAGCGGGTTGCTCAGAAGCAGGCTATTTGGAGAGGTTTGTTGGGTGATGAGGCAAAGAGGGAACTTTAGGTTTGTATTCGGAGTTGGATCGGTCTTTTGTAGGTTGTTTGCTGTTGTGTTTCTGAGTAGGTACGTAACATTGTCAATGAAATTCTTGATTGTCCACTCCTTGGTGGGATATCTTGCGCGTGTGAGACGGGGAGAAAGGTCAAGTGACATATCGAGAGCAACTTCTTCTTCCAAATTCTAAGTATGAATGTGAGTGACTGGCTGCACGAGACATCGTCAGGTCTTGAAGTCGCGTATGTAAAGCTGAAAATGATGCCGTTCAAGTCATTCAGCTTCGTAAGTCTATATCAAGCGGGTTTTAGACTAGTGCCTCAAGTGAATCGACGCTATAACCGACAACATCCTTTCTTTTCGAAATTCGCGCTCTTGCTTCTCCGTAGTCTGCCACAAGATCCCCCCCAAAATCAGATTGTCGTTCTCTGCTTCTGGTTTCGAGCCTGATACATCTGCTGAAGAGTTGTGCGACCTCTTCCGAATACTTCCTCTTCAATACGAATCATCACCAGTACCACTCTCCTCAAGACACCAGCAGAGCTCAACAACAATCGTCAAACCCTCTCAATCTACGAATCCCTCTTACAAAATCTTGAATCAACACACCGTTCATCATGGCTTCTACTTCAAAGAGCAAGTCCTCTGGCGGAACCACCCTGAACGAGATCAGCAAGATCGAGACGCAAATTGCAGTTGAAGCCCAAGAAGTTCAACTTAAGGCCAATGAAGTCTCAGAGTCCGTCAGCACTGCCGGTCCAGCAACACTTGTTACCCTACCTCCCGAGATTCTACTCCTGATCTTCGATTACCTCAATCCCGCAGCCTCCACCTGTCTTGGTCTTACATGCAAGAAGCTCTACCCAGTACATCGAGCTATCCATGGAATTGTTCGGCTATCTGCCCCATCAGAACCGAACGGCTTTTATTTATGGTACCTTCTCAAGGATTTCTTTCCTGGACTGATCTTCTGCGAAGACTGGGAAATGTTTACCACTGACCAGACTCTTGAGGATCTCTGGATGCGTCCACATACGATACCACTTTCTCGATGGCCTCACTGGATGCTTCAATATCGAGGGAGGACACTTTCGGTGGCAGGTTTCTGATATCGACGAAGATGCTGCGCTTCGGTGGCATTTGGCGACAGTGGGAAGACTCTTTCTTGTAAAGGGGTTCGCGATGGACAATTTATAACAAGAAAACAATCGATGAACTTCAACTACAAGCTCTCCATTTCTTTCTCCCTCTCAAAGGTTTCCTGTCCATCTCCATGTGATTATACTAGATCTTACCAGACATTTCCACCACCTAAATCAACCTTTGACGCGAGTTTCGATCTATGTCCATTAGCCGAGGGATTGTTTACTTCTTGCAACGCATCTAAGCATCTAAGCTGCGCAACACAAAGCCACATCAACCACAACTTCAACGCGCAAATCTCACCGCTGACCTCTTCATCCTGAACCTTGTCACTCTCGCTGCCCCAAGCTCCATATCACGAAGCATAGCACCAATATCGAACACAATGTCTTCGCTTTCGCGCAACAACTCCAACCCAACCGCCAACGAAACCTCCGGCGTAACCACCCAAGACCTTCAGCTCCAGCCCAACCAAATCGAAGAAATCCCAAAGAAAACCCCACCAAGCCTCTCCGCCCTCCCCTCCGAACTCCACCTCAACATCGCCAAATACCTCGACCTGGCCTCATCCACCTGCCTAGCCCTAGCCAACCGGAAATTCTACCAAATCTACCGCCCCGAACCCACAATCGTCAATCTTCGCGAGGAATCCGGCAATGGCATTCGGCTTTCGGTTCTCCTCGAGGGCTTTCATGAGGGGATGCTCTATTCTGGCTTCTTCAATAAGTTTGTTTCTAGGGAGAGGTGGAGACAGTTTGATCGCTTGAGATATAGTGCGGAGATGAAGAGTGAGAGGAGGAGGAATGGTAGGGTGGGTTGGGAGTCGTGGCATTGAGGTCGATGGGGGGAGGGGTATGATGTTGGAGAGAGGGGAGGAAGGGAGAGGAGGAAAGGTTGTGTGTATTGCAACAAGGTCGATATATGGGTTTGTGGGGTTGACGTGCTTTGTGCCGCATTGATGGATGAAATGGCTCTTTGTTTGGGTTATTGATGGTCATGGGTGAGAGCAGATGATCGTTGGATGTAGTGGTAAAAGGTTGACTTTAGTTGATTATCCTGCAGCACAAGTCTCTTCATAGTAATTGACTGGTTGTAAAAGGAAAAGGAGACGATTTTGAATCATTGGCGGAATCCTTGGTCCAAACTTTGAAAGTGAAGCTTTTTGCATGGACAGTTCTAAGCTGGATCACAACGTAACACATAATAAATCCGGGGTTCCTCGTTCGCCTACATAAGTCCCCAAACCCATGTTTATGATACAATTCAGGGACAAAACTATTATCCAAAATTCTCCTCATTTGGGACATTGTGTAACATGATATCACGTGTAGTCGTGCCTTAGCGTGAAGGTTCCAGGTTGTTTTGATCTCCTCCACAAGGTATTCACTATATTACATCAAGATCGTTCTTCTGAGTCATACTGTCGCAGCAACTTGTCTTCAACAATCTTTCGACAGAAACGCAAGGAGAAGAAACCAAGAACAAGCATATCCTTTCATCATCAGGCTACAACACCACACACTTCGAAAAAGAACAACCCACGACTTACCTTCCCAAGACGCGCTCCCAACCGAGTCTCTAGTACGTCACAATGACCTCTCCGGCTATGCGAATGATTAGAACAGCCACTAGAGAGGACGATGCCCTCAAGATCAACAAGCAGGTCACGCAGCAAAGCGCGGATGTGCAAGCAAACGGCCTCGTGGAGTTGATGGAAAAGCTCAAGATCGAGGAATCCAACATAGTTATTGAAACCGAGTCAAAGAAGTCCAGGGTGCGTGCGACAAGCAATGCCCTTGTTACTTCGGCAGAGAAACTCACCCTCCAAACTCTTCAGAAGGATATGGTGCTCGCTATCTTCGATTTCCTCGACCCGACTCCCTCGACGTGTCTTGGTATGACATGCAAGGCATTCTATCCTATTCATCGCGAGAGACATGGTGCCGTCCACCTCACCACAAAAGGTCTCTATGACCCGATCAAAAAGTGTCTCTGGCAGCTCTTGAGGTCATTCTTCCCCGGCCTTGTGTTCTGTTTTGAAATCAAGAAATTCGTCACCCTCGAGAGATGCGAAGAGATACCACATGTCTCCAGTTTTGGACTTGAAAGACTTCAAGAGAGTATATTCAGGATGGTAGAGGATCTTCCTTCCCGGTCTTCGTAGATCTCGAGCAACTGGGACTGGTGGAAGAGATGAAGATGTACGAGGCGCAGGAGAACATTAACGATTGGGATGCGAGTATATGCACGAGCTTCTCATGGCTTGACGATAAGAAATCAAATCAAATTTGTTTCTTTCTTTGCATTGGCTGGGAATGGTCGATATGATTTCATGGTTTTCATCAGTACTCGGAATGGGTCGAGACTTCGAGGTCTGACTGGCGCAATCATACGATCATGCTATAGTAACTTTGGCATTCACTGAGTTTTCTACTCTTGACTAGTTATTTTGGTGTGCAGCTAGTTCGGCAAATGAAAGCCTTTACACACAAGAGGTTTCGACATCGCTCTTGGTACACATACTTGAGATCACTGACAGAATACCTCTTCTCTAGCCAGGCATAAAGTTGGGTGTGATACCTATCAGTTTCAATAAATCAACACTTGACAGGAATGAAGAATATCCGGATAAGGAGAGAATCTAAAATTCTGTGAAGTGTGCAGCTCTTATACCTTGAGTCTGAAACTGCAACGCTGGACTGCAAAGCTAAATTCAACAGAATTACATTTTGGATTCACTCACTACTCCCGCTAGCACAACTTACCAAGGATGACGTTTCTCTTTGAACTGCCATCTCCTTCCATGAACAATAATTTCACCTCCAAGGCTATCGATGTGTGCACCCCACTTCGATACCAGGAAAGGATAAGGCAATCTGCTTCTTCCACTCTCCGAGTCCACCTAGGATGACCAACTCTGTTGAGCGCAAGGACGATCAAAGCGCAAGCCAAAAATCTTGCCCAGCTCTTACAAGTTTAGATGATGGGTACTCATGGGTACTCATACACTTAAGATCAGTTTTCTCTTTCGTAGATTTAGTTTAGCTTGTTGACATAAGCAACTGCTACTTTAACCTAAGGTAAGGGTGAGTATGCCTAAGCCAAAGGCACTTGTAAGCATGTAGGAGTAAAGCCTGAGCATGCGAATCCATTTTCAGCTCCTGTGTGCCCCGGCTACACTCTCCTTGCCAGGAATTCACTCCTACTCCTTAGATCGTCGAGAGAAAGTTATGAATCCTGTTTAATAAAGAGGTTACTAAAAATTCGGCATATAGCGAGCTCTTTAGATCTCTGTGACATGATCATAATTTCAGTCACGAGACGTTCTCACGTGATTATGCATTTTTTTTGAATCTCAAGTATTCAGACCACGATCTAAAAGGAGTATTTACGTACGGGTTCCTTCTTCCTCTCATATGGCCTGAGATTTCATAACAACCCATTAATTGTTTATCATTTCGCGTGAATGTAACGCCCAGAACCACTCGCTTCTGAGACTAGCTCATCAAAACAACGTATCCATTCGCACAAGTCAAACTGAATCTGCTCAGCATGGCCAGGAATGCTGAGGAAGACTACGGTTTCAGTGGATGTTAGCCGATATACACAAGCGGTAAAATGTGATTCTCACTCATCTACTGTTTCGGCCAAGACATCAATGCACGCACATCCCCCTTGAAACGAGCATTGTCACAAAAACTTCGGATTCTAATTGCATTCCATTCGTTCTGTAAATTCGCTTTCTACTTTCTAATTTATTTTCCATTCTCTTGGCACCTGGTGTGCGTTCAGTTCTACAATATATTATTCTTTCCTTATGGCGAAAGTGTATCGCGATGACTCTCTTGATGAGGCGGAGCCGTTGACCGGGGAAGATGGAGCGATTGGAAGAGTCTGGAAATCAGAGAAGGTCTATTTAGAATCCAGATTACGAGAGCTGAGGCCTCGCTGGATTTGGTTCGCGCATGCTGTCCTATTATCGATCTCTATTGGCTCTTTGGCGCTGTCACTCTACATACGATTATCGACACAGTCGAACTCAATACCCGTCACATATTGTTTGTTCAACCATCTGAGAGTTTCTGTTTGAGGAATCATGCACTAAGATCAGTCTGCAGTACCTGCTCAAAGCGCAATCAAGTACGAGATCAAACAATTCGACTTGCCGCCAGTACCTGAAGGGCCATTTGTAGGGAAGGGACCAGAAGTAGATGCATCATGGGATTACATCACCAATAGCAGTATGTCCGATCCTGCCGAAGGCTTCACTTCATACCTGCTCATGCTAATCACCAACCCAAGTCGGCGACACGATGGTATCCCGGGAGGAGATGATCAAGATGAACCTTGACCCGAACGGTGCCTTAGAGATCACCGACCCAGCGACAGGGAAACGAGGCTTCCGTGTAGCCATAGAAGTCTTCCACCAGCTACATTGCTTGGATTTGTTACGACAGTCTCATTACAAGTCGCACTACGCACCTCTTGGAGGCGACACAGCAGCACCAGTGCACGACCTGACAGGCCACCTGGACCATTGTATCGATGCCCTACGACAATTCGTTATGTGCCAGGGCGACGTCAATATTTTTGCATTCCGCTTCCCTTTCAATGATGGCGATCCATGGCCAGACTATTCCACGCCCCGTGTGTGCAGGAACTACGAGAGTATCCGGAAGTGGGCTGTTGATCATACTGTTGCGCAAGGAGAAGACGAGCCGGAGCATTAAGGGAACGAGATTTTATATTCCGTATCTTGGCTCAGGGTATCGCAGGGCGCTCAGGTGGATTGCTTGAGTTACTCGGACAAGTTTTGACTGAGCTGAGGGTGAGCCCAGGGTGATTACACCTGAGCAAGAGTGGCAAGCTCACTAACCACATGCAGTGCACAAGAAGGAGAAAATGGATTTATGATACCTCCACGTCAACATCCTGGTATTGTTTGTATCCTTTGGGATCTTTGCATCTTCAGCAGGATAGCTTTTCAAGAACAAGATTTGATACCATTTGCGCAAGCACATCAGTTGAGCAATGAATGCACAGCTAAGAATTTTGCTTCCTTTAATGCACAGTGATAATATCGTTGTTGATAGCTTTCTTTTGAGAGTTTCTAAGCACCAATAGTGATTAAAGAATTCCAGGAATTTGTGGGAAATCGCCAATACCAACATGAGTACACATGTGATTGTCTCTTTGTTGTGAGCTAGTGCTCCAGCACCTCTTTTAGAAGCAATCCTTTCTTGTATGCGAGGATACAGAGACTTTACCACAGCTCTTCAGGCATTCCTATCCTTTCCAATATCTTTGAGCCTTCTAAAAGTGTCTGGTAAGAAGCATGTATTTAAACACTTTCTTTTCCTCTTGGATCAGGCTTGAAATGTCTGGTCGTTGAGGACCTCAGCTTTTCAACCAATCTTCTCCTGCTTACCTCTAAAGTATCGCAGGTTCCGGGTCTCTCTATTGGGATCTCGGAGTACTCACATACTTCGACGAAGCAATGGAGAGAGAAGAAGGCACCAACGGTACCGGATCTGGTCAGGTAGTGCTCGGTAGCATGACAATCATTGGTAAATCTCGACTTCTGCATCCAATTTGAATACTTACGGTTGAGACTTTTAGTAGGCCACGACCAGCATACTTACATTATGAGGCTTCCCGCAGGACTCAAGGTCAAAATCTTCGAGCAGATGAATCGTGACCATGTCAATGCCGTATGTCTCGGGCTGACTTGCAAACGATTCTACCAGGTCTACAAGAAGTACAGAGAAGTAACCTTCACTCATCGACCCAAGCCAATCTGCGCGATTGACAGCTGGACTCGCAGTCATCCTCCCCTGGAGCTCCACGAGCTGATCAGGAACTTCTTTCCAAGAGAGGCGAGATACGTTTATGTTGAGGGCGTTGGCGGCAAGTTCGTTTTTGATGCATGGGCGCGGCAAGCTGTACAGAGGAGATTAGAACGTCACATGATAAGCGGGTCTAGCCAGCAGACCTAGAGAGTCTACGTATTTCGACACCTTTGCAGTGATGATTATGGGTCGTTTTGGTGATGGTACAATGTCACGCATACAATAGATGTTTTGCGAGATCACAGCATACGGAAATGAACCCAACTTTGATCACTACCAAAATCCGAAACGGAACCTTTTGATGAGGGCAGAATCTATGGACCACTACCTAAAATACTGACATTTTATATCTATGAGCATAAAAGTATGCAGACTCGTTTAGACTGATCATTCTCTTCGGCTGTAACATCAAGGTTCATGCTGGCTTTCGACTTCCAGATCCAACAAACTCACATATCACATATGAATCTGGCCTAGAACTCGACATATCAACTAAGTAGCTAGTCTCTAACCCTCGTCTTCTTCTCGGATCGAAATGCGATCACTTTCACGACTGCACTTTCGAAGATTGACTATGCAGAAGCGCAGAAGACCGCTCAGCTAGTAGACATCGACAAAACAGTAACCGCCTCATTGTATCGGCCAGTGACAAGCAAGAGAAGTTGCGAAAGATATGCGGTATTTGAATTAAAAGATTAGAAGGGTACTTACCTAGCTTTTGGAAGATGGCTGTGAGCCCGTGACTGAATTACGTCTCTCTTAACTTTGAGATTTACCCAATCTCCTACAGCCAAGTATATTATGAATGTATGACTGCCAATACCGATACTCAATCAGATTGTCAAAAGCGCTTCAGGCACCGTCCCAGCCTGTTGCGTATCCGGGATCGGCAACGTCAAAAATACCACGACAAAATTTAGCCTGCACTACAACCGGAAATTCCTCGCCCTAAACAGTCGCAATGGTACTATAACTATATGATTCAACTACCGCAATAATTTAGGCCGGAGAATATGGACCAAAGAGAGAGGAGCCAAGATGGATTTCGAAAGCCCCTCTTTCAAAATGGCAAAAACAAGACTCATAAAGGAGGAAGCCCTCGCTGAAAATTGAGATACTTTTGGACTTTTAAAATTCCTGATGGCACAAAAGAAGTCATGATTCCCTCTTCGTTCGTATTGTTTTGCCTGGGCCTGGCAGCTCAAGCTTCAGCAGCATGTACTCGAGAAATGCTGCAGGACGCTGCGGCAGCATATAGTGAGTACACTGCCATACTTTTAATTTGAATAGAGTTAACTCTCCAAACAGTCAAAGCACAAGGTGCAGGGCTACCAACTAGTCCTATGCCAGCCGTGGCCAACAACATCAGCTACGCAGAGAACGACAAAATCATGGACATCAAGACCGGCGTTCTAAACCAAGCCATCACCATCGACTTCAACCGCAGCCTCTACGACACCACTCAATGCGCAACCTTCACCGAGCTCGTCTCAGCCTCAAACAAACCTCCCTACGTAATCCACACCCGAATGCTCTTCACCGCCGACCAAATCACCACCATCCAATCCGTCGTCACGACCGACGGCGACTGGGCCTTCAACGCCACGGGCCAACTCTACTGGAACAAACAAGAGACCTGGTCCACGATCCCCGAATCCAAGCGCGACACCCGCGCCGTGATCCAAGCCGCCGGAGACGCGTACCTCGACTCCTGGGGCGACGGAACCGTCAAGGTCCCCTACGGCACTCCTTGTGCGCGTCTGGAAGGCGGCTCGTATACAGCGGGCAAGGGGTCAACGGCCAATACGTGCAAGATGCCGCAGTTCCCGCAGCCGTTTAAGATTACGAATCGCAGGTATGTGGTTGATGAGGAGGTGGGGGGCGTGGATATCTTTAACGATTTTCCGTTTATTGATAAGGTGAAGCCGAATGGGACGTCGAGTACGAATGTTGTGAGGGTGGAGGGGGGGATGATTAGGTATATTCATGAGGTTACTAAGTGCTCGACGAAGAATTGTGGGAGGTGATTATCAGATTACTATGTGGGGAATGAAATCTTACAGGAAGGGATCTTTGCAGATCGAGGATCTTTTACTTTAAGTTCGTTGTGAAACTGTGAAGCTCTGGTAGGGTCTTATGCATGTTTACACGTCCAAAATCACAAAACTTGTTGTTGGGAACTTCTGGTCGTATAGGTAGTTCGGCAGAGACTTGAGGTGAAGATTTCGCTTATAGGGGCTCGCCAACATATCAGGAGTAAATAGAGCGCACATGTAAAGCTGACAATCGGGATTAATGAATCCAACTACTCGGTTAAATATTGATCGGTATCTTCAACAACGTCCTTGAGCTATCTGGCTTAAATGGGTGCAAGCATCTGTCAGCTTGTCATAAATTTCCCTGCTCGGAGACTACCCTGCATCATGTTCGCGAGTGCTAGGATCTAAGATATTGGTATCTGACCAGATGGCAATTAGGAAACTTCCTCAACATCTAATAGTTGAATTGTTTCTAGGCAGGCAGCTACAAGCGACATTGGAGTACTGGTGATGAAACATTTTCACAAACGGAATAGCAATTAAAATCTATATTAACTCTATATGTTCTTCATATCTTCGACCTCGGTCTCCACTTGGCATAAGGATGCTCCTCTCCGCTCGGAATGAGATGATCTACCGCGCCCGTATTCAACATCCCAGGATGAACCTGACTTAAATCCGTGATACCTATCATCCGCATCGTCGTCTCAAGCTCATCTTTCAAAACTGTTCTCATTAGTATCACGTCGTGAAGCTAGATCAACTCGACTTACTCTCGATAAACTTCTCCACGCCCTCTTGACCGTAGTTGAGGGCGTACAGAAAACCTCTACCGATACCAACACTCTTTGCCCCGAGACATAAGGCTTTGAAAATGTCGGTACCCCGCATTACCCCGCCATCTACGAAGATCTCCATTTTATCGAAGACTTCGGGACAGTTCTTTTGTAGTTCTAGTAAGAGCAATATTGGTGGTGGAGCGGTGTCTAAACTTCTGCCGCCGTGGTTGCTCAACAGGATTCCTTCTATTCCTAGATCCGCTGCTTTCTTCACATCCATGTTTGTCTGAACTCCCTTTAAGACAATTGGTAACTTTGTCGACTTTCGTAGCCAAGAGATATCGGACCAGGATAGTGAAGCGTCGATATATGAGCCCATAATTCTCCCCAAAGCACCTCCTTTCGCATCGTTCTTCGCTTTTGCTCCGCTCATGGGTGTACTCAAGCTTTCATCTGCTTTCACTCTCTCGTCTGCCTCTCGTTTCCCAGGCACAGGAGCATCAACTGTGACGAACACAGCCTTAACACCTAACTTCTCCACCTGCTGTAGAAGTTTCTCACTTTTCTCCCTCTGCTTATCGACATACAGCTGGAAGAAGAACGGCATCTCTCCTTCCTCAGCTCCGTACAACCCTTTCTCACTAACGGACTCAAAAATCTCGTTTATTGGGAACGAAGCATTTGTAGAAACGCACTGCGGTATCCCTTTCGCGCGACATCCCCTTGCTAGTTCTTTCTCGCCATCAAGATGAACCATCTTCGCCATAGCAGCAGGCGCGCAGAATATCGGCACATTCATTTTCTGCCCCAGCATGCTTGTCGAGGTATCTACGTCCTTCACATTTATCAAAACCCTTGGCCGCAAGCCAATATCTGCGTATGCGGAAGTGTTCCTTGCTTTCGTATTCAGATCCGTGGCGGCGCTAGAATAGAAAGCCCATGTTTTCGGAGTAAGGGTCTGTCGCGCGGCAGATACGAAATCGTGTGTGTTTATGAAGGTATCGAGAGGTGGTTTCGCGTCTGGAGAGAAGGACTTCGAGACTGTTGGGGGAGGTTTCGCCCATTCTTCTGTTATGGAGGAGGGATCGAGTGTTCCAAGAATCTTCGAGGGATGTAAAGTGTTTTTAATGAGGGAAGGGGCGTGGATTTCGTTGTAAGAAGCGGTGGCGTCTCGTCCGGCGTATCGATGTATTACTATTGAATGTTAGATATGTGCTGGATTGAGAGCACAATGCGGTATGGAAGACTCACTACCAGCGCCTCCTGGATGCTCTGGGGCAAATTCTGTCAGGTCGTAGACAGTATCGTCAACCACTATCCATAGGTCTTCGGGTATATTGTGCTTGGAGATTTCCTGGACGGAGATAACGCGTGCCATTGCGAAGCAGTTCAAGAGTGGATTGCTCAATACTCGTTCCTGTGGCGTAGTCAATGGTTTGAAGAAAGATACCTGGAGAGATACAGATAGAAGAACGGTATATGAAAGAGATACGGGAGGGAAATGTTAAGAAGAAGATTTCAATTGAGCTATGTACATAGTGCGCGGGAACAATGCCGTGGAAGTGAAGTGTTGATCTTCGTTTTCAACCGGGGTAATGGAGAGCGAGGAGAAGCTCGGCCCACTTGCCGTCATTTTCTCCACGATTATATAAGCAGCCAGGCTCAGAGCAACAGTGGTTGACACTACTCTCTACGCACGGACCAAAAACACCGAAATTAAATTTTCGCGATCAACAATAATATCAACAATACACATCACTTAACAGAATGGCACCACCAACGCGATCCAATCCCTTCAAGACTCCGTCCCCCGAACCCCTTGCCAATAAAGAAGCTACGACTACAAGGAAGTGTCGATATTTTGACGCAATGCGG